GAAGAGTCGAGGGGGCTGGTGGCCGGTGCCCGGTTGATCACTTTCACAGCATTTTAAAAGTCACGTATCTCAAAACACTCCGCCTATAAATATATACTGGACTTCGTATACATCTACCTGCCCTCGCCAGCCCCATGCAAGCCTGAAGTCAGGCCACACCAACCGACCGGTCTCGAAGATGGTCAAACGGGTTTTGTCAAAAATGACAAGGGTCCGCTTATATACATCAGGCTTCTTGCCTTATAAGGCTTCTTGCCTTATAAGGCTTCTTGCTTATACGGCTCCGAATTGGACCCTATTGGGCCTGTTCCCTAGCAAGTGGATTGCTTATGTTTTAAACATATTCTGTAGACCCCATCCTCCTATATATATATATCTGATTTTGACTTATTTTCGGTCGGGGCTTGGCCACCCCTGGTGGCCGGTATTTTCTGGGTCGATTTTTGGCCGTGCCCCCCTGGTGGCCGGTTTTTAGCTCGCCCGTATTTATACATCCGGATGTGGGGTCCTTCTGGCAAAAAAGTTTGCTGTACGACGTCCCCGCATAAAGATCGCTGGATTTGGCCGCAATGCTATACTTTGAAATTCAATCAAGTTTCGTGCCAAACAAATTATGCTGTGTAATCGATAGATACGTACAGTAAAGTTTGCACAAAGTACCCGGATGGTTGAGACAGCTTGTTCCTCGGCGTACAGCAAAATTCGGCTTTTTGTGTATTAATGGCGAGGGGCAAACCCTACATGGATATTTCCTCAAGGCTTGACCGTCACTTCAGTTGCCCGTACAGAAGCTTAACGTCCTGGGAGGGCGGGTGTGGAGAAAAGCGTACAAAATTCCTGATCTCAGGAACCTTTCTCGATCTCGGGACCGGCGACACCTGTAGATGTACCGTACGACTCCACCGGTCCCGGACAAAGAATCTAGGCCCTTAGGTCTGCTTTGAACTTGCATCGAACGGTTCTGATCGTATCCCGACTTTCACCGGGCGGCCGAGTGAAATTCGCAGACATTGTAAGAGGGGTTACAAAACAGGGAAGAGCTGAACCCCCGGCGGTTGTTTCCTCAGATCCGGAATGTCCTGAGATCCGGAACCTGAGAGCAAGTTCTGTACGCTATTCTCCACACCCGCCCTCCCTGGATAACCCACTTTTCCCGAGTTTTCGGCGTTGTACGGTAGGATTAATTCGCCCGATAAATGAGAGATGGCCCAGGGGGACTCGGCCGGGTCATTCGGGAAGAAATATGAGTCAAGGTCTCAAACCGGGCCGCCCTCCCGCCCCCCCTAAGAAGAGACTCAATTCATCAGGACTACGGTATTGTTGGATTATTTCCATTCTTGTACCGGGCAGTGCACGGAGTTTTTCCCGCCCTCCCACCCACCCATTGTGTGTGACCGGGCCGCCCTCCCACCCACCCTCAGCCTTGCCATTTTAAGAAATATTGTGCTTTCATTATTGAGGCGAGCTGCAAAATCCGCCGGAGGCGGATTGCTTCGTCCTAGTTGGCATGCCATTTTCTTGCTGTCCCATGTGCACCCCGGATGCGCGCGAGCGTACGCGTTATTGAAAATGGCGAAAGCCTCCGGAATGGTGTCGTCCAATGCCGCAGTACGACGTCGCAAAATTCTTGGCGACCGCGTCCCAGGGACCCTCGCTTGTTCGTCCGCCTTGTTACCCCTAGAAATCCATCGATTCTCTTATGCGAGAAGAATCTGGACGACCTTTTTTCCAGGAGGTTCGCAGTGCTATAGCAAAGTCGGTGTACGCATCGGGCAGGATTTGTGAGTACTTTCTCGTAGCTGACGCTAGAAAACAATACAGTATATTCGCAAGTGTTTGTCGTATTATGCGGTTCATGTAGATCGGCCGACGGTCGCAGGCCCTCAGATGGGCGTTCGCACATGAGGTCGAAAGTCGCAGGCCGTCGACTGCGATTTTAGCTCGCTCCAGGGGGTACAACCGTCGCCTCGGAACGCTCCTGCCTATTTTGTGTCAAAAGGAAAAGCCTGATCATCAGGGATCAAAATCTATTGGGATCAAAATTCGTAGATCCGACGGTCTCATTGAACCCGCTCGGCGCAATATGTACATGGTAAATCGATCAAATGGCATGCCGAGTGCAGCACAGTGTGCTGCCAATCTAGTTTTTTCGGAGGTCCGGACGCACTTGCACAAGTGTTTTGACACGATGCCTTGCACTTGAGCACGCGATCCAACTCGAGTACTGCAGATGCTTCTCCGGTATCTGCGGGAAATATATGCCACGTCGGATCACGGAGGCCGTCGATTGAGTTGCGACTCGGCAAAACGTGAATCTGACACCGACAAACTGCCGGCTTCGACACAAGTTTCTAAAGAATTCGCGTCCGACCGGACCCCTGAGCCCTCTACTAGTCTCCATAACTTCTGTTGCGGAAGCTCCGGGCTCCTCGGGAGGAGGTTCGATAAGAGACATGTCCAACGGCAATCGCCACTGAGGGGGAGCCCCCTCGTCGAGACTCAACAGAATTGCGCAGCAAATTGCAGTCTAGCTTTCGCGGGTCCTCCTTGCACAGTTCCTTGAAGCAACCTGTTTTTGGGCACCTGCTCAGTGCTTCGCATCTGATTCTAGGTACCTTAAAATTCTTCCAGACCCTTGATCACATCTCACAGCGCCAATATCGCTGACGCTAGTAAGGGACAGCTCTTCAGATCTTCTGATCCCAGCTGATCTTTCCGACACCAGATCTACCAGAGTCTGCCAAGCGTCCACCCAATTGCCAGCCAGACCTGCTCTAGTTTCCTTCTCCAGCTGATCGTGTGCGCTGCAAGTACCGGCTTCAACAGCGTCGCTTTTGGAGTCGCTGGGTAACGAAAGGTACGGCTCCGCTTTACCGCAGTCATCTATCTGATTGCATGCGGGTTGATCACATCATCTGACTCTTGTTCTGCTTCTGGGAGGGGCTGCATCTCGATAATTTTGAGCTTGGTGCTGCAGCTGTGTCCCTGAATGCCTGCTTGACAGCTGATATCATGACGTAGTAAGTGCTCAAGTTTTTTCGCAGCCAGCTCTATAGCTTCTGGACGCTTGCTCCAGTCGTTTATCGCTGCGCCACCGGTCAGACAGTAGTCCACCTTTCTAAACATAGCCGTATTTTTTGTGATAATCTCTTTAAAAGGAAAGCTCCATTGAATTGACTTGTGCGAAGCATCTAGTCGATGTTTTACGCACGTTGCCTGTAGAATTATCAGGACGCAGAATGTAAGCCGCGAAACGGAAGCTGGTTTGCAAATCTGTCCTGGCGTACCTGTGTTTCTGTGCTGCACTTTATAATAACGGCTCTGATCACCATTTACAAACTTTCTTCACAAGGCCGGTGTCTGAAGGTGCCACTTGGCCATGTAAGATCTCTGTACTTTTCTTGTTCTTTTGGTACCGAGTGACTCTGCTGACGACCATTCTGGACTCTTAAGGAACAAGTCCAGCGCTAAAAACCGAGAACGATCGAATGAAGTTGAAAAGTCACCTTTCCGAGCAAGCGCAAGCAGTCAATTCATAGCTTTTCTGCTCTATACAGCGCACGGCAGACATATGGGCGATCTTGGTTGGATACCCGGCCCAGTGCATACATCGTTTACCGAAGTGATCATCGTTAGGCACGGTGAAACAACATGGAACAAGAGCGGGCGTCTGCAGGCAAGGACTTTTTGGAAAGCAAACTCTTTCATTCTGAAGTGGGGACGAAATGTGACCAAAAGTGTAAGCAGTAAAAAGCAAGCAGCAAAGAGCAGGCCACATTCTGCTGAGTTCTGATCGGATAGACCCATTCCTTCACGGTAAGCACCTTCAAAAGTATTTCTTAACTGTGATTGAAATTGACTAAAGCAACCTCTAACAAAGCAACATTGAATCTTGTCCTATTCTGGTGGACTGGTAACCTCACCTGACTTTAGTCATTCGATCCCATGGGCAGCACAAGTTTGACCTCAATGGATTGGGTGCTCACAGTCTCGGTTCAAGTCAAGGTCGTTGGGGTCAAAATGAAGAGAAATTTATACCCTTGGTTTGAAAGACAAGAACGGCGCTGACTTATAATGTCAAGTCATAATTCGCTCAAATCCAAGACTTGATCACACTTGCGAAGCAATTGAGAAGCACTACCTGTTGCTTTGTCTGGTTAATCATGATCAAGTCAAACCTGGTCTGCAGGGACAATACGACTGTGACCTTAATGAGCCCAGTTTCTAGCAACTGTGGCCTGGATGTACCTTTCCTGGCTCGAATCAATTGCCCTCAACTTTCACCAACCTTAATTATAGGGACATTATGACTAAGACCTGAACGAGCTCGGCTTCCAGCGATGGTAGCCTGGATGAATCTTTCCTCGTTCTGGTTTAAGATAACCCGCTTAAGTTTCACCAAACCCTGCTTACAGGGACAGTACGACTCTGACCTGAACGAGCTCGGTTTTCAGCAAGCAGAGGCAGTCGCTCGCCGACTGGCTCAGGGGGATCTTCCACTCACTACAGTGTATACTTCCGACCTAAAGAGGGCGCGCCTAACTGGTGAAGCGATCGCAGCGGCTGGCGGCGTCGCTCAGGCAGTAATCACAAGGGCAGATCTGAGGGAACGTCATTTGGGTGTTCTTCAGGTAACGGCCTTTGGAAGCGAAGTCTGATGTTGTACTGTTGACAACAAGATAAGAGGAACTTTCCTTTTCTGGTTCTTCTGCAGTTGCTCTATGCAACGCCCGTTGGTTGTGAACTCGGTTGTCGCACTGTCGACTGCGAGACGAAAGGAAGTTTCTATTCTGGTACCTTAGGACTTTGTGGCTCCATGCCTTTTGTGGACCTCTTGAGGAAAGACATACAGAGGAGCGTTTGAGGAGGGTGCAGTCTCGTACAGTCTCTCGTGATTGCATATCGACTTTCCAGTGTTGAACATATGAATGACCTACATTTTGCTGTGGTCAGCTCTGCAGTAACAATGTTGTACGTTACTTTTCTGCTACTGAAAAATCGTGGAGCTTCATCATGTCCTAAAAAGTCCCCTAACTCTTTAAATACCCTGTAGATGGAGCGTCTTCAATGTATCTCACGTCGTCAGACTGGTCGGTTGGCTCGAGCAAATCCGGAGCCCATTTTTGCTTTCTTCGATCACAGGTGACATCGACTGAACTTAACGGATGATCCTGTTCTAGCCGTCCCCAACGAGCATTTCTTTCTTCCTTTCTTTCTTCAGGAAGAAACATCCCTTACTTCTCCGTATCTAACGAGCATGCTATGCACGACTGACTTCTACTTTCGCGTCCACTTTTCGCGTCCGCTTTGCGATAATATTGCTAATCTGACGGACTGAAAGCCACCTGACTGACAAAACTCTTGCAGCGATCCTTCTCTGTCACTCAGACTTGTTCCTGTTTGGGCACTGTCACCATCTCGACATCTTTGACTCGACGCTCTTTCCCACTTCCATCGTATCCAAATCTCTTTCACAATCGCTCCGCTTTCTTCCATTGCTCCCTTACACGGCTCTAAGTCGCACTGTTTTCCATCAGGTATATTCCTAGTCCCTATCGATTTTCCCCAACTGCACAGGCTTTGACCGTCAAAGAGGCTCGGCAACGCTCTCTGTTCGGCTCTCATCTGAACCGAGCACTCTCTCAAACTTCTCCTTCCTTGACTATAACCGCTCAAACGCCACAGGGTTTGACGGTCAAGGAGGCTCGGCAAAGCGAGCCGGAAGCGCTGCGGGCTCTTGAAAGCAAAAGAAAGGACGTCTCAATTGCTGGAGGAGGGGAGAGCCGAGCACAGCTGCAACAGAGGGCTGCGGCGGCAGTCGAGGATCTCGCTCGCGCACACCGCGGTAGGTCTATCCTCTGCCTTCTTCTGAAGATTTTTATGGGTCGTGCTTCGGGCGTGGTCTCAAAACAGATTTGCAGTCACTACGAGAACGCCGACAATTTGCCAGCCGCCGGGCCCCGACCCCCCTGAATTTTGAGCCAGATTTGGGGCCAGCCGCCGGGCTAGGCCCCCCCAAAAAAGGGGATCAAAATTCCAAAAACTGGGGCTATTCGACACTTTTTGGGCAATATACGGCCGGCTATGCAAAAAAAACTATTTCCTATTTTCCATAAGCGCGTAGCGGCTGCGAAAACCGCCGGCATATCTAGAATCCTGCATTTCTAATTGTTGGTTTGGACCCCGGGCCAGTTTTCTCCGGGCACAGCCGCCGGCCGCCGGACCCCTAGGCCCCTCAGCCGCCGGGCACTTTCGCCAGCCGCCGGGCCCCCACCCCACTCCAGCAAATGTCGGCGTTCTCGCAGTGGCTGTAAATGTGTTTTGAGACCACGCCCCGGTCGGTTTGCTGTTTGGGACAGCCGGAAGTTTTTTTGTTTTTCGTTTTTTTGGCTTGAAAGCGTAACAGGACGGTCTTGATCGGTTGAAAGAATCCCAAAGAAACTATCAGTCTGCATGTCGGCTTTGGTGTGTTTTCCGCGGTATTATATGGCTCGTTGAGTATACGATGCGCATCATCATTGACCAATTTGTGTGTATCCGGACGACAGAAGCTTAAGAGGGCGATCTCGATCAGTCCTCTCATTCAGACACAATCAGTTGGCATGTCACATTCGACCCCTGTCCTATAGGGATTTCTTCCACTTTCCGCGATGTGTATCGTGTGTTGAGTCTATGACGTTTGATATCATTCGAAGATCTGCGCGTGGTGGAGGACAAAGTGCGTCACCCCCTTGGTATTTCTGTGCCACTCTCCCTTGAGAGCCCTCCGTTTCTGCATTGAACGTGATGTTTCTCGTACGTCTCTTTTGATAAATGATGTTTAAATCTAAATCTGAATTACTTTACTTTTCTCCTACTCTACGTCTTGCGTCCGTGCCACGCAGGCGAACGCGTCGTTGTGGTGTGTCATGGAGGCGTCATCCACGCCCTACACGAGCATGCCACGGGTTACCCCTGTAAGGGCGAGGTAGCGAATTGCTCCTTCAGCGTCGTATCCGTCTCTACCACCGGCAAGTGGGACGTCCTCCATTGGGGCGACGTGGGCCATTTGGCTCACCTGTCTTTCTTGAAAGGGCACACTTTGTAGAAATGGACGCTAAACCCTGAAACCCTAAAACACACTGGAGTCGTCGAATTGGTTGCTTTCTGCAAAAAAGTGAACCTTCCATTGTAGGAAAGCTCGGCACAGCTTAAATGACAGTACATATTCACACAAAGATATCTCGAATAACTAAAGTATAAAAGAGCTCCATATACGTACGGATCTTGCAACGGCAGCGCTGCTCCAAGCAAGTCATTGATTATTGGAACGTTCCGAATTAGTGAATCAAGTCGCCACTTGGAGCAGATTAATGAAGTATAGGCCTTTGAAACTTGCTTGGTTGAAACGCAAAATGCAACCTAATGTATTTGTAGAAACGTATACTGGCGTTCGGTAGAAAAGTATACTGGCGTTCGGCTGAGTTAGAACATGGGCGGAATGTCTCTTTGCTGCAAGTACTAGTTCAATTGAAGCCGTTATAAGTTGCGAGATGATGCCGGCCCCCGGCTTCATATTATCTGACGTGCATCATGCATTCATTGAGGTTCAAATGCTGAGTACGCATGCACCAGTAACCGTCTCCTATCCTCCTATGCATACTGTGGTTCAGCCAGACTTGGAAAAGACTAAAGGACTAAGCCAGGCGGCCAAAGTGTGCGGTTCGTTGCTGAGGCGCTGGCTATGTAATTGCTACAATTAATTGCACTTCTATAACCGTGAGTCAACGTTCAATTTGCCGCAGTCAAGGTCTTGAACCGTCCATCATGATACGGGCCATGATAGCGATTTTTACTATTCACAGGCTAATTCTTAAGAATTATTGTGGGTACTCTAACCATATTTTCTTAGAATATAAGGTTCATGCAGTCGAAAGACAATGCTGCTACCTATGATGATCCAAGCACCAGTCAGTGCCACCAGTGCATTGGCTTACCACGATCAGTGGCAAGCCTGACTCTGAGGAAAATCTAACGAAATCTGGCGGCAAAGCCACGTGTCGGCCTGTCACTGCCATAACGGTCATCTTTGTCGGGGACTGTGTCGGGTTCACCTTGTGTCGGCGGATGGATCGAACACGCGCGTACTAAAGCAGGCTGAGTCATTCACGGTTCGATCAGATCTTTTATATCACATCGACGGTCATAACTTATCTCGAATGCATAAATCAGTTATCGGCCGAAGATGCACCCCGATCGCCACTACCTAGTACCGCAAACTTCTGGCACGAAGAGTCCGGCCCATAGAGGGCAGATACCGCAGTGTACCGGTAGATACTAGGAAGTGACTACCTAGCAGCTACTCCAGATCGGTACCTAAGACTACCTGACCTGATAGTACCATTGCAGACACTGCCCCTCGAGCGGTTTTGCAAGTTCCTGCTCTAGGCTGCTGCTACCGGTATTGGGGCTGAGCCGCCCAGTAGCCTAGCTAGCATACGCGGAATGCAGAGAGCTTCTTACAGGCCAGCCAACGAAAGCTCTCAAAATTGTAGTGGTGGAGGCGTACAGTTAGACAGCTCCTTACTAAGCTGCAGGGCAATTGAGAGGCGCGGGGTGAGGCGTGCTGAAGCCGGCATTGCTCCAAGCCCGGTTGCAAGTCAATGCCACTTCGACATTCTACGAGGCTCCTTTTGGATCGAGTCACTTCGCTTTTAAAGACAGGTGTCAGCAATGCCGACAATGCTACGACCGCATGACCACTTGAGACATCCTGTCAAGCTTGAGAGGTCGTGACGTGAGCATAGGGAGGTCGACAGGTGAATAGAGTGTCCACAAAGGGTGACCTCGGAAGGTCCTTCTGTTCCTTGAAAGCAGAAAATGGGGTTTCGCCAAGGTGGGTCAGAGGGCACCATGGGGCGATCGCGCAGCTACAGCACCCTTCCGGAAACCCTGGTTAAGCTGGAACCACCGCCCTTTAACCCAGCGCGCACCGCAAAACGCTCAAGCTGGGCTGCCGCGCCGCCATGCAAGCAGAAAGTGGACGCTTTGCCAGTGACTCAGGGGGTGTACGAAAAAGGCCACGATGGGGGTTTGGTTTTGGCTTCAAAGAAAGGGGGTTGGATGAAGGAGGTGCGGCGGGCGGGCAACGCGCTAGTGGCGCTCGCGTTGACGGCGTTGTTTGTGACGGCAGTGCTGTCGTCATCTTCTCGTGTGAACCAGGTGAGGTCTGGTAGCAACAATGCCGTGCATGCAAATGCTTTTGTTGTCGTCGGTTATCTACAATGAAACGGGGAATGGCTAGAAGACAGCTGAAGAGATGAAGGTGGGGCTGCTTGAGTGTTGTATCTATTGCTCGGTGGACCCACTTGACAGCTTTCATGCAAGTGCTGCAAGTTACGAGCTTTGGAGGCAGCTTTCTTGTATAGTGAAAAGAGCCCGTGCACACACGAGGTCAACAGAAACGACAGTTGGCAGAAAGGGGCTGTCAATGGCAAGGACCAAAGCAGCTGATTGATGGGAGTACGTGGAATCAGGTTGTACGTTGCGAAACTTCGATTCTTAAGTCACAGCAATATATCCAGCAATCGTCTGCATCTCACATTCCAGACAACCACCAAATACCAGGTGTGGGCAAACTCCTTCACTGCTGACAGCTTAATACATCAGTTGCAATGCATCTTGGCAAGAGAGCCCAGACGAAACTGGACGAACTGCAGGCAAGACGAAACAGAATGCAACAGCCACGTACATACACCCGCGGGTAAACCAGACTTCGCATCCACGGGAGACTGATTTCTAGGCCAGTCCACAGTGAAAGAAGGAAGAGCACTTATTGACAAATTCTGCAGACCTGTAAAGCAAACTTCTCTTTATGCAGGACTTCTCCCCAGATCGGTCCCAAAGCACAGCGCTCAGCGAGCCACGTGTCAGAGCGCTACTAGGCGGCGCGAACTTGACTGCGAGGCCCGCTACCATCGTCAAAGTCAGCAAGCACAAGTCAAAGTCAAAGTCGCACGCGCACAGTGGACACAGTGACGGGCACAGCGTTGGACAGCTGTCGGAGAGCCACGCACAGCTGTCACAGGGGCACGGGCATTTGTCAGTAAGGATTGAACACCTGTCAAAGGGGGACGGGGATCTGTCAAACGGGCTCGGACAGCTGTCAGAAGCGCTCGGACAGCCGTCGGCACAGAATGAACAGCTGTCAGACACAGGATTAGGACAGTCGTCCCCAGGTTTAGCACAGCTGGCACGGGAGTCGAATGAAATGTTACAGGGGGAGAAGCGCGAGCTCCATGCGGGAGCTGAGAATACGGGAGAGGACACGGAAGTAAGGGAAAAGGAAAGCGGGGAGATAGGTCTGGGGCGTAATGAAGTAACGGATGCTGGCGTTCCCAAGAACGAGGTTGGGGGGAGAGTGGCGGCGGCGGGGTGGTGGCGAGGGTTCAGCAGATTGGACGACGTGCGTGCTGAACTAAGTGCGAGAAGCGTGAGCGAAGAGGATGCGGAGATGGGAGCGAGAACGACAGCGGAACGAGTCGTTGAGGAGCAGAGTTTTGACGTAGCGGAACCGGAACGTAATCGTGTGGGGGTGGGGAAGGTCCAGGAAACAGAGGGGTTGCAAACGGTTGATGAAGCAGGTCGAGAAGGAGGAGAGAGTAGGGTTGAGGCGGCGGGGGCGAGAGAGCGCAAGTCGCGTGGATCTGAAGGGCTGGTCGTGACTGGAATGACAGGTGCGCCAACGGAAACGGATATGGAAACGGCAACGGAAACGGATTGGGAAGAGCGGCCGAGAGCGACGGCCCCCAAGAGGGCAAATAATAATAGCGAAGAGGAAACGGAAGCGGAAACGGAAACTGAAAAGGGAGTGGTTTTGACGGAAGAGGGAAGGGGTCAGCAAAAGGGAGGCTCTCGCCAGCTGGACCTCTGGAAGGCTCCGGACCGGAAGGGGTTCCGGCCTTGCCTCGAGAAGATGGCAACGGAAGAACGTAAGTCGGAAATCTTGGTTTCAACTGTGGTCTGGGCGCACTGGTTGCCGACGTATACGAGCTGCTCTGGTGACGTCAGCCTCACCGAACGGCCTTTGTTAACAGCGCAGGTTGACACTTCGAGGCTCAGGGTCCTTACATGCAATTCGGCAGTTGCCAATTATGAACTGGCACTTGACGGATTGTACTTTGGAGGAAACTAGATCTCAAGTTACGGAGATCGATGAGCATTGAAATTCATTACCCATCTCGTGCAGCGCCGTACGTTCCGACGGGTTACCTCATGGTTCAGTGTAACGGAGGTCTTAACCAGCAGCGAGCAGCGGTAAGCCCTTGTGCCGTGCAGTCGAATGTGCTTTCCGCGACGCGTGTCGTGCTCTTCTGCTTCGCGCGAGCTTCTTGATTTCTTGCGCCCCGACGTCAGCATCTGCAAAGTGAAGATAACGGACGTCTTTTGTGAGCGGTTTCTGCCCATATCGAAATGGATCCAGTAAAGCGGGTACATGTCGAGACGAACGGGCGCTCATTCGAAGCTGTCTCAAAGTCAAAATGTGGCGGCGTCAGAACGATTGATTCTGGGCGCGCACTTATCGTACTATTTCGAAGAAGCTTCAGAACTGCTCTTGAGTGCTGACGCCCTGACTTCTACGCAACTGTATATAGAAGTGGTTCAACAACCAGCTTTGGAGTCTTACGGCTCTGTTTCGATTCCTACTAAGTCTTACTACAGGTTTGCAACGCGGTGGCCTTGGCCCGGTACCTGAACCTGACCCTGCTGGTACCGTACCTCCAAGCCCACGCGGTTTGGAACGACCACACGTAAGTCCTATCCACATTCTGCTTGACGGAACTGCCTGCTTGAGATCGACGTGACCGCAGTTAGGCGGTCGAAGCAGCGACTTGTGCGCTTTGAAGCCCCAAAAGCGAACGTAGTGCTCCGACTTCCATCGACCGATACAGAATCCGTCTCTATTCTGCGCGACCAAACAGTAAAAAGAGCCTTCCTGCTGGCTGCCCGATAGAGTCGAAGGAAAACATGCGGCCACGTTAGGATGTGCATGACGGAAGAAGCGCTTGCATCATACCGACCTCTTGAGAGATGGAACGAAGGCTTTTGGAACGAATCAGGCACAAGGATCTGATGGATTCGGACAGTAAGGCGTTAAGACACATGACAGGCAACATCCACAAAACAGGATCACTTGACAGTCGTGAAACCATAGGGAAGGTTCTAACACAAGATCAGCGATTCTCAGAGACTCGAGAACCTTGTGAAGCTAAGAAAATAGCCATGCTCGTTTAACAGCTGTCAGCTGCGCCTTTCTGTTTTCTTGAAAGACATGGCAGGACCTCTCGGAACTGCCCACGTTATCTAGACCCTGGAGCCATAAGAACCTCGAAACCCTGACAGAATATAGCCACCCTGCCCCAAGCATTCACTTTGCGCCACGTGTCACGTGCAGCAAGTTCCAAGACCTCTTCGACCTGGAACACTTCATCCAGTCCCTGGAGGGCCACGTGCGCGTCGAGCGCGGCGCGCCGTCGACCGCGTTCGGCGGAAACCTCGAAACCCTGCGGAACATCCCGCGCAACGCGCGCCTCGATTGGTAAGAAACCCTCGTCGCCTGCTTTTATCAAAGATATTGATTCAATATTTTCTTTGTTAAATTGTGTCTGAAATTAAACTAAAGCACTGCGGAGATAATACCATAAAGATGATAATATTTTACGCACCCTGGGATGCGCATTTCCCCGTTCTTGCTCTTCGCTTTCCAGACCCCCATTTCACGCTCTCTTTGCGTCTTCACATATGATCCGTTATACCGGTAACGCTCGTGTGACCTAACGGGCGTGTGACCTAAGATACGAGTTACCCGGGCACATCAAACTAAAAACCTAACACAAATAATCACCCGCTCCCGCACCCTAACCCACCCTAACCACCATACCAACCCCACCCGTCCCCCGGGTGCCTATCTTAGGTCACACGGCTCTTAGGTCACACGAGAGTTATCGGAGTTGATCCGTTCCGTTCTTCCGTTCTGCTCTTCCGTCCCCATTCGTCAATCACGTGCTCCTTTCCTTGTTTTTGTTCTTTTCTGTCTCTGCTCTGTTCCAACTTTTGAATCTTCTGTACCGCCACAGGTACGACGCCAACGTTCACCACGTGTTGCCCGCCAACGGTTCCGGCGTTCCGGCGAAGCCGACGGGTTCCGGCCTCGTTCCGCGCAACGCGAGCGCGCGCGTGGTGTGGATGAAGCCGTTCGCCAAGCGGCTGGACAACAACCTGCCCCACTGGATGCAGCAGTTGCGGTGCAAAGCGAACTATGAGGTGGGGTGCTGACGTCACGTGATGTCAGCTACAGCCGCAGCTAAACGTCGGTGACATACAGTGCCCTCAAATCGTGACTCCAATTAGTTGCTGTTGCGAGGCAAGTTTTATGCTGGATGCTCAGCAATCAGGTGACTTGCAGCTGTCAGAAAGCTAAACTTGCTCAGACGACGGTCTCGATTCAAAAATACGGAGGAGAATCAGAGAAGGGGAAGGGAATCGAAGGTCATCTGGAAAGGTTTTCGAAAAGCAGGAGATCAGTGAAAAACTTCAGTTGGGCATTCATCAACAAATACCGTGCTGTCAGTCAGCAGACATATGACCACCCAAAAAGCTCGTCGAGAAGCACGATATACTCTGACATACATGATTACAATCCGCCCATAAACCGAGTTTCAGTGGTTTTAAGCGTTAACTTACATCTCTGCTTGCAGGCGCTGCGTTTCGCGCCCGAGATCGAGCGCCTGGGCAGCCAGATGAGCGCGCGCATGCGCGCGGCGACGGGCGGCCGCCCCTGGATCGCGGTTCACCTGCGGTTTGAGATCGACATGGTCGCGTACTCGATGTGCAACTTCGGGGGCGGCAAGGAGGAGCAAAAAGTGCTGCACGTGAGTTTGCAGTCGGCAGCTACCTTTCCCAGCAAGTGGTCTTGGTTCCTGATCTGAAAGTTTGATCTTTCAGTGGTCGAAAGTTTTGAGAAACTTTCCTTGGGTTTGATGTTTAAGGAAGAACGGCGAAAACTGAAGATCGAGGAGAAGGTTGCCACTTAAGGCGTCCTCGTAGCTTAAGGCTTAGAGTATGGAGATCATTTCAGTATCGTCCTCTTCTATCTTCTTTGAAAAAGTCACAATAAGCCGCCGCAACTGTCTTCGTGAAATTGTGGGCTCTGGAAACAACCTAGCCACCACAAACCCGCACAATTCTTATCTCAATATCGTTCTTCTCCAAAAATAACTCATGGAACCAGGTGTAAATATCGGGACTTCGAAGCCTGACTCTGGAGCCCTCAAGCGCTCACTACTTTACAATCTTTAAACCAGCCCCTTGCTTCAACCTGAAACATAGCGTGAAATGACGTGGACAATGAGGCGTCAACAGTCGGATTCTTGGAACCCAAAGGCTCTCTCGCGCAGGCTTACCGGATGACGCATTGGGACGTCACCCTGCGACGGAGCCGCGAGAAGCGATCCCCCGAGAGCCAGCGGCAGCGGGGGCAGTGCCCGTTAACACCGGAGGAGGCCGCGCTCTTCCTGCGGGCTCTGGGCTTCGATGAGAATACGCACATCTACCTGGCGACGCACGACCAGCAGGTGAGGCGCGTGTTGTCGTTAAAACGTGGCTAAGACACATTAGTCTTGCTACGGAAGTGTTGGTCGTTGAGAAACTCCTTCACCTTGCTCATAATATGTATGATGCGGGCAATTACACGGCGGTCTGTTGCAACTCGGTGCTGACGAAGCATGGAATGGAGGCTCGAGTGACCGTAGTATGGGTTTCCGGCTTGGTCTCCTGACTTTAGAGAAAGGAAAGGACTGCGAAATAGGTATGGTCCGCAAAAGCCTACTAATTGTTTCCGGACCCGCATTGTTTGGAAACGACCACAACCCTTCAGTTTTCTGCTGGGTTCCTGTCACCAGCTTTGACACAAGACAACTGCTTATAAATTGTGCGGAGGCCCTGTCAGCTTGGCCCCCTTCAAGGTGCTCTTCCTGCGGACGTCCGCAATAGGCGCCCTCCTACCACCTTCCAATTTTATCCGGACTCAAACGTGGAAGAAGGCTCTGTCTATCTTCTCAGAAACCTTACCCCCGCATCTGTACGGCGGTCCGGCCAGTCTGGCCCACTTCAAGGCGCTCTTCCCGCGGACGTCCGCAAAGGCCGCCTCGCTATCCTCTTTCCAAATAAGCATCGAACTTTATCTTCGACACAGTTAGAGACTAGGAGATGAAGGAGCGCTCCCCCTGAACCTTCAAAACTATTTCCCCAGCTGTACGGAGGTCCGGAAAGTCTGGCCCCTTTTAAGGCGCTCTTCCCGCGGACGTCCGCAAAGGCGGATCTTTTGGACGCTGCGGACCTGGCGGCGCTCCAGAAGAAGGCGTCCTCGCTGGCGGCGCTGGATTACGTCATGGGCCGCGCGGCTGACGTCTTCATCCCGACGGCCACGGGGAACATGCCCAACCTCATCATGGGGCATCGGTGAGAGACTTTCTGAAGATTTGATGTTCAAAAGCTGCCAAAATACTTGTGATTTCTCGGAGGGTAATTTCAGAGGCAGTGGAAACGATTGATCAAAAGCAGCCGGGAAGAGACACCCAGCGTAAACCTTACTGTCGTTCAAACTTGACGGGCGGCTTTCTTCCGATTTACAACTTCCGTTCTGCATAGGACTACCTGAAACGAAAAGCGTTGATTGGAGGCAACTAAAAAGAGCCCTGTTCGTTTGACTCGTTCATGTATGCCTCAAAATGTTGTAGCTTGTCGAATTCAGCTGAAGCTGTATCACTTCTTTCAGCCAGACAATGCCACGGACTTTTGATTGGATGCTACAAGACGGCTCGATCTCGTGCTTCTGTGGCAGATTCGAAAACAGACGCTGACGCTAGCGATGACGTACGCTTTCAATCGTTACCGTGGATCTGAGCAACTTTGATCTTGCCACGTACCCACTGGAGAATCTGCAAACGAAACTAGGGATCTATGCTATGTCAAGTTGGTGACATTTTCGCACTGTTCGCCCCCACAGAATGTACGACGGCTTCAAGAAGACGATCGAGCCGCACCACCGCAAGCTGGCGGCGCTGCTCGCGCAGCGGAACGCACTTCCGTGGGAAACGATAGCGGAACAGATCCGGACGGACCACGAGTTCCGGGACGGCGGCCCCTCGAAGCGTGCGAGGACGTCCAACTTTTACGGCAACCCGTCCGAATGCTTCTGCCACGAAGCGTCCGGATCTGACGTCAGCTTGGCGTCAGCACCTGACGTCAGCTTGGCGTCAGCACCTGACGTCAGCTCGGAGTATGCGTCGGAGGTCGGGGTCAATGGTGTCCTGAGTCATGGAACCGGGCACGGCTTTGACATGTGACGTCATTTGACCCCTGGTCAACTGGCGGATACGTGTCGATCATACAATGTCCTGGTACCGCCGCAAGTAATAAACAAGCGTATAACATAAGTTGCAAGCTCTTATTTAGAAGCACCCGATCGTGCGCTTAGTCGCACGGATTGAAGGAAGTGCAGCGTAGGCTATTAAGACAAAGTGCAAACTATAAGCTAATATAAACTGTAGCTGATAAGCAGACGGATACGCGTATATGTGGTAAAATAGACGGTTCCTAACACGCGCGCCTCAGACGGACGGAAACTGCGAAGTGTGTACTACGTAGACGTATTAGAGCAACTGATAATAGACGCCGGCCACGTCAGAAGAGGTCAAAAGAGTCTTTGTTTAAGTTTACTACTGGATGGTCAACTTGTCCGAGCAAACGAACCGGACTTACAGCGGCCCACCTTTCTTCACCGTTCAGCATTTTTCAAGCTATAGAGTTCTGGAGAAGTCATAAAGCTTTTGACTTCGATAGGGTTCAATGCCGATTGTGCCTCGGAGATTGTTGGCGACGATTGCAAACGAGGTGCGGCCGGGCCCGGACACCCGCACAAAGCACCGTTTTAATATCGCAGTGATGCAAAACTATTGCGCCTCTCGATCCATGATAGTTGAGATTTGACTTATCATAGTGTGATCTGTGGAAGAAAGGTTATAGTACGAGCGGCCCCGGCCCGGCAAGCCCGCCGTTCCATTATACGTGCTAGCCTGAACGAACGACCTAGTACCCGTCGCATTCCAATTAAAAGTCTATATGCATCTTGATGGGTACACGCGCATGGCAGCGCGGCATATCTTGGCATGAAGCTGCCGCAGCTCGCACATCCGCTTTTGATCAAGCACCCTCTCCAATGACGGTGTGGCTGCCGGGACCTTAACGGGGTCGCGACACCGTATACAGCTCTGTGATTCGTTTTCTGACATAGGTAGAAACACAACCTTCTCTTACAGAAAAAGCCTAGCGGGTACACGACTATAGGATCCGCCTGGCGGCCGGGCTCGCTCAGTGTCTCACGTGTGTTTCCATTGAACATGGACTTGAGGACCGCAGTGCAGACCGTACTGATATACGTATTGATTTCTAGAGAAGCCCTACACATTGACTTTGGACAGCGACCGCCCATGCGGAGCTAGAAGGTCGACTGCCCGGATTGCTTAGAAGCTTGATTGACTCCTCGCACTCGTGGCACTTTATAAACACTCCAGAAAAAAACTACACGGGCAAATGAGCGCAAACCATGATCCAAAGCGACGGCCACCTGTTTTCGATTGTACAAAATTATTTGGCAAACGATCTGTATCTCAATCTCAGCTCTCATCTTTCTGTACAGTTCTCGCACAATGTGGAGGTTGATAGAGTCCTCGTCTACACATCCAGATCCATAAGACCAACCGAACTCAATGTGGAGGGCTCTGGGGCGACAAACGTGCCGTTACCAGTAGCTACTGACCAAGACAACGAAACAGTCCCCACCGAAGCCCCAATGCGTCTAGCCGAGAACAGCTCTGGTTGGCTTCTCCCTCCCATTGTTACCACGACTTCCCAAGTTTGCTGTTCCGAGTCTAGTTCGTCAAGATCGTCAGACCTTTCCACCAGGACTCCATGTCCGGATCCTGTAGATTGTGGAAGCTTCTTCTCTAGGTTCAGCTGCATCCGCACAAGTCTGAGAGCCTGTAGGAGAAAGTGCATCATGTCACAAGGTCTCAAATCTGCAGTGGACCGACTGATGTCCTCCTCACGAGGAATCTGTAGGTTGTCAGATATCGAAAGCACAGGGCTTTCACAAGAAGATACAAAGCTTTTCGCGTCCTGAGAGCAGCCTGCTTGAAGCAATATGGAAAAGTCGACAGAAAGACACGACTTTCCTAAAAGGACCTGTTCCTGATTCAGTCCTCTATGCAGATTAACAAACATGGTCAAGCAAAGCACTGCTGATGATCCGACCAGAATGAGTTCGCTGCTCACCGACGCTTCCGCTTTCAGAAGGTTGAACGTGGTCGAGTTGCCAGCATATTCCCTGAGTGCTGTCTCGATGGCAATGATCCTGTCGTCAGACGTTGAAAGACCAGGAAAGGGCCACAATCCTTCTGCTGCCACTCCTCGAGAGCTGGCCTTGCTCTGATTGTCACGAGCGGACAACTCAAGGGCACCGGCTGACAATCTTTTCACCTTGAGCCTTGCTGCTTCTGCGATAGCGTTTGCATTCTCGCTGACAGGACTTTTTGACACAAGAGCGGTTGCCCCCACCACAACTAGGCTGACCACAGGCTTCTCAGACCGACTTGCGGCGGTCCTCAAAAGCAGAGCTACATCTGCTGCGACCAGTTCCTCTGGAGAATCGATTGGAGGCAAGGGAATCCGTAGAGGACGGGCCAATGAGATTTTTGATGCGCCAACTATTGTCACTGTTGCCCCTTCTGCAACGACGACCTTCTTCAAAGGGCCCGCCTCCACGTCATGCTGCAGAAAAGAGAACAGTGCTCCTCAGCAATACTTTCTCCCTTTGCCTGACATAAGTCCAACCTCATATCATGCCATGTGGCAGCTTCCAGTGCCCTCCAGGTCTTAAACCCAATATTTTTGCTCCTCCAGGTTGCAACAATGTAGGTTTATGCAAGGCATTGAGATTGATACATGCACGGCAAATAATACTCTTGTTCAAGGCAACAGTGTCAGCTTGAGAAGAATACACTTCAGTAGAACAGGAGTACTAGGGCAACGCATGGCCGACAGCTCTTCGACTGAGCACACTAGCCCGTTGACTGCCGCGTCTCTTTGAGTGTCTGCTCATCAAGGATGTCAAGAATATAGCAATCGTAGAAAATGCAATTTCTTTACCAACTTACCGGCAAAGCCAGTCTCAGGTTTGGACTTCCCGGAAACCACAGCTCCACAGTTCCAGAGACGTCTATCTCTGGCAGGGTTGCCAAATGTCCCATGCCTAGTTGTTGCCTCACCACTAATGCTGTGTCACCATTTTGCTCAACTTCCCCATCACGTAGCGCCAGACTGCCGACCTCTTCCCACAACTCCGGCTCCTCACTGAATGAGAACTCGAGACCTTCTGGCCATCTTTCAAATCCGCCAACCTTGTAGTCATACTTGGTGGTACTAGCAAAATTCACATCCTCAAGCGAGCCAACTATAGTGGCCTGCGCGTCTGACCGCCACTGCGGAAGCTTGCTGATTACTTCAACTGCTTTCACTGCCGCGTTGTGTAGTGCCAACTCCCCAAAGGCCTCTCTATGCTGAATGACGCTAGTGGTGTCACCGTGCGCTGTGACACCCAGAGACCAGCAGGCAAGGAGGGGCAAGGCAAGAAATGGAAGAAGAAAGGGGGACATGCCTAGGCCTTGACGAGAGGGCTTTGCTCGTCGAGGAATCTTCATGACGGCCACCAAGATCTTGCGGGACGTTCTAGCTGGTCTCCTATTTGTTTATTCTCTACCACCGCCCCCTTCCTGCAGGAAAGCTTGTTGCTGCAGGTGTTCAAACGAGGCTAACGTACCTCTACGTCCCTGGCGCCTTCGTTTGGCCTGCTTCTCATGCTTCCTACCTCGCTCCTCCAATTCAAGACCTTTTGACGGATCGAGCTTTTGAAAGGCCACTTTGCCAGCCGCCACTGTTTCGACTCAAACCCAGAGCAAGCTAGTGGCATGAGAAGTTTCGAGAACCCTAATGTGGCGCTGTAGGGAGAGGCTTGAAAACCGTCCGATCCAGTAATTTGCGCTAATCGTGCGGCATACAGTCCTCCGCATTGCTCGCACCAATCAGAGCTGTTCGCTTGACGTGGTCGCGCACGTGTCAGTCGTCAGATAGTAAGATGTGTATATCGACGGTCGATATATGATCCGGCCTTGCCACAAAATGGCGCGAGAATTTTGACTCAGTGCGCCGAGTCCACATGAATTCAGAATGACGGTGCTGCAGCTCAGCAGCATGACTGGCGCAAGAGGAACAAAGCAGCCGAACTTTTCTCGGAAAACACCGTCCAATTTGACCAACCGGGCACTGATTCAAGACTACCGGGAACCTCACCAACACTAAAAACCGAAGAATATGCCTCAGCCGTTAGTATAACCCTAATCGTAGTGCAGTCACAGTAAGGTGGCACGACCCTAACAAACCGTCACAGGCTTGCAACATAACCCTAATGTCACAGGGGGGCCCGGTTGCTTGTTGGCGGTTCCATGTCCGGTCAGTAGCAAACCGGCGTCCGCAACTTTTTTCCGAGAAAAGTTCGGCTGCTAGCCTGCTTTGTCCATTTTGCATGACTGGCATGAGGAGCTTAGGTACGGTAATGATAAATCGATAGTACGATACCTACCCTGGTCCAGTGGCACTTCCAAGTTCCAAGTGGAGGCGCCGCAGAGTGGAGGAACCCAACCTCGAGCTGTCCCAGTCGGCAGTGGTGCTTCTTCAATCACGATATCACTCAAAGATTGCAGGCGCCAAGAGCACTTGACGCAGTCATTATGGCTGGCAATGGGCGCCAGAATATCGAGTGCCCTTTTGACACGCTGTCGCAGGAGTTGGTAACCTTGATCTTGCGAAAGGCCTGTGAGAATTCGGCAAGGAGCTACTCAACTTTGCAAGAGAGAGGAAAGCTTCCGAAGATAGGTCCAAATCGGACATGGTTGTCGGCGAGTGCCTTGCATCAACTGAAGACGGTCTGCCGACGTTTTCAGAACTTGGACAAACAAGAGACGCCTCAGCATCTAGTTTGGGAGTTGAACAGTGCGGCACCATTGGCAGCCGCCGCAGTGATGAATCAACTTGGGGTTCATCTTGAGGGTCTGACACTAAGCTACGTGCATGAGTGGAGAGAACAGTTTCCGGCGGGGGCATCGATTGAGTTTCTGACGGCTGTTCTTCGGCAGGCGCCCAGGCTCCGCACATTTTTCTTGAACAGCTCTGAGATAAAGCAGAGTGACGAAGCTTGCCAACACTTGTTTGGGCTTATAGCGAGGTTGCCACTTCAGACTCTTTGGCTTATGAGCTCAGAGTTTCCTTTCACTCAGCCACTTGTAACCAGGCAGCAGTTCAGTGAATTGCTAGAGGTTCGATTAGCACACTCAATGCTTTCCGATCAGTTCCTGCACACCCTCCTTGAGCGCTCGCCCAAGCTCAAGAAGCTCTGCCTGGAACACTGTCAAGGGTTAGAAGAACCGCGCTTCAAGGCTCCAAGCCTTCAGAAATTAGTCTTGCAAGAAATGCAGATAGACAACAGTGAAGTGGTTATTGATGCGCCCACTTTGACCACTTTGAAAGGGATTCCTGGACTTGGGCGGCTAATTTTACATGCACCTAATCTGGAGAACCTCTTCTTGGAAGGTCCGATCGAGGTCCTGGAAACACCTGCCTGCAAAATTCAGCTGTCAATCTTGGGTCTGAGTGGACGCAATTGGCAGATGGATGCTGTGATGGATCTTTTGAAACGATTTGGAGCCTCTAAGCGGTTCTACCTCCAAGTGGAAACCTGGCACCAAGAAAGTGTAGGGAAGTCTCTTTTCAATTTCATGAACCACATTCCCAGGACAATAGATGGGCTATCTCTAGGCAATGCCAGCTTGCAACTCTACCAAGTCACACTCTCTGAGGTGCAGCAACACCTTCTGCAATTTAAGAGGCTCAAGCTCGTTCAGTTCACCTTGACCGAAGCGGAGGACTTCAAGTTGTTTTCCACCATCTTATTGTGTTGTCCAAACTTGGAGAAGACGATAGTAAACCTTGACAACCTTCACAAGCCAATTGAGGGTCTGGTGACGAGAGCTGTAGAGCTCCAGAGAGCTTATCCGCATGTCGATGTGCAGTACAAGGAACCCCCTCAGTTCGTTTCGTCTACACATCTTCTAGATATAGCTAACACACCAGGAAAACACGTAGCCTTGTTGGACGAACTACAAAGTTTCTTATACTAGTAAGTTTGCAAGTTTGCAATTGCCATCTCATTTCGCAGATATTCAATATTGTGGGAGCACCGTTTTCAGGAATTCGCAAGGATCAACTGCTAGACGCTGTCTATGTCGACAACAATGAAGGGGCTTTGCATCGTAGTGTGCCTTCCTGCATTGCATTCTGGTCGATTGGCAGCACCGTGGCACCTTGAATCGGCCACGTAGCATCATGCTGCAAGGTGCTCGGCCATGCCATGACTCTGAGCCCTGTGGCATGAGCCAACGGCATGATAGTGGAGTCCCTCGACACACAACATGTCGTGTGTACATAAGTTGGAGCATAATTTAGAGAGTCCTTTACAGTGGTCAGAAGTATGGTTTAGCATGCAAGATAAGTCTTTGCTCAAATGTGTTTATGCCGGACAACGCAAGATCGATCTGCATGTAGTATGTGTGTGTCCATTGCAAGTATAATGCATTCGACAGGTCATACTAACACTATTAGGTGCATATCATGTACGTGAGCCTATAATATTTGAGTAATTGTTTATATATACATGGACATATGGCACACGTATGCCAGCAAGCTGATCAGACGTCAGCTCATCTAGATATGGTGCCTCGATCACCTCAGACTCACATGCCATGAGTTATACGAGCAAGTATGCATATGGCTGCCCCGGCCTTGAAATGCATTTGTTACCAAGCTTGCAAACCTCCAATGATTCTTCAGAGTTAGTCATGCAGGCAACCATGTGAGCTTATGTATACGCTCATGCCTGCATGGGGCGTCCCCATCTGCCAGCATGATCATGCATGCACTTGCGGGACTTCAGACCACCACACACACCAGCATGCATCTATGATCAAAAGCGGCCATGTATATGCAGGTAGGCTGATATCATTGCAGCTAGAGTCTCCAGGCTTGCAACAAACTAACCAAGACCACGCAATTTGTTGGTGAAGCTGGGACAGTCCTCATGTTTGGATGCAAGAAAGGCAGCAACGATACCGTCTAAGATTGGCAGACCTGTTGCATAAACTGAATAAGCGTGTGCTTCCACCGGCCAGTTGTAACAGTCCACCAGCGCACCTTACGTGTGCAACCCACTGCACGACTAGATTCAGATTCGGTACCAGAAGAACTATGTACAGACTGAGACTGACGTTTTTGATCTCAAATTCGAAGCCCTATACGACAACCTTTTCGCATGAAGTTGCTTCTTCATACAGAGCCTCGAAAGGGAAATTTACAGGCCGTTGCAACCTGGAAATAGAGGCACTCGTCAGCAATGAATTTGAGAGCAATGAATTTAAGAGCAATGAGATCGGCATCTACGAAAAGTGCGCGTCATTGCTACCGTGACCGCTGCACTCGATTTACTTCGTCTTTCAGGCTTCAAGCCTGAAAAAGAAGAAAAGAAATGGAAGATAAAAACAAGAAGAAGAAGAAGAAGAAGAAGAAGAGGAAAGAAGTACGCATGTGTCGGATGCATAGTACTTGCAACTCCTAAACTCCCAGAACGCAACAAGTTTCGTCGCTCAAGCAAGTCTCGATAAAATGAATCGTAATCCAACAACTTGACCATTTTCATACTTCCATAGACTCTCACACGTCATGCGCTTACCAATTGTCCTCCGCCCACTTGCTCCCCTGACCTTCGATGACATGCACAGTGTACGCGTGTCGTGACTTGGGGGATTGGTTCTCGTGGCTGCAAGGCAAAGATGGGTGCGCCTTCGGTGCTCTTTCCCTCGTTCTCCGAAAGAACGCAAGGACCCGTAAATAGAACCCGGTTTCCTTCCAAGGCTGCCTGAACCCCATAATTTATAAATCTGAGCTTGCTCTTCGGGGCAACTCCGTGCAATGTAACGGCTCTACCACAGCACGCAGCAGGGCATCTCTTTCTTGTTGCAGGACTAGAAACTCGTAGGACAAAAAGGAAAAGGTCAGCAACCTTTACAGCTTCGTCAAGAGACTGCGCTCCGCTCACAGACAACGGCTGACAAAAGACGTCCGAGACTGAACAAGAATTATTCACACCCTGCGAGGTCACGCGGCGCACCTCATGTGAATAAGGCTCCCGTCGAGCAGGACCACCGAGCCCGCGCGCGCTTCAATCGGCACCATTTGCGTGACGTCATAGTGCGGCATGTCCTTGTCGAAGTGGACCCCGTTGTCCGTTCGTATAAATCGCCGCACGTTGCCCTCTGAGAATTGTAACGAGAGGATACAATCATTCGGCGGGCAGCCCCAAAATATGTGGCGCGATTGCAAATGCTTCGGCAATACCGTAGTATTTCATTGAAGTACAAAGCATTCGGCCAAGCCTGCTTTAGCACTTCTTTGGCACCTACCACATCTGCATTGAGCCCGTCAAGTCGATTTTGCCCTCCGAACTCCACCAAGAAGGACTACAACGGGCTCGACCAGAAGAGGTTCCTGGAACATTTCAGGCGACATCTCAAAGGAAGCGAAGAGCCAACAGCTGGCAGTACGTGTTCCTGTGTGGATATCTTGATAAGATTCTCACATAACTATGTAGATAACATGCGCTCTCACCTTTGTGTGAGCCAGGAAGGGCCCACAGGCACCCGTTCTCTTTTGTAGCGTCCTCGAGCGCGACCCAAAACGCGACCACGGAGGGGGGGTCCGTGTACAGGAACGTGTTGTCTTGGTGCGGAACGACCTCCCCTCCAATTCCGGGTTGCTGCAACCCGGAATAAGCGGCCTTTTGAAAGTAGAAACAGGCGACATTGAGGGCAACTACGGAGGGATCAAAACGGCCTTCTGGACAAACCTCGTCCAGCAACCGGCAGCTAGGAGACGGGTAAGCTGCTTTCGCCGAGAAAAAGCCAGTAACAACTTCCAACCAATATTCGTGCGACTGAAACTTCTTGCGACTTGAACACAGGCACCTTTCAAGGACCGCAAACGACCGGAACCACAGGTTTTCGTCATTCAACAGGCTGGCAACCTCATAAACATAGAAGCCAAACAGAGGGGTAGATTGGAAGGATCTATGTAGCCGGCTCGCATAACCCGGAACGCTTCAAAGAGCGTACCTTGATTCAAAGAGCGTACCTTGAAAATATACATGGACTGGACGGGGAGCGGTCGCTTATAGCCCAGAGACGCCATCACGGCAGCAACCTTTTCTGACCGGGAAAAGGACCGAAACGCGGGGTCTAAGTCGTGCAGGGCTGCAGGAAATAGCAGAGGATTGAGAAATTAACGGAGCGGACTGGAGGGCGCGCAACATTCTTCCTGGGCGGTTTGCAAGGATATCGCACTTCTTTCCGAAGATGGCGAAAGAGGGAGTGAAAAAGAGTCGTACAGAGCTGCGTGGCACGCCCGAGTTGGTATGAGAAGGGACCAAAGTCAAGAGCTGTTGCCTGACTCAATTACGACGTTCCTGTGAGACCCCAAGAAAAGGGCGGAAAGCAGGGTTCTAGCTCGTGCAGAGCACGGGCAAGAAGGATAAGAAACATTAGCACCTGCGTCATGCTGACGTCAACAAACGCGGGTGAAGAGGCTCGCGAAGACAGCGAGGCCAGTGACGTCACGCCCACATCAAGCAAAGGCCCTTCGCCTCCAAAAGGACGACGCAGAGGCAGGAGGAGGACCAACGAAGCATGTCTTCTGTTCCTTCCGTTCTTCCGTTTCTTTCCTAAAACAGAAAGTGCGACTGCGAAGAGAACCGTCTGAAAGTCGACGTATGGTGCGAGGGTTTGAGCTAAGAAAATAAAACTTTGCCGCCTTTTGAAGAAATGCGTTTCAAGAAAAGGTGTGTCGACGGGAGCAACTGAAAGAAAAAGCTCCTCGTAGGTCGTCGCCACTAGAAGTACTGCTAACCATTTGACTTCCAAAACCTTCAAAAAGTTCTTAAATTCCAAAACCCTGACTTCTTCTGGAAGCAGCATCTCTTCGATCATTCGAAGGCGTCTTCCTGAACGGCTGTGCGCCACTACATAGGGAAGCCAACTTGAGACACCAGAACGGACAGCATGACTTATCAGGGGGGCCTGCATTAGTAAGTAACTGAGTGCATGCCGGCAAAAACTTCTACTTTCAACCAGCAATCAATCTCGTCAAGCCTTTTCGTCACATGGACTCGAAAGCAATCTCGTCAAAAGGCGCGACTTTAAGTAATACGTTTCGGCTGAAAAAGGGCGAGAATCGGGAGTAGGACTCACCATGCCCAATCTTGTTGATCGACAACGCTTTCGGCTGCACTAGCTGGCCCTTCTCGTCGAAAGCTTTCTCTGCAGGGCCGAACGAAGTAACCGACCAGTCAAAGCGTGACACGTGTCTTCTAGAAAGAGAAGGAAGTCCTGAGGCGAATTTTCTACCAACCGAGGTGAGAGCTCAGCGGCTTTCGGCGAAGAGCCTCAATCAGTCGCTGCGTGGGCCCTATGATTATAGCTCGTTGTTTTCAAGTAGAATCGCACAGGAAACGAACGGGATGCCAAACTCGGTTGCTGCACCCAGTCATTCCCCTTGAATACAAGAAACGAGGCAGAGAAGTACTACTGTAAATCCTAGACGTGGTTTCCAGCGTGCACTTTCAGAACGAACTCGAACGTTGACTTGGCCCCTGGTATGATTGCTGATCAATAACGGGTTTTTTTCGGAGGGTTTCATTTGGCGTGGCACGGAGCACAGAACATAGGACCTATTGTATGAAAAGAAACGACTCAACACGTTTGCAAATCATTGACCACTTAAGACATAAGACCCTCGAAAACAGGTCAAAGTCACCAACTCACGAAACCAGAAAGGAAGCCTTGTTTTGCTGGGTATGGATGTCAACGACAAGTCACAAGACGTCAATGATTGGTCGACAAAAGTTCGTATCCAGAGCTGTCTCCTTCCAGAGCCAGTCGAGGTGGAAAGCCGAACTCACCTTCAAAGAAGAAAGAAATGTTCCCTGCACTCTTGTGGAAGTAATCGTCTGTATGTTGTTTCTGCATGGCAAAGAATGGACAGGTATGGATTCAATTATCTGCAACATCTAGATATTCTTCTCATGAAAGGTCAAAGTTCAAAACCAGTAGTTTGACAAAAAGATCGTCGTAGGTCGGTACACAAGGCTTCCACGACGTTTGCACTCGCAACCGGCTGCCTCTTCAGAATGTAATATCGGGCCCCTTAAGAGTTCTGCCAATCCTGACTGTGGCAGGAACTGGCACTTCTCCTGCTGGTAGCTTGAAGGGAAACCACTGCGTAGCTGAAGAAGACTAGTATTTTAAGGCTTCAGAATCTTTGTAGTATTCTTGAACAATTTGATCCAGTTTCTCTTGAGCCAGAGGAGCCTGGAGAGAGCATACATTTATGTCAATCAAAATCATGTGATGTTAGGAGAGAAGAATACACTCCTATGATGTGCAACAAAAACGTATCACTCTTTGCATCAAGCTGGAATCACAACCTGTTTCATAACTCAGAATCTTTTCCCTCCTTCCTCTGACCTGGTTCTTGGTTGAGAAGATTGAGACGTCCTTTGGGTCAAACCCGGCAACCAACTCCTCAGCCCGCTGCTTCAGCCGCTCACATTCTTCCAGGCTGACAAAGTCCTCCAACAATAAGAAGCCTGCATACGAAATAGAGTTTGAAATTCGCATACATGCTTGGCGGCTGGTTGAGTGCCTTTTAATGATTGACAAACTGGTTACTTGCCCTCACACAATTTTAAGTGAGTATAAGCTTCACGTTTCCGAAGACAAAACTTTCTAACCTGATACAGCCAGCCTTGAGCACCTAGAGGACTACGCAAACCTGGCAGGCAGAAAATCTGCGCAAGAAGACATGTGACCACCTCCACAAGCTTTTTATTCCGGTATTTCAGTGAGTCTGCAACGCAAGTGCAAGGCAGGCCTTTCTTGAAATCCATGACAAAGTGCATCAGCCTTTGTACGAACTAGGCAAAGTGTGATACATATCTTGACACTTTTGATTGAAATACTTCGAGGAAAGTTGAGGGCCCCTCTTTTTATCTGGAGGCCCACCCAGTCCTATTGTGCAACATAACAGGCCTTCACTAAAGGAAGCCATGCACATACAACCACTTGTTGCCCCACTTTTTCCTGTGTTGAGAGAGCTGTCTCAAATAAAATCTCGAATAACAAAAAATTGCCTGGTGACGCAGGGCAAGTCAAAACTTTTGACCTGTGTAGACATTTATCCAGATGACAGTGCGATTCAACATATGCCAACAAAAGACCACAGCGCGCAGTCTGTCTATGAAAAAAGACGGTTCCCAAAAAAGTCTCCCTGCAATGCAACGTTGCGTTGCGCGACATGCAAATCACATTCGATGATACATATGCAAAACCGGGGACTGCTGTTTCTAATGATGACCAGTTCTAAAGAAGGGTTTGGAATATGGAAAATGTTTTTGACTAAGCTTTCCAACGAAAGGTGAAAAGTCCTGCTGGCCAATGAAACCACCACGAGCGGCTCACCATCTCGATTATATGCCGCCTTCTGATCAGCTGTTAGCCCGCCCGCTGGAATCCCCATGACGCTCTTACAATGGATAAGCACGCTTGTCAAGGATTCTGCCTCAACTTCTTAGTGAACTTAGTCTTTCGATATCTGGCACGAGAGGGTCCGGGCAGGGTCCCCTTGGTACAAAGCACTAATAAAGTCGCACGATCTCCGTAATCTTCGAAGTACCTTGCAAGGTGGCGCACGCACACACTTGCTGAAAAGTTGTAATGCTGGCTATCTAATCTGTGTTCAGGCGAATATCAAACACGCAGAAACTGAGAAAGTAAACTCCTAGCTGAAGATGCAAGAGGTAACTGAGAACTTGAAATTGTGAAAATCCAAGATGAATCATGAAGCCTGATCGACTTGCAAAGCCGAAGCAAGGCGTGAATCTGCAACACAGTGAAGGTTCGTCAAACCTGGCCGCCTGACCCAAGGTCTATCTAAACCGCTTCCCCTAACATCGACCATCCGATGACAACTTCTGGATCATCTGACGGCCTTAATCAGTTTTTGAGCTTTGGGTTAGGCAGCCTGGTTTGAACGAACCTGCGATACCCAATTCTGGCCAGAAATTATGGATAGGAGAGGATAGGGTTAGGACTGAGGACAGCCTCGACTAGATTCCTTGACACCAGAGGCCTTTGATAATCACTCACTATTCAGAGTGTCAGCAAACCGGCTTGATTAACTCGGGCTGGGTTAGAAGGGGTGGAAAGATTCACCTGCTTTTGAAAGAAGGCAGGAGGTTTGCAAATTGCAGGAGCTTTTGCAATTTGGAAGATATTTGACAAGGGAAAAGGTTGGAAAAGGGCGGCTTTTGAATTTTCTCCGCCAAGGATCTCTTCGTGTTCGAGGCAGCCATGGCTTCCACCACGGCTTGCGCGTCGGCCATGTCAGCAGCTTCCGCCTTTGCTGGCAGGACTACAGACGCACGGTCGCAGAGGCCTTGCGCATCCCTTCCCAGCTTTGAGGGTTTGGCCAGCGCGCGTTTGCCAACCCTTAGACACGCCCCTCAGCAATTGAGCACAGCACACAGCAAGGCCTTGCCTCAGCAGAGGAAGGGAGGCATTCGGTGCGCCTCTCTGAAGGAGCTGTCTGACCGCATTGCCTCTGTAAAGAACACGCAGAAGATTACGGATGCCATGAAGCTCGTGGCTGCTGCCAAGGTCAGGAGGGCACAGGAGGCGGTTGTGAACGGGAGGCCGTTCTCAGAGAACCTGGTCAAGGTGCTGTTTGGAGTGAATCAGCAGCTGCAAGTGGAAGGTGCGCGCAGAACTGCTGAGGCCGAAAGCAATGCGGAGCTCTATTGCATTGCTAGAAGACTGGATGCAAGAAGCATTGATCTGATATGCAAGGTCTGGTCCTCACCTTTACCTCTTGGGCTCAATTTTGCCTATGAATTGCAGTCTAGATTGGACGTGGGAGCTCCTCAAGAAAGAGTCAGAATCCACCCCGTCATTGCTTTGCCTTGCTCATCCAACCCTCATCTCCCTCTGTAGATGTGGACATCCCGCTCACACAGATCAGGCCAGTCAAGAAGGTTGCCCTGGTAGTCATCACAGGAGACCGTGGTCTCTGCGGGGGCTTCAACAATTTCATCATCAAGGCTGCAGAGAAGAGGATGAGGGAGCTGAAGAGTCTTGGCCTCGAGTAAGAATGGCCCTAGCCTCCGCATCGTTCTTACAGGCTTTAGCACATTGTCACACTCTGTCACATTCTGTCACAGCTTTAATATGGTTTGCTGCTGTTGCTGTCCTGCTGCTATTTGAACAGGACACCAGCCTCTTCTGGCACTGATGAGTTTCGCTTCGTGCTTCAGGTATACCATCATCAGCGTCGGCAAGAAGGGGAACTCGTACTTCGGACGGAGAGATTACATTCCTGTTGAATCGTGAGTACTCACATTCTGCATCTGTGCTTGCAACATGTGTGCTCTGAGCGGAAGCAGTCTGCTTTGCTAGGGTTGCGTCTCTGTGACAGTACTCGTGGCTGGTGGATTCCATCTTCTAGACTGTGGATTCTCTGTCTGTGCCAAGTATCAAGGGAAGGGCTGCGCAATGCCTGCTTATACAGCTTGCTATGGTGTCTGGAAGAAATAAGTAACAGGCAAAGGGTTACTGGGTTTAGTCTCTGCAAGTACAGAGGCACTCTCACCATGCATGTGAGGACGGTAGCTGTTGAGATGCTGAAGGCAAAGCATGTTTCACAAAATAACCAGTCAGAGCGCCGCTTACCTAACCATTGCCAAATGCTAGACGATTCTATTCAAAGTTGCAGTGCGTAGGCAAGCAAGGCTTTAAGGGTCCGTTGAAAGGGCGGTGCTACAAATCCACCTCGCCTGTGTATTTTGAGCAGATTAGTGGTCCATTACGCCGTGTGTATTGTCAGGTTCGGCGATGTGCTATCCTTTCAGCTTAGACGCCACACAATCATAGTCGCGACATTGGCTGGCTACCACAGGAGAATCATGCGGCTCCACTCCCGAATCACAAGTTTTTATGCCTATTTGGCGCCTTATGTACTGGACATTACATTGAGCCAGACAGGTTTGCATGCGGGCAGGCGGGCAGCCTATGTAGGGTGACAGTTTGCAAAAGCTCTTCCTCTTCCAGGGGTTTTAGGCATCCCAAAACTGGTGGAAGGGCAATGGCAGTAAGTTGACTGGTGCACATCCGGTCTTTGATTGAGAACCTTTCATTATAGACCCCAGCAACATTGCCCGGCAGGGTCTGGTCATCCAGTAGTTGCCGATCCAGGATGCAGCATGACGGCTGCCAGTGGCAGCCGTCTTGCACTTCATCCTTAGTCGAGCTGCTTGACAATAAAATCAGGCACTTTAGCTCGCGGTCAGCAGCAGGGGCGCTATCGGACCTCTCAGCAGTCTCTCGAGGTGCATTTGTCGACCTTTCACGAGGATGCGGGGAAAGTTGAAGCCTTAAACTTTTGTAAAGCGCTTTGGTCAAGTCATCTTGGATCTAGGTGCTTTCCCTTGCAGGGTAAGTGACGTGCGCATCCCAAACCAGAGAGGTTCCGTCTTACGCGGATTCGTGGGTCGTTTTTCCTGGTAAATCAAACAACTGGGCATGGGATACTGATTAGCGAGCGTCCTTCTTCTGCAGTACCGCTGAGTGCGGCCAGACCCCCACGACCAAGGAGGCGCAGGCGATTGTGGACGAGATCTTCTCCCTGTTCATCTCTGAGGAGGTCGACAAGGTGGAGCTGCTGTACACCAAGTTTGTGTCCCTCATCACCACGGAGCCCGTCATCCACACTCTACTGCCCCTGTCCCCCCAGGTAACCTCCTCTTGCCGCTTTTCTTCCACATCTGAGCTCTTCTGCATACTAGCGCACGCATATTTTGTACACTGTAGATGGGCACTGCTCTGGTTTGAGCTTGTGTTTTATTGGTAGGAAAGGACTGCGTCTCTGTTCAGAACGAACGGTGCCCTCCTGATCCTTTCTCCTGATTCTGGAGCAAAGCGGTCTATGCGCAGGTGACTTGATAGCCAGAGCGCAGAAACCGCTGGTTTTTCCAGGAGATATACCCTGTTTGTTCTCCTCCTCTAAACAATTGAAATTCGAGATGCTAGAAGCAATGACAGAGAGACCATGATCAAGGAAGGCAGCTTTCAGGCATCGAACTCGCAGATTTGACACCAAATTCCAAGCACTGAGCAGCCACTCCTTTACCACAGGGCGAGGTCTGCGACATTGACGGCAAGTGCGTCGACGCCGCTGAAGACGAGATGTTCCGGCTGACGACCAAGGAGGGCAAGTTCAGCGTGGAGCGCGAGATGGTGCGGACGGAGACCCCCGACTTTGACGCCAACATGATCTTCGAGCAGGACCCCGTTCAGATCCTGGATGCTCTGCTACCCCTCTACATGAACAGCCAAGTGCTCCGGGCGCTGCAGGTGAGACGTCTTCTCCACCTACTGGCTCTTTTCCATTTGTTCTTCTTATCCTGGTTTGGTGTGGGCTGCAGGTTATTTGTTTGGGCGTGTCTCTGTCGCCCCTGCGTTCCCCCTCTTATTCTTTGATCCAGTTGTAAGCGCCTTCTTTCTGTATCCTTGCTTTACTTTCTTTCTTGTTTGTGCTCCTCCCAATACCCTGCAAATGAGATCATTTTTGTTTCCTTTTCATCAGTACTGTTTGAAAACTCAGAAGTTTTTTGGATGCTTCTTTTTCAGTTCTCAAAGTGTGGATGCCTTCAATGTATCTTCCTTGCACACGTCGCGTGCTCTTAAACGCTCTTATGGAGAGGAAAGCTTCTTGGCTCCTGACAGTGCGGCACGTTGAGGTTGCAGCTGAGGCAATGAAGCTTTTTTGCTGAAAGCCCTGAGCATCGAGAGTTTTGCAATTTCCAGAGAATGGTGGCTTTTAGTCTGGATAATCACGAGCAGATTTGCGCAATTCAGAGATTGGTGTTGAGTGTCCCATTCACAGGGAACACGCCAACAGGTTTGCAATCCCTTCCTGAGCATTCTAAAACAGCATCTTCAGATTTCAACAAACACGCGCTGTCCTTTATTGCTCAATGTGGATGAAGTGAGCAGGAGAAGCCGCTGAACACACATTCTATTTTTTGCTCTCAGGAGTCCATTGCCTCCGAGTTGGCTTCCCGTATGAACGCCATGAACAATGCCAGTGACAATGCTAGGGATCTGAAGAAGAGCTTAACAACTGTCTACAACAGAAACAGGCAGGCTAAGATTACGGGCGAAATCTTGGAGATTGTGGCAGGAGCCAATGCTTAAATAAAGTAGCAATAAACTTAGGTGCAAGCAGGCAGAGATTCTCTTCCTGCGAGGACTGCGGTAATGCACACGACGTGCTGGTAGGATAACATTGATTCTTTTCGGCGAGTTGACACTTGCGAGTTGAACTTCGTGGGTGGTGGAGTTGCGCTGGTTGTCAAGAGCAGGTCTTTCTTGGCACCTTGCGTCGGAGCTAGCTGGATACTCATTGGTTACGGCCAAGCACTTTACGCTGATTCAGTCTGCTCGAAGCCTATGGTTGGCTGGCAAAAACTCTCTCTGTGTTTGCATGGCAGTAGTCCTTTGGCCAAGCTTCCTGCTTCCAGTCTGCACATATTGCAAGATCAGGCTGCTTAATTGCCTGCCAACTGCATTTCTGGTTGTCTGCCTGGTACATAACATGCCAGCTAGCTTAGTGCGGCGCCAGCCAGAAACACGTAGCTGTCGATTCTTTATGCCAGCCGCCAGCTCATGGGAACGCAGTGTCATGCAGGGCATGCTGGCATGCCATGATGTCATATCTAGACGTACATAGGTAATCTAGACATATACAGTGCTGGCATGCCTGCAAGTGACACTTGCATATACACGTGCATGACAGGTGCATGGCCGCAGCGACCCAGCCACGTACCATTGCGTCGATTCAAGGCCACCACTCGATAGACACATGGCATCCGTCTCAGCGATGCACTTTGATGCATGGTGCCACGGTGTCTAGCTGCACACTCCAGATTAAGATAACAACGTTCATCACATTGTACAACTCGATTTGCTTTACATGCAAACTAATTGAAAGTCGACAGGCACCCGTTCCACAACGCAAATATCTGTAGCCAATGTGCACAAGTCGAGGGTTGCACACGTTTGTTTCGAGGCAACTTGGTTGAACCAGCGAGTGGAGCTGGCTGTTCTTGTCAGGACGACTGCTGCAATAAACACAATCGAATCCGCTCCAAAACTTCCAAGCCTTTCAATCTGCAGGGAAGCGGACAGAAATGGTGATGATTCTGCCAGCACATTGATACATAAGTCTGCGGAAAAGCGATAGATGGTTTTGGTGCCAACGGGGCCTTACTGACTAGAGCATGGCTTGCTAGACCAGCTTCTACTATAAGTGCCAATGAGCAAACAGCCAGCTCTGGAGCTGCGAGCACCAATTGCAGACTCGGAGACTCGTAGCAACAGATGGGGATTGATGTTGCTGACATAAACCAGTTCAGTTTGTGTTGATAATATCAGGATCAGCACAAGTATTACTCAAGTGTACGTGTTGTTCTAAGTGTACGTAATGATGAGACAGGAGCTCAAAAGTTGGCTACACCGTCCATATATGAGACAATCTGGAGACGAAGTAAACGGACTCCGCCTACTCATCGGACAAAAGTCAGCGAAGTAATCTTAGGTTCAGAGCGGTAGACCGCCAAGATAGTCAAGCAGCGAGGGTGCATCGACTTAAATGACGTGATTGAAGAGAGAAGAGAAAAGCAACTCTATGTTGCTCCATTTTGCCTTGGGGCAAAACGGAAAGAGTTCTCATCCAGCTTGCTACCAGGCTGGAGTGTCGGAGTGAAGTACAGAAAGAAAGTGCGGTGATCTTGCGGCGAGCTTGTGAGAAAGAGGCAGTCCGTTTTCTGAACCCAAGTTCCTCGAACAAAGGTGGATACTGTGAGCTGACAAAAGGGCTGTCAATAGGCCGTGCTAGGAACCATGCGTCCATTCGCCAAATGAACAGGTGATACACTTGGTTCCGACATGTCCGAGCACGTTGAAAATCCCAAAACAAAGGTCTCTGTGAAAATCAACCACCAGAGACCAGGAGTACGCAGAGGTGAGCAATCGATGGACAATCTCAGATTGAATGCAAGATTCGAGCAGCTTATTGAATGATACTTGCCTCCCACGACTTCTTTTCAGGTGAAGTTTCATCCTCAAATGGGGTAACGAAAGACAGATTGGACTTTTCTTCACCGAACAATGATGCCACTCGCCGTCCGCCTTGACTCCTACCTCCCTTGTCTATGACTCCCTCGACAGCAAGTTTGAGCTCTGTTAGGATCCTTTGACCTTCCCAAAGTGGTTAGTTTTGTCTCCTCTGCAAGACTTTTTTTCGGCGCAGCGAATCTAATAAGGCGCATCTGCAGTGGACATAAGCGACATGCCATAGATCCCGGGCTAAATCGATCAGATGGTACAACAACGGCAGTGAGTTGCTCACCTATGAAGATTGTGCGTGCCCTTTTCCTAAATGGCAGGCCGGTTCATTGGCCGCGTCTTCCTGAAACCAGAACAGTAGGCTCATCAATTTGAGCACCTTATAGACACGGATAACTGGCGCCGCAGAAGACCGTTCTGAATTGAGGAGGGGAGTCTTGAGGGCCCAGTCAGCCGACTCAGTAGGGAGGAGCCTGGTCTTTTGAGAGCTTATATCCACAGAGAGTCCAAGTAGTACTTGCACGGCAGATCGCAATGGTGGAGCCATCACTGACTAGTCAAAGAAAAGAGAACTGTCTCATCATGTATCACAAGCACAAAGAAGATTCTGGGGGGGTGAGCAACAGAGTAAGGGGGGAGCAGACAAGTTAGGAGGGGACACCTGGCCGCTCTGACTTATGGCACTTCATTTGGCAACTCAAATATTGAGTGATTGGAGGTGGTCAAGACTGTAAAAGGCAGCATCCCAGGCCGCATACTGTTCAAAAGGACTGCATCCTCAATTAGAGAGCACGTTTCACAAGACGACGATAGACCAGGAAGCAGGATCCTTCTAAGCAGCCAATGGAAACGAACTGTCCGTAGGGCCCTTAGTACAAGAGGAATATAAGAAGCTTCTTCCAAAATAAGAGCGAGTGTCCTAGGGAGTGAGGTATGCTAAGCACTCACTTGTCAGTCTGCCTGGAGCTCCACCACCAGTCTATCGCAGTGGTTCAATGCACAGCTAACCAGACCTGGTTAGTAACCACCTAAGCCCACATGGAATGGTTTTGATCCACCTAAACCATCTCCAGGGACGACGTTGTCCTTTGATATTTCTCCATGATGACAGCGATTCTCTTACGAGCGGACCTGCTCGACCACCAGTGCTCAACGAGACCATACGCAGCAACCCCCGAGGCGATTCCCATAGCATCAGCGACCCCGTCCCTAAGTGACGCCCTTCCATACCAAAGGTGAAGCTCGTCACCAATCTCTTTTGCAGCAGAGACCAGGAAGCCCACACTTGCACCAATGACAAAGCGCCAGCGAACGATAATGTGGAGCCTGCTCGCCAACATGATGGCTGCGCTAGTGATGCAGAAGACTGCGAAAAAGTGCTGGAATTTGTCTGTTCCAAACCATGTGTCGCCATCGCTCATGTTGCAAGTCACCAAGCACCGCTGCAGAGAGTGACCTCATTGGTTCTCACTCAAGAGATAGAGGTAGGGGTAGAGGTGAACGCCGCCTAGGCACAGACGTGGGTTTTGACTGAAAGATCTATGAGTGAGAAACGTGGCATCCTCGTACTCCACCCCGCATGCCAATGAGTTCCAAGGATGATCTGGAGAGCTTTTCTTGCTGCATTCTGAAATCAGGGCGCCCATGACTTTGAAGTTGAATGAACCATTCTAAAACTCACATAAGCTGCCAGTACTGGCACAAGAGAAGCTTCAGAGTCTTTCAGACAATGCGAGTTTCTGAGTTGGGTGTTCGTGCAATGTCAATATATTGCAGCGGACATGACCAAAATGTCTGGGCATATAAAATCAAGGGATCCGTCCAGAATCCAGATACGTCCAATTTGCATTTCATTTTTGATTTTCTATTAGCAATCTACAATAGCTACAGTAGGTAGTCGAGGGGTAGCATCTGATCTGGAATAGAAGCTGCAAAATTCCCCAAAATGCACGTTCCAGAGTAATATAAGGGGCTAGCCCGCATGCGGCAAAGCAGGGAATGGCCGCATTTTTCCAAGGGAGTTCCCTAGCTTGATTTGGGGGCAATTTCTCAGGAGGCCAAAAGCTCTCAGTTTTGAGTTTGTGCAAGCAACATGAGGACAGCAGCGCTTGCACACATCGATAGGGCCAGCATTCTGCAAGGCAGCTGCAACTTTCATGCAAAAGCACTCCAGCATTTACAGCCACATCTTTCCACTTTTTCGCAACCTGCATTCGTCAATCCTTTCGTGCCAGGTTGTTTTGTGTTGCACAGCATACAGCGGAGAAGCAGAATCTGTACAATGACGGTGGATGTTGCTGCAAATGGCAAGGAAGGGCAAAAGACGCGTGTGTCGCGCTCAGTTTGTGTGATTGGGGCTGGGGCGGCGGGGCTGGTGGCCTTGAAAGAGCTCAGAGAGGAAGGGCATCAAGTGACGGCATTCGAACAGGTGAGAATGCTGTGTCCTTCAGCAACTTCTTGCGCACTTTCTGAAATGTACACAAGAAGAAGATGGTTTGTGAAGTCTTCTGACTCCCTTTCAGACATATCACCACCGCCAAGCTTTCAAACGCAGACGTCAGCATTAAGGAGAGTCTAAAGGAGACTGCTTTTGGGGGGCAGGCACAACCACCTCTTTGTGATTTCCCGGTACGTACCTTCCTTTGGACTTTAGATAGGAGGCCTCAGAGACCAGCTTAAAAGTTCTTCTGGTGGAAGAAAAAAAGCCTCTATAGGGTCAGCATTAGCATCTTCGATTGGCAAAGTCCCGTTCAGACACGCGTACACGCTTTCTGCTGGAACTGTATGGGACATGAAAAGCTTATTCTTATTGGCACCCAGCGTTCTCTGCCCTTTTGAAAGATCCTAACGGCCAATCTGTCTCTTTCGCATGTAGAATGAGGACATTGGTGGGGTGTGGAAATATGATCCAGACACAGACGATGATCCACTTGGGATCCGAGAGGACAGGAAGAAGGTACACAGCAGGTGGGTGACCCTGAACGCTTCGGTGTCAATCAGGCTTCAATGAAAGAACGGCAGGATCAGGCTTTGACAACAGAAACGGCAGGATCAGGCATTGACAACAGAAATGGCAGGATCAGGCTTTCAGAAAGAAGTGGCGCACAAAAAGTTATCCACAGAACACTCCTACCATATTCAACATGTCAGTGGGGATTGTCACCTGCAGAAGAATATTCTGCCGAAAAGATATGGCCAAGGAATCAGGAAAAGACGATGGCTGGTGATTCGGAGAAAGCTTGCAGAAACGAAGGTTATAGAGTAGTTGTGAAGAGAACATTTGGAAAGTCCAGGAGGGGCCTCAAACCAGGCAGTAGTCCAATCGTTTCAAGTCCAGATATTGCAAAAATAACAACAGTGACATAACCAGGGTTTCAAGAAACTCACCATCTATAGCTGGTCAGTATGAGTCCAAGTGTGAAGGGCCATTGGAAGAAGTACAATGTAAGAATAAAAGAGCAGCAGAGGAGATTTTGCGGGGGTGGAAAGATTGGGGGAAATGAGAGAGAAAGTGCTCATAACACATCTGAAACGTTTCCTGCAGCATGTACGCATCCCTGCGCACCAACCTCCCCCGCGAGATCATGAGCTTTGCGGCCTATCCCTTCGTGCCAAGTGGCGAGCCCGGGCGCGACGATCGCCGCTTCTGCTCCCATCAGGAAGTGCAAGCGTACCTGCGCGACTACGCACGTCACTTTGACCTCCAGTGAGCAACTACCTGTCAACTTTTGGCCATTCATTTTCCCAACTGTGGTTTCCATTCTGACAGGAACCTGTATAAGCCTTGCTTTGCTTTTCTTTCATATGGTTACCGTCAATGGCGGACTCACATATTGAAAGGTGTCCAAACGTTGGAAGAGCGCTTGATTGTCAAATGTAAGGAGGACGATGTTCCGGGATTGTTCCCTGTCTCTAGATCAATTGCTCCTTTGAAACAATCTGACAGTTCCGGAGGCTTCAGCACCTGCGTGCGTCTTCCTTGCCATGCTCGTCGCTCCGGTAAGTCTCTCTAGAGCAGTACCCATTTCTATCGAAATACTTGAAAAGAGGTTCTACTGTTGAAAGGACGGTAGTGCTTTCCCCTGGCACTTGCCTGACACTTCTCCTCCTCTCGCAGCCGCCACATACGCTTCGGCACCCAAGTCCTACGCGTCTCCAGACTGCCCGAGAAGACCAATCAGTACGGGTCCGTCCAACAACCCCTATGGGAGGTAGTCACTCGAACGGCTTCCTCATCGGAAAACTGGGCTTGCGATACAACGGAGTTTGATGCGGTTGTTGTTTGCAACGGGCATTACTCGCAGCCTAAGCTAGCAACGATCGAAGGTGAGTCCTGTTGTCTTGATTGACTCTCGGCACACGGGAGTCAGCTTGTCTTGGAAAGGACCAGAAAGGAGCTGCGTAGTAAATCAAGATCCGAAGAGTGGGCACTTGTATTTTTGCAGCTTGTCTTTGCGTATCAAAACAATCCTGGCTTGATGCGACTCTAAAGTTTGCGGTGGCATGAGTCTCTGCTCGAGCCTGCCTGAAAAAGAAAGCACGCCGTTTTGCCTTGGCCGGTATGCATAAAAGCAGCTCATGCTTTATAAAGCGCCATATGTAACATATCTCCCTCTGTGCAATCCGACTTAGCTGTATCTCTAACACCTGGAGACGGCTGATGCACTAGCCTAAAACCCAGAACCTGGCTTTAAACTCTGGGTTATGACAGCCCCGACTCTCGAAAAGTCTCCAAGTCAGAATTCAAACCGGTAAAGCAGTCTACAGTAAACAGGCCTAGCTCCACAGCCACAGTCAAACAACCCCCGTCAAGAAAACACCAAGTCGGGAATTAGAGTGCAGACTTTCCAAACCCGAAAGTTTCACACATTTTGCAGGCATCGCCTCTTGGCCGGGTCGCCAGCTCCACAGCCACAACTACCGGACCCCCGGCCCGTTCGCCGGCCAGACCGTGGTCCTGATCGGCGCATTTGCAAGCGGAGAGGACATTTCCCGGGAGCTCGCAGAGCACTGCTCCGAGGTGTACCTCTCGGCGCGGAGCTGGAAAGACGAGCCGCGACAAACCCCGCCGAACCTGCACCGAAAACTCGTGGTGGGTTAGGTTACTAAGATCTGGTTTTGATGGCAGTTTTTTGGGGCTGTTTCCTTCAAGGAACCGTTTCGCCTACGTCCTTTTGGCGCGGAGCTGGAACGACGAGCCGCGACAAACCCCGCCCACCCTGCACCGAAAACTTGTGGTGGGTTGGGTTATTGGAACTAATTCTAGCTTTCAATGATGTTTTATGGGGCTAAAACATTGAAGGAACCGTTTCGCCTTCTTCCTTCTGGCGCGGAGCGGCAAAGACGAGCCGCGACAAATCCCGCCGAACTTGCACCGAAAACTCGTGGTGGGTTAGGTTACTACGATCTGGAATCAAATTGCATCCATACCTTTCAGGCTGTTTCGTTGGAACAACAGAAGGAGCCGTTCCTTGTGTTTACTTGTCGGCACTGAGCTGGGAGCTTGAGCCGCAGCAAACACAACCCGATCCTGCATCCGAGACCCGTGGTGAATTTAATGAGTTTAAGGAGCCGCTTTCCTATATCGATTTTGTCGGCACCATGCCGAGAATTCGGTCTACCAAACCTGCAAACGCAGACCCGGTCGATAGGCAATTTTTGGCTTCAAACATGGCTGAAAAATTGTCGCCTTGAAGACGTATGCTATTGGTCCCTGATCTCCCACTTCCGGCTACTTGTATGAGCCCAATATCTTTTGAGATCCTGGCAGAAACGCAGTTTGCTTGACAAGACGTTTCCCTTTCCTCGGCAGGTCACGCGTGCGTATCCTGATGGGAGTCTCGAGTTCGCTGACGGCAGCCGAGTCGTTGCGGACGTCATCATCCACTGTACCGGGTGAGCGCGCTTGGAACCTCGGTCTGGACCGCTGCAAGAATGTCTCTGTTCAAATTGTATCGCCCGCATCATCGCTTTGTTCAGAACCTATCGCGCGAGGAAACCTTCAGAAGGATGCTGGGGCGCCTTGGCGAAAAGGAGGGCAAAAAGATAATTCTCGCTGTTCCTCAGAGGAGTGTTTCATCAGCGGGTCGATGTGTGCAGAGGTGACGTCACGTGACGTTACGTGACGTTACCTCCGTCGAGCGACTCGTACATGAGATTCTGCGTCCCATTACCATTTGTCGGTGTAGCAATGAAACACTGCGCTTACGCGCGAAGAATCGATGCATCTTCTCCAAGTTCGTCGATTCAAAACCGGCCGCCGACACTTTTACGCGCCACTCTTTCCCCAGTTTTTTGTCCGTTTACTTTAGCACCATTTGCCCTGTCCGCTGTTCAATCGCGCTTCAAAGCTAGAACAAAGGGCGTCGCACGATTCTGGCTCCCTTTTGCCCTTCTGTCCACTAGAAGATGCCTCTACCAAATTTTGCATCCGCTCACTGCGAGGTGGTAGGTTGCAATTGAGAACCCCTTGTTCTTCAGAGTGCCCTGTTTGTCTTCATGCTTCGATCTTACACGGATCGCAGTGTGCCCCCAACCGGTCCGGAAAGAAAAAGTGACGTACAGGCACTGATCACTGCAAGTTGCTCGTCTAAGTGAAAAGCTTGCGACGATCTGTTCAATCCATCAGAGTGGCGCAGCTGGAAGCGTGATGGGCTCATAATCCACAGGTCGAAGGATCGAAACCTTCCTCTGATCAGTTTCCCTTTTGTCCTCATCTGAACTGCAACTGCATCCCGAGCCAGTGACGTCACCTCGACTGTAACGTTACTCAGCCGCAACTTGGGTCCCTGCCGAGCCCAAAAGCTGCGTGATACGTTTGACTCCTTCTTTCGAACGCAATGGTCGGAGACTAACCTGCACCGGTCTGGTCTGCTTTTTATCACTTCCATCAGGCTCGCTGGCTACAACGAGGACTTGCTGTGGGTTTTGAGCTTGGCTTCAAGGGTATAACAGGGAGGATCTGTTTCCCGAAGGATGCTTCAGGTCGATCCGGACTCATACTCATTTTCCAAAAGGGCCTAAATCATGTAGCCACTTTCCCACCTTTGATTCAATCGAGAGCGCGCACCTAATGCGTGCTTCCTTGTCCTTTGATTACATCTCCAACAACAGAAACTTGTCTGAAAGGGACCGGACGCTGTAGCGATAATATATCCTTCTTTAAACCATGCTTCGGCATAAGCTATGCTCTCTGCTAATAGGATGTGCGTTCCCACAGGTACGTATACGAATTCTCGTTTCTGGAATCCGGTCTAGTTTCTACGGAGGACCAGCGAGTGCACCCCGTGTACGAGCAAGTCTTCCACGTCGGGACTGCGCCCACTCTCTCCTTCATCGGCCTTCCCTTCAAAGTGAGTCATTCTGGCGCAGCACGTTTCTACGGCATACTCCTTTAGTCTCTTTTCGTCGCCTTGCCAACTTTCCGTCCTGCCGAGACAGCGGTAAAATCCTGTTTGCATGTGAGTCGGTCTTCCGCGTCAGGAATCTTGCCTACTCCATCCATGTTCCCGTTGCTTTTCGATTTGTACAGAGTTTTCGTTCTGCAGAGATAAGGGTGAACTTTGTGCTCTGAGCACGTGAATGCAACTAAGGGACGAGGGTTGACTTCAGGACCTCCTCTCCTCTCTTCAGGACCTGTACTTTTACTCTCGAAAACCTCGAGAAAGAGTCGCTCTTTACATTCTGAACTGCGAGCATCTGCATGTTCACTAATTCCCTGGCTATGTTGAGTGCCAGCTGTCTTATCTTCAATGAAGATTGCGTCTCAAATCTTTCGCTGAGAAGAGTGGTATATCCGCGACTTTCTTGGTCTGTGACTGAATCAGGCTTCCCTGCTGTCGTCGTTCGAGCTTGTCCTGCTGTATATAGCACTGGCTCTTTTTGAAACGATCGGCGCTCATAAAGTACTCTAAAAGCATCGCTCCATACAGCCATGGCAGCCGTGCCGTTGCTCGAGCAACCGCATGCCTGACATCATTCGCTCCATTCTGACGTCATTTTCTTCTCTGTGTGACGCGTGAAGCGTCCTCACTCCGACTCAACTAAGTGGCCAGCGGACGGCGTAATGTTCGTCCTTCCGGCCGCACCGCTGTTTCGTTCGCTTCGAGAGCCAACAAACAGCCTGTTTTGAGTGCAGGTTGTGCATTTATCTTCCACCTTCCATGGGCGTGACGTCACAGGTATCGTGACGTCACTGCAGATTATCGAGCTGGTCGGCTGGCAGGGCGGCGCAAGATGGGAGGCTGAGCTCTTTCGTTAGCGCCATTCACACACTGACCTTGGATACCATTATACGCTGTGTTATGGACGCCACTTCCTGTGCCTGTGACCTCAACAAATATTCTCGCTGTCGAAACTTGAGTTGATATTGCACAGTGTTTGTCGCAGCGGGCGGCGCAGTTTGGTTTTCCCTTCACGTCTTCTACCATACCTTGCATACGCTGACGTCAAACACGTCATCTCTGCCGTCACCAGGTGTTCCGCCGCCAATGTTCGAGTGGACGACACGGAGGGTGGCGCAGCGTCTGTTTGGCGGGCGGCACGGCCGAGCGAGGCGGGCAATACCACTAGATTTCTGCTGATGTCATACATCTCGCTTCTGATGTGACCTCCTGTCCCTTTTGCCGTAATCAGGTGCCGATGTTCGGGTTGGCGGCCTGGTGGTTGGCGCAGCGTCCATGCGGGCGAGCGGCAGTGCTCTTTCGTTTGCGCCTTTTATGAACTCAACTCCCGCTGACACCATACACTTCGTAACTTCCCTGTGTCTATGACGTCACCAGGTCTCTCCGCTGCCGATCTTCGAGGTGGCCCGGTAGGCGGCACATCGTTTGTCGGTGCGACCCGCACTGCTCCTTTTTCGCTTCACGTTTACAGAACACCTTTATACGCACTTCGCTTCTGACGCCACTTGTTGCCTTTGTGACGTCACCAGGTATCCCCGCTGCCGATGTTCGAGTTGACGACCCGGGAGTGGCGCAGTGTCTGTCGGGGCGTGCGGCGCTGCCGAGCGAGGCGGACAGTTTCGAATCGACCTCTGCTGACGTCATACATTTAGCTCCTGACTCACTCCTTGTTTCTTCTGACGTCACCAGGTGTCCCCGTTGCCTATGTTCGAGTTAACGACCCGGTGGGTGGCGCAGTGCCTATCGGGGCGTGCGGTGCTACCGAGCGAGGCTGCAATGCACAAATGGATCGACGGCTTCTACGAGGGGCTCAAGGCGGGCGGGGTTCCCGTGCGGTACACGCACGAGATGAGCAGAACGGGGGTGAGTTGTGCAGATTCTAGTTGGTTTACGTTGTTTTCAAAACTTTCTATCCGTGATTATCAGTTGGACCTATTCACATATGCCCAAACATTGACGGCTTCTACGAGTAGCTCATGGCCGGGGGTGGCGGTTTGGTACACGCACGAGATGAGCAGAACAGGATAAGTTACGAAACCTTCATTCATGATACGTTGTGCTGATTTTTTGCCGCACGGATTTGGTGACGGGCTCAAGGCGGGGGGGTGACCCCTGGGTATACGCACGAGATGAGCAGAACGGGGGTGAGCATTCGAAATCCTCATTTCTAAAGTTCTAACCTGAAATGTCAACCAGAAACGAAATAAGAAGGGAAAGGAGACAATTGAAAGAGAGGGGACGAAAAGCCCGGGGGTTGCTGGGACGAGTTTTTCAATCGTCCCACTTTCCCGTCTCCGTTTTCGCTGACAGTTCAAATGCCGTTCCTGTGTCCAATATATGTTCTCTTCTTTCTGGTTTAGATTGGACCCCTCGTTCCGACCGCGGTTGCAGTTTAGTCCCTGAGCAAAGACAATGGTCATACGCTCCGCGTCAAATCCATCACTCGGGCGTGCGTATTTGCCGGTCCAGTGCAAAGGTTTCTCTGTCAGATGGAAGCGCTCGGGGGCCGCAAACGCCAACTCCGCAGAACTGTACACGTGAAACCCTACAACCCCAAAACTCCAGATGCCTTCAGCTTTGCGAGGCGTGACCTCATTCGCTTCTCTTTGTTTCTCGTGGCTGTCTTGTGCGCTGCCCTGCAACGGGTCTTGAAGACAGCATGCGCTCGGTTACCGTTTAAAGCGTAAATTGGCGACCTGCAAAGTGCGCCACCTGCTTGCTGTTCGCCCTCGAAGAGTGGGACTGTTGCTCCTCCACGTCGTTAACGTGTTTCTTGCTTCTCGCAAGAGACTTCGGTCTAATCTGGTTTGCCCCCGCTGTCTTGCCTCAGTTCGACTATCTCGCCCGGTTGTGCGAGTGGACCGGCACTCCGATGTTCGAGTCGTGGCGGGAAGACCTTTTCAAGGACTTTAGTTATCGGCGCCACAATTACCCGGCCAACTACCGGGACGAGTGGCCAGAGGACTTGGAGCTGAAACGAAAGGTCATCTGGGAAGATCTGCGAAAAGAAGCAGAGAAACTAAGTTTAGGAGGATCTGAGAAGTCGTTTGGAAGTTGAGGGACTTTTTGCACACAGCGCGTTGGTGGCTGCGGGACTTGTCGAACCAGGCGGGTGGCGGAAGAGTCTCATCTGAAACGAGTGTGGAATGAATGTGTTGACCGCGTGTCAAAATGAGGTTGCAGTATCACATCCACCGTGCACAGCACGTTTGATCGACCCGAGTCCTGGGCTACGATTCGGCGGCTCATTTTTCAACTTGCAACCACACGCAGTTCAGCATTTTGACGATCGGATTATAGAGTTTGTGCCAAGCTGGGCGGTTGAGCAACCGGACAAATACCAGAATTCAAACTGACACTTCCTTGATAATTCAAGGCCATGTTACGTTTTGGTACGGTACTTTCTGCAGCTTCATCAAGGGCATCGAGTCGAACTTCGCAGACGTACGTGTATACTCATGTAGGCTCGTACTCATGCTCGTCTGACGCCAGGACAGGCTACTAATGAATCGGCTGACCCGGAGAAGAAAGAAAACATATACAAGCCATCCGACGCAGCTTACTTTACTATTCCACTCGTATTCCTTGGACGCGTGAAACTATTTTGCATCCAATATATGTCCTCCTGGCAACATGTGTACACTGAGATGACTAACGAAGGCTGTGTTAGAGAATATATATCTGACATGGAACTCACCCTGATTGAATAAAATACTGAAGCAAGCCTGACTTTGTTCAATGATGCCATGATGGCTTCAAGAATTATAGATGTTGGCTGATATTCTATGTATGTACGTGAGATCTGAGCCATGCTTTCAGATACGAGAAGGTGGAAATATATCTAAAATTCTCTCATCTCAACTTGACGATATTGCAATTATGGGGTCATTGCCAGCCAGGCAGGAAGTCCAATTGCATGATTCCTACCGTGCTCAGCCTTTTGGGTTAAGTTGCCCTTGACTGCTGCTCAGTGGGAGTGCCGGAGGTTTGAATAGAGATGTGCAATCGAAAATTAGAATCCGCGGATGGTTTCGGGCCAGTACGTTTCGGCATGGACTTGCATCTAGAGGTTTGAACTTTGCATGGGCACGCGGTATAGGGCTATGGCTAGGAATCACCCTTACACCCGGGAAACAGCTTAAATTTATCCGTGTGTTAACGAACAAGCGTGTCAAAGCCACTTGCTTGGTATGCGGTAACGGTAGGATCAATAGGGTCGCGAGTAGAGAGCCTTACCGCGATATTGAATGCCAAGGCCCAATTTGAAAACAGGGAGGCAATCATTGAGTCTGGTTAGGCAGGTGACAGTGTCGACATATTCAATCATACGTGTAAGCAGCGTTGACACTGGGTGTTCCCTAATGTGGTCATAACTTATAAGACACCTAAAGACCGAACCTGACCCCCAAAGGGGGTTGCCGGGGTGTCCAAAGGACACCCATTGAAGAGCATTGGGGGGTCCCAGAGACACCAATCGCTTGACTGATGGTTGAGCATCTATACACTTGCATAGCTTTAGGGGGGACAAATCGGTTCAATAAGCTAAATGATCACAAATATAAGACAAAATTCGACCGTGTCCTTCGGCAGATGATTTCCACACTAACTTGTAGTGTTCGTTAGGCTCTGCATAATTGGCGGTTTTGATGTTTTGTTGGTCGGGACACCGGTGTTGCGGTTACCGCATATTTCAAACGTTTCATGGGGCTAGACTTGGTGCAATCGGCCGGTAGCTGGGGCGACTATTCGCTGTCAAAGGCGCGTGGCCTCGGGCGTAGGGCACCCGGGACACCCAACTGCGATCCTCGGGGTGTCCAATGGAACCCCCAATGGCAATAACTGAGAGCATCTGAGATCGCATGTGCCATGATCTACCTATACAATTGTTCTATAGGGCTTCAGGTATTTGAAAGAGTTCAATGTGATCAGTACCTATGTCACTAGGTAGGTACTATCTGACTCGCTCAGGCGCACCTCATGCGCAGCTTTCCAGGCTGGCGCCTAGACGTGGGGGTTCATCCTCTCACATAGATAGAGGGAGGCTTTCTTGAACCTGAAACAGTGAAAGGGAGGTTGAAAGCAGTGACTGCCTCAGGGCCTCATGGGGCAGCTTTGAATAGCGTCATCAGCATCTGAGCTTATGATGCGAGCTCATTCCGGAGCTTGGTTGAAAAGTATACGCGCGAGCCAGCCTGAGAAGCAGCGGGAAGGAAAGTTTTGAATGTGGGGAGCTGTAAGAGCATTCCCAGTAGCAACAACGGTGCATTGCTGCAGAAACCAGAAGAGGCGTGCTCTAGTTTTGATCAGAGGTCCTGGGACATCCCTGGGACATCCTCCGGACTTTGTTCAAACGAGGAGAGGGAGGGAAGACGCGCACGCCTGGAAGACGTTGCTTTCCTGGTGTAATGGCATTCCCCTGGAACGTGACAGTGCCAAACAGGCGTGGAGCATGGTTCCTTTTCAGCATGCTGATGGTGCTTTACCTCAGCTATTGCACTGTGGCGACCGTTCAAGCATTCCGGGCCAGGGACGAGCCTCCAACCTCTATTCGGTTCGATAGGAAAACCCCGGTGGCCTTGCCAGACCTGGCCTTTGTGAACGACTTGTTCAGCACAAGCTCGCAGAAGTTTGCACGTTGCGGAATCAATAGCTTGAACGTCCCAGCTATGCCAACAATTTTCTACACAAACAACACAGCCATTCCCGTCCTTTCTGCCCCATGGTCTTCTTTGAGGGGAGACGTCCCACAATGGGTCGGCGGGGGCACTCCCCCCTTCAAGCTTCTCTACGGCTACAATGCTACTCAGTACGGCAGGGTTGACGACGGTCCGCAACAGCGGGAGTCTTTTTGTAGGATTGAGTACGGCTATGTCGACGGGGTTTTGCAAATCCTGTTTTACACGGGGGACTTTACGTACAAGGGGAATTTCTCTGATGGCGTCCTTATTGATGCATCCTACTCTGACTCGGTTAGAAGCAATGTAGGCGGATACGTTGCTGTGAGAGGGTTGGGCAAAGGTGCTCGGGGTGGGGATCTACAGCCAAGCTCGGTCGTCAGCGCAGCTGTGAGCCAGCTTTACTTGTCGCCTTACCAATTCAACAACCTTGGGCAAGCTCCATACAGGACGTTCAGAGCTATTACCGGACAAAGAAGTGCGGATGGCCCTTTGGACTCAGAAACGTATGTGAGCGTAAGTTTAGACAACGCAGGCGTCCAGATCATAAGTCAGCGTGACCCCGTCAATCTCGTCGACTTGCTAGCCAAGTATGGAGGTATCTGGTTCTTTGTCCCCTTGTTGTTTTCGATAGTCTATGTCTCCTCCAAAGAAGATATCAGACTGGAACGCATCTCTGGACAGTGGGTCCAAGGAAACTTGTGCTGCTTAGGACAAGGCCAGACGGAATGGCAGCATTGGTCGACAAACGGAGTTCGAAGGTCTGATTGCGAGATGGCAATCTCTGATTCCGGACCTTAAGGTGATACTTCAGGCTATAAAAAACCCTCCAGCAACTCGGTTGTTATACTCGAATTGCAATGCGCTGACCCGTTCTTCCAAATGACCTCTAGTACACAGCATTCAACTACTCCTGTATAGGGCTTGTATACACCTGCAGTCAAAGCAACTAGTTGAATTCGAACTTGCCAATTGTTGCCCTGCTAGCTGCTAGTTTGCAACTGTCATTCAGCCTTGCACAAGCATCATGTATAAGTCATGTGTACTACCAGCCGGGCTGCCATTCTTTTGCAAGAGGCGGCCAGCATGAGCTGGTAGGCGCCAACGCCGTCATGCCGCGCGCATTATACGGATACTTCTGGGTTTGAAACTATATGATGTGCCGACTCAGAATGTCCACTGCCGCGACCATTGCAAGATAGAGCTCTGGAACCTCTTGGAAAATACTCCAGGTCTGCATGTGCAGTTGAACAGTGCAGCGGACTGTTGGCTAGCTGTTTGCCAGCTGTCAGTGCATGTGAATAACCCACGCTTAACTTAGATCAACATAGATGTTCCGACCGCGGCCGCCAGCCAGTTGACGGTAGCTAATGCTCGACCGCTTGATTCGGTCTGCATATCACAAGTTTGCATGTGTCGCACCGTAACTGGTGAGATTGCCAGATCGGATGTCCGATGTGGTGCATATGCATGCGACTTTCACGCACCATGATTGGACACTTTGCATTGGTCGAAGTTGTCAGAGTGCTTACGCCATCATTTTCGTCCAGTCGTGCGATTGCTCTACGTCACTACTTTCTACATACATTCTTCAATCCAGAGGACAATAATTAGTACGTAGCAGGCAATAGTTTTGACGACTTGCAGCTGTTACGACTTGGTGCAAACGGTAACTGAAAAGGAGACCGGAGTCGGTACTTCCGCAAGTCGACTCCGAACGTCCCTTCGTGCCTCTAAGAGGGTACGTACCAAGTTCGTCTGGTGATGTGCGGGGGAGGAAGTTTTGAGCTCTGGTTGTCAAAGCCGTCTAGGAAGAAAGCTGCGAAGGAACACCTCGATAAGGGCCAGCTGTTGAGAGACCGCTTGCTTGTGACGACGTCAATGCACCCACGCCTCTTCAGTTTTCTCGCTGCTTGCAGAAGACGACTTTGGGTTAATTACTTAGGTGGAGGATCGGGGCGGATCGAAAAAGAGCATCTGGAAGACATCGGTCAGGTGAGCCAACGAGAAACAGGAGTGATCGGGCGAGAAGGAGAAGGTATCGCAAGGAGGGTCGGGATACTGAGGCTTGCCTTAGTATCCCGGAGCAATTAGGGATACTGCTCGTATCTTTGACGAATCAGAAGGAAAAGAAGACCGTTGGGCTAGAGGAGGGTACAGCTTAGAGGAAAGAGGCCGCGAGTTGATATAAAGAAGAGAGAGTGGATGAGTGAAAGGAGAGACTCAGGTCAAAGAACTCAGAAAGCAGCATAGGCAGGGTAGATGGTAAAAGCCCCTTCTCCGACTGGCCTAACACGATGGGTGACTCTGGAGCGAAGCAGCGCCAGCTTGAAAACTCCTCAGCTCTTCTTAAAAGTGACATTTGCTCGTGATCAACAGCTCCAGAGCTCGAGACGTCCGCTGCATTCTGAGCTTAGGAGAACGACAAGAAGGAGCGGAGAAGACCCAAACTTAGAAACTTCATCCAAAAGAAGAAGGATTGACGAGCTCGTTGCCGGCGACTTCAAACAGATGAAGGAAAAACATGAAGCGTGCTTCTGAGCGAGACAAGAAAATAGGGAGGAAAGATGTGCAACCGGCGGACGAAGCGAAGCTGTCCGTACGATCGTTAAAAGCTGTGGGTAGCAAGATGGGGACGTCCGTTCTTTAAAAGACCATCCAAAAAGAAAAAGGCCCGATTTCAGCCGATCGAAATGAACGCGGTTAATGAGCGACAGGCGCTCCTTCTCGGGGGATCCCTCGGCACGCACCCGCCCTTCGTACGGCTTTGAGCTTTTTGCTGGCCGTTTTCGATGTCTTTCCTTCGGTCACTTGCTGAGATGTAGAAGATCTACAGGCTGTCGACGCAATCCGCCTTCAGGGCCGCTCTCTTATCCGGAACTCCCAGCGCTCTTCCGGGGGCCCAAAACGCCTGACGGCTCACCCCCCCGGCCGACTTCCAAAGCCCCTCCCCTCGCCAAGCTCCTCTTGCATCACCCCCTCACCGGAGCGCTTGCACCTACCCGTCCCATTCCGAGCGCAGAATTGCCAAAGCTCCCGCCGAAGCGTTCGAAACTTGGTGACGTGGCAGCTGATGCCAGCGGTAACGTCAGCACCTCTGGGCGTCCAACTTCAAAGAAGCGGGCGCCGGCGGTGCTCGCGTTTGCGGAGTGGCCGTCCGGCGAGGGGTGGCAGCCCATTCAGGGGATCCCCCATTCACGCGCTTCCGGGAGAGGATGAAGCCAGTCCACTCTTGACGTCACGAAAGATGCCCCCAGCTGCGACGTCACCAGAAGATCCCCCTGAGGGTCTACAGGGATGCAGCCGCGGCAGATAATGGGAGAAACGCCAAGCTGATGCAATCGGTGGACTAGTGGCCGGTTAAGGGGCTGGGCTCACCGCTTTAGGAACCCGAGGACTTTGACCGGACTCCGCATGGGGTGACTGATGCCCCAGGGGGATCCCCCGGGGCCTTCCGGCGGGCGGCGCAGCTCGGCAGGACGCCCCTCGCCACTTTCGGTGCCGAGCGCGGCCTCAACCCGGCCACTCCTGAAGCGTCGAAACCTGTCGTCGTCATCGTAAGGACGCCACCTCTCGTTGCCCGACGCTTGGAAGGAGCAATCTTTTCGGAAAATACAAACTGGGCGGAGGTGTTGCTCCCGAAAGAGCGTCTCTAAGTCCCCGGACCTTGGGCTCCGAACTCGGTTTGGCAAACCTTCTGACCGAAAAATTCTCAGGGGGGGAGTGAGCCGCCCCCCGCTGGAAGGTCTTCGCTGAGTCCCCGAAGCCCCGGTCCGGAGGTGGGTTTAGCAGACCTTTTGAGTGACGATTCGGACGCTGGACAGGCGCATCCGGAGGCAATATTGTCCGTGTCCAAGATTCCCACTCCGCCGTCGGCTAGAAGGGACTTCGACAATTCAAGAAACGGCCCTGAAAGCAGCCCCCTACATGGAGAAGTGGAGGCTCCCGCCCTCCTGACTGGCAAGTACTTGCGTCACTTCTTCAGCCCGTTGCGTTCCACTTCGGGGCAGGAGTGCGAGAAGGAAGATACTTTCGTTGTAAGCATATCCTGTCGCTAGAATTTGCGGACGACCCTTTTGAATTAGGTATCACAGACAGATACTTTTTGAAACTTTTTCGTTCAGGTGTGGAGCAGATCAGATCCGCCATCGTACGGGTTTGCTGGCGTGCTTCGATCCAAGTCGTTCTGAGCGACACAAAGGACGAGGATTTATACTAAGCTTCTTTTACTTTCCGTGCTTCAATTTCACGGACGAAACCCCCGCGAACGTTTCAGCATAGCCGATTCAAGCACTTCTGAGATTGCAGAGGCCCCGATCCTTTGCAATGAGCTTTCACGTCTCCTGATTGTTCCGCAAAGAGGTGGACCAAAACCTTCCCTTCGTTTTGCATCCTGCCCACTAGTTCCGTCGTACCACCGTTTCACCTGGCGTGAGAAGGGCTGGAAGGAGAAGGTGGAACCCTTCCGATCAATTTCGATGACCCCCCTCAAATCTGACCCTTCAAAACGACGGTCTGAATTAAACGGTCTCTCCGTCAGAGTTAGCCGTCGGTTCTCTAGGCTTCTAGCCAAGAGGGCTCGCCGAAAGTCCATGTTATCTCTCCATCCGTTCAGTGAGGCTGGAGTTGAACCGCTGTCTCCTGTTTCATGTTTCCTACACTTAAGAGATCGCAAGCTCTGGAGACAGTGAGCTCCTACCCTAAGTATGAAAACCTGACCCTTAAAAATCCATATGCTCCCCACCCGCTTACCAGAAATTCCCAAAATACGTCACCCGTCCAGCGTGACATATCTAATCTGTAACTATACCTAGTCTGTCGGAGTTCTATCCCTCTTCAGGTGAACCACCAAACCCCGGTTCTCCTGCTCTCAACCCCGACCTGAGAACAGCCCTTCGCGCATCCCCACCCCAAGCACCACTCCCCGCTCCAAGGCCTCAGTAATCGCCGGAAGCCATATTTTACCCGCCCCGTTACAGGGCCTCTCCCCACGGCCCGGGAAGCAGCTCTAGGGGGAGGCCTTGCCGCTGCCAAAGTCACCGGGCGGTTTACAGCACCTCTCGAATCGGCCCGAGAAGCAGCTGCGACAGGATGCCCCGTCCCAGTCCGCGGTCGCCCGGCGCAAAACTAGAGCGAGGGCCGAAGAAGAGGGCGCCGGGAGTGCTGCTAAAGAGGGAGAGTTTTGAAGACCGGTGGCGGATCGGGGGTTTTGGGGGTGTGGAACGGCCGCGGAGGGCGGGCGCAGCGGGTATAGAGGAGTTCGTGCCGGGCGTGCCAGAAAGAAAAAGCTCCCAGTACGACGCGGGTGAGTTGTCTGCCCGCCACAAGTTGCTCGAGTCACTAATTCCAATTGGTAGGTTTTTCGGAGCCAGGTCTTTCAGATTAGCCCGTCACAAGGGGCTCAACAGCTTCGCGTGTGAGCTTCGAAGTGCTTTTGAGCTGACATTCGCTTTGCAAAGAGCGTAGGCCGGTGAGAAGCAAGTGCGAAAGAAATGCCCGGATCGAGAACCCTTTGTTCTTATCAGTTACAACACAATGCAACTCTTTGGCCGGCTGGCGGGACGATTGTGCAAGCGGGCATACCGGCCGACCGCCCACCGCTCATAGAATTCAGCAATCAGCAACAAAGTACCAGACCCGCCCAGAAGAAAAACGAAAGCAGGTCGCTTCTCGATTCAGGAGTCAGCAACACATGCCCACTGACCGCCCAAAAGAAGAATAACGCAGATCGCTCATCGGATTCAGCAACACATTTCCGCCTGCACAAAGAGAATATCACGTGGCATCTGGGGGATCCCTTACCAGGGCAACGCGCGTTGGTGTCGCCCTCCAAGCGGGAGCCGGTGACTCGGTTCAACTCCCGCCGCTGCCACGTGGCTGGGTCCACTGGGTCTGCTTGGAGAGGAAGTCGAGCTGAAGCTAAAGCTGTCCACGTCCGTGGTGCCACTTGACGGCTTGAGAGCGTTCGAGCCGTTACAGAGAGTTGGCGGATCAGTCTGCCCTTCTCGGTTGGGCCCCCGTGCACAAGTCCTGGTTTTATTGCACAACGGACAAGGGGCGGTTGGAAAGGGGCTCGGATGAGAGTTCCAGGTGCAATATTTTATCGAAGAGAGGGGCTGATAAGAGATTACGCTACTTACGCCAAACCAGGTCGGCAGACCCGGCTCGAAGTCGTTGATGACGAGAATGACTGCGTCGGAGGAGAAGCAAAGGAGTGGGAACCCGAATCATGAATTGGATGACTAGTGCTGCAAAAAATTTGCGACGCTAGGTAGGTTCAAAAGCTGAGCATTGGGAAGACGGGGTCTCGATCCTGCCCGAGTTCTTAGTTGTGTTGAACTTGGCGTAGTCGTAGCTCGGTTGGTAGAGGCACACTGAGCAGAGACACAGATGAGAGTGTAAGAGTTGATATACGAAGGCAGAAGCCGTCAAATATCAAACGAAAGCGGCTAAGTTAGTTACGAGATCACCCGTAGCTTTGATCTTGAAGAAACTAAATGCTGGCTGCCACCATTTTGGTCGAACGACCGACGTGCGTGAGAGCCTCTGCACCTGCAAATTTGAGCATCAACACATCCTTCCTCCAGAGAGATGTCGTTTTCCGGTTGCGGAGGCCTGCGCTGCTTTCCCTACCGTCATACTTTCACTTACAACACCAAGTCCGGTGTCAATCAATAATTGAAAACTCCATCTGAACCATGTCAAGGCAGCCATGGGTTAGTACATCATGTCTAAAACAGCGCCTCTGTTCTGCAGCCGGACCGAATACACTCTGCCGCTGCCACACTGCCCTTCGATCGTCAAAGCGGCAGCCCATGCACCGGCAGTGGCTTGTGAAAGTGTTTCAACGGATCCAAGTGCTTACGAATTGATGCTGTCAGCGGTCTGTGGATTCTCAAAAGAAGAGATTCTCAGAAAACGGACGGCTGCAGACGTTTCAACAGAGCAGCGGACGGCCAGATATCGAGGGAGCGCACAGGAACAGCACCGCCGTTGCAATCAGCGTGCAATCTGATGGAGAAAAGGCCCGCCTTGGCAGTTGAATTGCCGCAGAAGGGCGCCTCGCAGAGGTTCGTTGCGCGGATGTGACGTCAGCAGGGTTAAAGTAGAGATTGGATACACAGTCGCCAACTCCAGCCGGAGAGGGGGAGCTGAAAAGCGCGATTCGGAAGGGCCGGAGGGTCCGCAGACGATGCCGGAATGGCTTGCCAGCGTCAACCCAAGAGCAGACTGCAATTGACAATGGCTACTGAGCTATTCCGCAGACTCAGTGCAATCACGTGAAACTCTGAGAGCTGGGCAGGAAGCAAAAAGGATGCGTGCCGGGGATCGCTCGGAGTTGAACCGTCTGCGCCGCAACTGTTGTCATGCAGCGTCAAATCATGTATGGAGATCCCGGCCTCGAGAAAGGTGGGGTCGTGACGGAAAAGGGGGGCCGAAGCGTTGAGGAAGTGTCATGCTGACGTCAGCAGGGCTGCGGGGCTCGTCTGCGCAGGGCTTCTCACGGGGTGCATTGAAAAGACCCCGCTCCTGGCCTACCGGGCCGTCTGAGTGGCGACAGCAAATGCCACATGGGCAGGGCAGGGGCTGCGCCCTGAGCCTGCCACGTGGCTGAAGCTCCTATGAGCGTTCAGCGAGGCCGCCTTGCTCTGCAAAAAGCGGCGGCCCGAAGAGGTCGCCCCGGCGGCGCTCTTGCTTAAGGAGATGTGCGTTGTCGCCTAGGAATTGCGGTCGGTGCGTCCGACCGGAAAGGAACGGAACAAGTGGAACGGAAGCAGTAGTCCGGCGATACAGACGCCAAGAAAGGCCTTGCAAACAGTTTCGCCCAAGGAGACGCTTGCTCCAAACGAATCACGGTTCACAACGGCATTGTGAAAATCGTGAAAAGTACAGGATGTGAAGAGGGGGCGCTTTAACCCTTTCATGAAAGTCGGAGCTCAGTCGTCGTGGGAGTCGACGTGGGGGGCTGACCATCTTTTTCCCTCTTCGAAACCGCATGCTTTGAAGTAAGCCTCTATTCCGACCTCTCGACATGCTTTCGACACCGTTTCTTCTCGCCCCACCAGTTTTCGTTTGTCCTCGACCTTCTTTACTAACCGAATTCTCAACCTTTGACGACCCAGATCCTGCTTCGGGGCGCAGCATGAAATCTTCGAACCCAGGAAGCAGTTCCCACTCCATTCACAAACACTCGGTCTCAGAACAGCCGGGAATCATCGGGGTACGTACGTTGTTCAACTTCACGGAATCTTAACCTGAATCCCCGCATTTGATAAGCATTTGGCGCGACGCTTGTGAGCATTAGCATAAGTGAGCATTTTTCCGAAGCGCTGCTCATTCCAAGTCTCAGGCAAGGCGTTTAACACTGGCAGTTTCAGTGCTTGAGAACTTGCGGACGTCGCATCCACACCGACCGAGGCCTCACTCGCTACGTTGCAGAATTCCTCATTTGACTCCGGATACCTCTTGTTGTACTCCTTGAACAGAGACTGAAAGCGCTGACTCGAGCAGCTCGGGACGGGTTGGATCAAATTCTGATCTTATCTGGACAAGGATTCGCTGTATGGAAAGAGTCAGAGCAATACATGAATCACTGTAGACCCGGAGTAACGGTGCCTGTATTCGGCACTGCGCCTTCGTACGTCTCTCAGCGGGAACCGGCTTCGTAATATGGTCGGATGGTCCTCTGTCTGGACTTCGCACCGTATTTTCTTACGAATTACAACGGCGGAACCTAAGAAGTGTGCACGAACACGCGTGACATTGCACTTCAAAGTCACCTGTCCGTCACTTGTATTCCCGCACAAGAGCTCTAATTCAATCAATACAATGCCAGGTTTTCAAAAGCCCTGTGTCAACACTTTGTGTTTAGCACGACGATCACACCAAACCAGGCGCACGAATGTGCCCCATAGTAAAGGCGACCCGGCTGAGGGCGCCGAAGGCACTCTTTTGCCGGCCGTCGCAGAACTTGATTTGCTGCGGGGTCCACCCGGGGGGATCGTCCCTGCCCGCTCCATAGACTGGTCTATGTCCAATTTATGATCAGCTCAGATTGTATTACTGAGACGGCTCGTGATAGGTAGGGGGCGAGCTGATGAAACTCAAGAAAGATAATAGTAAGCCGAGATAATAATAAGGTAACAGCCCTGGGACGGGTAGACGGGTAGGGTTAGCTTGGTGGTTAGGGTGGGTACGGGTGCGGAGCAGGTATCTTTTAAGGTTACGGATTTCAGTGTTAGCCGGAGCTTATTATTATCGTGGCTTATTATTATCTTTCTTGAGAGTTATGGCGAGCTGGGTGTGGAGCAGCAGGTGTATGTTGGATTCAGGTTTTTAGTGTTAACATCATTCTTCTTATGCGGAGCTTATCATAGTAGTAGCTACACGAAAGAACTTTGCTCTAAACGTAAAGCCAATTGCGGTTAACTGAGCCACTGCATCACGACGCCCAGGCATACGTCACATGATTGCTCGTATCCTGTCCCGGCCCGGGTCTGTATGTAACCCGCAGTGCTGCGCCCTGCAAGCTGCGAAAAGTCAACGACCTTTTATCCCGAAGCGCAACCGGAAAACGCAGTTCCTGAATAGCCGGCCGCGCGGACGTGACGCTTTCACGCGAGCCTAACACTTACTGTTCTGCGATCACTGGCAGGCTTCTTATGCAGCTCTGCAAACCAAGTGACTGCATCCTGCAGTCGACGACCTCAATGTGCGGTGAGCGTGCGGCGTCTCGTCCTTATCAGCGACTTCGATTGAGTCCTCATGATTGCGGCAGGTATACATCGGCCCTGCTCCTGTCCACCGGCCCAAGGAAGAATGCAAGCAGCAAACCGAGTGGCACAGGGTTTTTCGGCGAATAACCATAGTCGGTTACGGGCTGGTTCGAAGCTGGTTGATTGTCCAATGACCAGACTCAAGCAGTAACTTGGTTATGAACATGGCTATAAAGCGGTTATTGGTCAAAGAACCAGACTAAAGTCTGGTTATCGAACCTGAATAGCGGCCAAACCTTCCTGTGTGCATGACGTCCGGGGAGTCCAGTCAGCGGCACAGCATTGTGGCCTTCACCTACTCACCAGTCTCGGTTTCGGAAAACTTGGCTCCAGGAAAGAGAACCTTCTGAAGTGCAAATCTTCATGCGCTAAACCGAGAGCCATGTGAGGGCGTCAGAGCTTTGACGTGCTCTGTTCGTACCACCCCACGAATTTGCATCAGGTGGGACTAGGGCTCCAATTTTTCGGCAATGCAGCACTGTCTTGGACGTCCTCGGAAAGGACAAAGGAGAGTCCAGTGCACGGGACGTACAGCGTAAATGGATTCAGGGCAGCCAACGATAGCCAGAACGAACATGGCTGTCGCTGGCCGGTCGCCGAGACGCCTGGGTCCGGGTTATGCCGGCATGGGCGTTTTCGGCGACACAGACTGGTGGGCGCCAACAGTGACGTCATGGACAGCAACGACAAAAGTGGGTCGTGCAGACGAGACCGGAGATCTGAAGGTCTTATTAACAGCAGAACAATCACGAGTTTTAACAGCAGAACAATCATGAGTTTCAATCGTCTCAGCGGACACTTATCTGACATCAGCAAGCATGAATCAAACAAGCATGTGAAGTCATTTGAGTATATACAACTTTTGCAGCGATCATATGCGACATGAGCTGAAACTCCATTATTGACCGAAAGTTGCAGAACGTAAGAAGCTCCGCCGTGTGGAGTGCCGCCTGGCAGCAAGTGAAATTAGGCTAGCTAGCAAACATTGTTTTATCACATTGGAAGTCTTGCAGGGAGGTATCCTTGTAAAATCAAACTAGTAGGTTTCAACTAGTACAATCTATTAACACGACGGTTCTATTCTACCACGTGCATTGCCACTGGCACCTAGCAAACAGAGCGAATCGTGCTACATAATCCTGTGATTTTCTAAAAGCTTATCACCCTGACTATTAAGCTAGTGTGCCCACGTGCTTTTTCAACCGGTTGGTCATTAGTGAGAAAGGTCGTCCTACAAGCCAAACCATTCTGACATTCTAAAAGTTGTTCGAAACTCGCAGAAGAAGGTAAAAGAACAGTTGTCGCCTCTTTCAAGAGAACATACAACACATACTACCTAGAAATTAAGTCTGGACTTTTCTACATGAACTGTATCCTGGCCGAGCAACTTACACTTCGGCCTACCAAACGAATTTTTGACGCTAATAGCAATCCAAATACCAGACGTACTTCTGTTCAGCTACTAGGTGTACATAATGGAGCCCGGCAAGTGCCATCAAGTCTGGGCCCTACTAGGTCGATATCCAAATCGTACAACTTTTGACGCAACGACTGCTCTTTCCTTCCATGATAAACATCCAGGTCCCTGCAGGACAAAGAGAGTCGCTGAGCTGTGTTCAGAGTCAAGCTTTTGCCGCAAAGAGGATGTTAAGTGGTTGGTAATCTGGGGGATATTCTTAGTACGTCAAGAAAAGCCGTTCACTCATAGGTCCTGCTTTTCGTTTGCAGTTTCAGCTTTCCAACCAAGGCACACTGCTGGATTCTGGTCCCCACTCTCGAAATCTTACACGCACCAACTCGCTTGTGGGGAGTCAACTAAACGACTCATCGAAGCCGTCGATCAATAGCGAGAAGGGTTTGAAATGATGTCAAATCTACAGATCTTATTTTTGATGACAGAACTCTTGGCCTGACGTCTTCATTTGAAGATTCTGGTAGGCTCTTGAAAATAAGGCTGACGAGAAACGCAGTCTTCCCTACAGAGGGAGAAAAGCTTGACACTTTATCTTGCATGTGATCGAGGCACACGACTTTTTAGTTAAAGACTTACTATCATCAAGTGGACGGCGCCGGCTACGACTTCTACTGCCCATTCACATGTCACTTTCTGACCTAAAATACGTAGCCCTCTTTTAAACCCAAAAGAAGAAATCTTGTGCCTGACCTCAGCAATTTCAGCAGGAACCAACCACCAAGTCCCTGCTTTTACCAAAACCAAGAGCTTTGCAAGCAAACTGCCACAGGACCTGCCAAAGGAAAGCTTTGATACCTTCCAGACTCACAATCTCACAATTCCCAAATCCCGGAGATCAATCAGGTTTCTCACCTTAGTACATGTAAACCCGGTCCCAAGAACGAAGCTTCAAACCTTCTCCGGCCCTGGTGTGCCCTCCGCTTTCCCGACGTCTGTTTCTTCCTTCGCTTTCCCAAGCACCTTCCGGCAACGGGAGGGGACCAAACAGGCTGCCTTCTCCCAGGCCCATGTAGGCTGCAATTCACTGGGCGTGGCAGCATAGAGAAGACCGAAGAGCAGGGGAACATAGGTCCACAGACCTCCAATGGTGCCAAAGACTCCGAAAAGGGGTTCTTGCGCCACTACATGCTCGACTCCTTTACTTGAGAGCGAGATTTCGAGAGTAAAAGTGAAATTGATTGTCTCGTTTCCCGGCCTAGATGGCTGCCCCTGATTTGAAGTCGGTAGGACCGAACCCAGGCTGTATGAATACCAGCTGAACACTGGCAGCTTCTCGATTCTGAGCAACTGGAAGAGGCTCAAGATAGGCTTGTTGTAACGAGGGGTGACTACCAAATTCAGGGTTGAGTTCAAATTTGCCTTCTGGTAAACAATGTCAAGGCCGTCAGCATAAAGAGGAGCGCCATAGTCGTGCTGACCAATGGAGACCCCAAAATATTTGAAGTTAGGGCCAGTGCCGTTCAAGGAGAGAACAATAGGAGCACCTGCCCGTGACAGAATGTCTTGCCGCTGTTTTGGGCATAGGGACACGAAGAATGTCATACAGGCAGTATATGGAAATGCTCCAATGACCACCCCTGAAATGGATCCTTGGTTGGAGTTGTCTCCTTCCAGAACTCCAAATGGAGATAAATACCCCGTCTGGTTTTCGTCCGGTGAAGCCTGTGAAAGGACAACTGCAAATTCCTGGCTTGTGTAATCCAGTTTGGATTTCCTTGGAAGGTCGTTGCTATCGCGGGGGAGGCTATAGAAGTAGGGAATGGTCTTATTCGGACTGAGATCCCAAAGGTTCTCATCTGCTTTGGTCATATACTCAAAGCCCCGATGGTCTTCCCAAATTTCGTCCGTTTCCACAAATCGGCTCCGAACCCGGGTGGTGACATCTGGGTCACAAAAATTCGAATAATAAAGCTCAGCGGTCTTGTTGCTAGGATCAGCATCAGGGTCGACGCCTACTCCCGCCAGCAATGTCTTTATGGTGATGTTATATGTTTGGGGCAGTGGCTTCTTATCAGCCAATAAACGGGCCCTGCCAACGGCGTCCAGCACATAGTCCCCCGGCAGCGCCTCACTCAATCTATTCTGCGAAGTGAGGTCACCTTCAGGTTCTCCCCGATTGCCGTCCAGAAGGCAGATTTGGACGTCAGGCAAGTAGAGCTGCTCCTTGCGATCAAAGAAGGTGACCCTCACCGGCCGCGCCCGCTGCCTTACCGCGGTCCAGAACGTCGCCAGCGAGGCAATGGCGAAGAACGCCATGATGGTCAGCCATGCGCACCATGCCAGCTTTTGGTGGATCCCGGGCTTAGCTTGCCAAGGCCAGGCCGCCATTATTCTTGCCTGCTCTCAAATTCAAGTTGCGAATGGGCGCGCCCCAAAACCGACGGGGCTTGTGGGGAGTTTGCGGAGCCCTCCGGAGCTTCAATTAGTGCCGCACCTTTTGAACGACCGCTCAGCTTTTGGATACGACTACCTAATCTGTTCGCAAAGTGCCTCTACTACCTAGTACTAGTCACTACCTAGTATTACTTCAGTGTTCAAGGCGGCGGTTTTCCGCCTCACTTTAATTTCAGACTGATGTACCCAGTGGACCGAGTGAGCACTGGATCGTGTACATGTACAGTGGCCCGTGCAGCTGTGTGCACAGTGCACAGTGCGCTTGTTTATGACTCCCTGGAATCGCGGCTGGATCCGGGTATGATAACGCACACCGGTGCGACGGTACGACCTACTGACTAGTACTGACTACTACTGAGTTTAGATTCTGACAAGAGTGGGAAGGACCAGTAAGAGCCTCCGTGAGTTAGTAGCTCTGCAGCAAACAAGTACGCTTCAGTACGATTCCGGCAAGGCTCGTTGACTTTCCGCAAGCAGCACGCAACATAGGATAGGTAGTACGTAGTTACACGTACAGAGTCCAGTTCCGGGCGGGCAGCCGCATACGTCGGGGACGTATGTATTGACGTCATGATGATGAAGACATGACCCAGCTCGTACACATCCGTAATCCAGAGCCTGTCGCGAACTCGACATGGGCTGGGGACCAAGGTGAGTCTTCCACGTGGAAGGACGTGGCCTAGTGTGGGCCACCGGGCCCTGATCAGGATACTGAACCTTGTAGGTAATTTGTGACCGGATTACTCTAAGATCCGACTCTAAGAGTGCAAGAGTGCCAGGCTGGCCAGCTTTTCATCTACGGTTTGCGTCCTGTTTGCGTACAGCTTTGTACACTGTGGCTCCAGCTGAAATCCTGTACCAGGTCCATACTTATCTTCTCAATCTTGTTTGAAGCGTTCTCATTGGTCCGAGGACCGCAAGAGGAGCGCTCACCCGGCATTCCGGTCGACGCCCTGCACGTCAATGTCGAGTCGATAGTACTTAGATCATAGCTGGTAGAGTCGAGCATAGCCCAAGATATAGCAGCTCTAAGATCAAGACACACACAACTCATACATGTATGCCATGAGAAGCCTATGGCCAATTTGGCTACGGCGAGTACGAAAAGAGACCATCGTCGCTGTATGGCTAGGCTCTTAGGCGCCTGGACGGCGCGTAAGCCAGCTGCTTGTGTATTCAATCGCTCTTAGTCACATGCTGCATCCTCTGGCTGCCTTTATGGCATGTTTATGGCACACAAGACATAAGTCAGAGCATCTATGTTATCATGTGTGTTATGTGGAACCTAACTTTATTACTCGAAGAGGACTTGAAGATACGAAGATACATTTAAGCTAGCAGGTACTACTAGTGCGGAGCAGCCGGTGTACCGTGTGACTCTTGTTGGCGAACTTCAAGAAGGATCCGACGTGGTGATGGTCACTTCGTGGGCCTCAAAACTGCGTCCGATGATCATTTGCTGGTTATGTGTATACAAGAAAGAAAGCGCCGAGGACACTGGCAGACTGGCCGAGGAAACATGTGGCCGAGGAATCCTGCTAGTGGTTTAGTTATATAGCAGTGTCGCAGTATTGTGTGGGCGTTTTGACGATTAGAAGCTTAGTAGTCAAAATATTGTAGTGTCGCCCACACTGCCCTAAGTTGCCACTTTGCTGCTCATGTTCAATGGTAGCCGCATACCCGAACGGCTGAATTCCCATTATCAAGCTGGTGATGGCAAGGTGGGACTCAAGAGCTATATGCTATTATTTGCATATATGCAAGTACACAAGTTGCATGTTCATGTGCATGATGTATGTCACGTACTACAGACTGACACTAACGCTGATGTTCTATTAGTTTAATATAGTACGTGTGGTACCGTCCACTGTCACATTCGCAAGTATTACTAGTATGCCCACATGGTCGTATACTCGCTGGAAGCTGGCATGTATACATGGCATGTATACATGTTCTTGCATAATACCAATTGGAACGGCCCGGGTTGGAACGTTGCATGCCTTGGCGCACTACACAACTCTAGTAATTTTAAAAGGGATGCGCAGAGGAGCAGTGGCCGTCTCAGCCATGACAGCCACTGCATCTAATTTGCAAAAGATTTGCGCGTGTTTTAGCATAAACGATTCAAGCTACCGCATAAGTTGGAAACAACCTCTGATTGAACGAACTCCATTGCAAATTTCCAAATTGCAGGTTGGGCGCATCCAACATTTGAGGTCTAGATTCAATGCGTAGAATCGGGACATACCGCCACGTCCAAACGGGCCAATTGTACTGGAACGCGCTTATATCTACCATACCGCGGAACTCCGCGGAAACTCGGTCAATAATACTACAGTAAAACATTACCTGGTATACGCTAACACATACATCCCGTACCACTGAGGCATCACATGTGGGGCTTAGTATTCGTTGACTTCATGGATTTTAAAGGTCGATGGCGCACAATCCTTTTCAAAGGCCTAATCCAAAAACTCAAGCGTGCTCATTAAAATGGACCGACAAGGCCGGGCATCAAGCAACTTGTGTGGCAATTCAGCGTAGTCGATTTTTATTATGTGCAGGCCTGCCGCCCATAATATATAACGGAGGGGTTCGCTACACCCCAGGCATTGAAATTAAGCCTAACGCACTGTCCATTTAATCGTGCAAGTTACAATGTCATGGGAGGGTCCTGAGATACAGCCATAATAAAATCGAACACTATTTGGTGAATGGACTCATACGCGCCATGGACACCATTCAGAGAATTCACTGAGGTATTGATCAATAACAGAAACTTGTATTCGAAAGGCCTTGTAAGGCCTTGAAAATTCTTGACCTACAACTAGTTAGCATTTTAATGGTCCCAATAAGCACCTCTTACGTCACATAGGAGCGCTTCTCGCTAACTTCTGGTGACCTTGCTGCCTTATCAAGGTGTGCTGCCGAAACAAACTGGCTGGGCTCCATGTACCTAAAGCAAATGTGGGGGAAGTCTCTTTGCAGACTAAGGAATGAACTGCTATCAGGCCATAGATTGGCCGTTCCAGGTCCCACATACATACTTGTACACTATATCCACATTAGGGCTTGACCGCAAAATCATAGCCGAATGCTATCAAAATCGTCGGTGTCGGTCAGGGAGAGGCTGAGATGCTCAAGGGACTCATGCAAACGGGAGCCGCTGAGAGTCTGTCGTCGCACTCTTCTGACAGTCTAAGCTGTTCCATGACACTGCCAAGAAACAGCCGTGAGACTGTCGTGGAGACCTTCTCAAAGAAAGCTGAAAGGTGTGCCGGCTCGCTCTCTTCCAGTGCCATTTTCCAATGGGGCCGCAGAACTCCTTGGAGGCTCCGAATCTGCTTAGCAGGTGCTGTACTTGTTACTTAGCATTTGCCAGTTGCTCCTACTTAGGGACAGATAAGACAACCTCACCTCGCAGTCCAGGGTATCCATATGGCCTGTCATTCCAATGCTGAGCGTCGCCAGCTTGGAAGTCCGTAATATCAAAGTCTCAAGGTTACCTGCACCCCCTCCAGAGTTGCCAAGCGCGACGGGTCAACTGTCATTCTCTTACTAAGAATCTCAATCGCCCACAGAGTCAGCAACTCAAGACTTGAGGACTTGAAAGTTGGCTCATTCAGACCCTCGCAACCTTGTAATTGCAAGGTCTTCAGCTTTGGGGGCCAACAATGAACAGAGAAATGCATCCGAAATCCGCAAGACGTTTCAAGCGATTTTCTGATTCCAATCGGCAATCCTGCAGTTGCTTGAACAGAACACTGACTGACAGATGTTCCACAAAATCAAAGCCAGAATCGATGAACCAGAGGCTTTCCAAGGCCAGCCGAGCAAGAAGCCCTAAAAGGTGCTGCGACGCCTCAGGGACTCCTCAACTTTGAAGGCCTTGAGATTGGTGACTTTCCCAGGATTGCCGAAAGTAGCTCAATTGACACACTTCCGTGCCGCCGTGTCTCCCTTACAAACTTGCCACCTTCAAGGATACATCCAGCGCCAAACTCTAGCTCTCTAGAGCAAGGCTCGGCCCCTTGTGTGGTCTGTAGTCTGGGGTATGGCGTGTGCTGCCAACAGTTCAGCCTGGTTGCACTTTCGAATCACGTGCTTGAACATCCCTTGCAGATGCAGCCCCCTGAAGCGTTGGCAGACTATGGTCATCTGAGTCAAAACTCCGGGCTACAACCCATGTCCCCTGCTGGACAATGGAAAGCGAAAACTCCTACCAGTGCTGAGCTCATGGTCTTCACAGGCACCTTCTAAAATGTCTGCTAGAAGCTCATGTGACAGCTTGTCAAACGGACACCCGTCTTTGGGGTGCTCGCAGGCGTCGCCATGGCGCTCCTTCTGCATTGGCTTTCCACCTCTGTTGCAACTCCTCACGACTTCCTTGACTCTGAGTTCTGCAGTCGCTGAGATTCAGAAACTTTGCGCCGCTATACGATCATCTCCTCTCATTCATTTTCTTCAGAAAGGCAGGTGATACAAATAATGCACAATTGAAGTAAAATGACCGGATTGATCCACCGAGGATGGATCCAGCGGACATGGATAATAAATACATCAGAATCCCGGTGGTTCCCGTGTTAGGTTATCGGGGCGAATTTCGAAAAGTACCACAGAATATTCACAAGGGAAATGTATAGGTAGGTGCCCTGGGCCTGAGCTGTCCCAATTTGCAAGCGCTTGCAACTCATGCCCAGGCCCTTGGGCACGGCCAAGTTCCTGATCGAGCACAATCCAAAAGGAAGCTCTCACAAAACGCAAGTACTTCTCAAATGCCAATGCCAATGCCCATGCCAATGGAGTCTCTTGTGAGGGTAGTACTACCTAGAATTGTAATGCCGCACCATCACAATCTGGCCTGCATTCCTCTGATCTGCTTCAGAGCACAAGCAATGTGGTGCAAATCTGCATGAAGATTAAGGAGAAAATTGGCCATTTCGGTTGGAATCTGTAAAATTCAACAGTATGTGCCACCAGTGGTACCCTTTCTTGAAAGAAAGCTGGCATTTGGCGGATTCTTTGTGACAAAGCAGTAGGCGAGAGTGTTGCATTGGCCATTTGAGACCTTGCTCCAGATGTTACACTTGTGCTTGGAGTGCCGGCTGAGATATGGGGCGCTAAGTTATCTGTAAAGACTGCTGGAGCAGTAAAGCAGTCAGCATCACCCAGAGAGGTCAGAGATGATGGAACTGCAATCATGCTCGCAACTGCGTGCGCAGACGCCGCTCTCTTCTGTGACCAGCCGGGCCTGCTCAGACTCCAGAAGAGCTGCAGGAAACCGGCGTGTTGCTATTCATAAGATCAACAATCACACACAACAACTTTTCAAAGCTTCCTGGAAACTACCACCACTTCATCAGTCCTCAAAACTTGTCAGAAGGAGCCTGCATAGAGAAAGCCATGCCCCCCAGCCTTTCCACCAATGGTCTCAGCGGTCTCAAGTCAGGTGCTTGATTGGTTCTAGCGTCAATTCAGAACGCTACGCAGCTCCCATCATTTCAGTTGTAATCCCAGTCTTCAATGAGGTCCAGAGCATTGGAGTGCTTGTGGACAGGGTCGCCTCAGTTTTGCAACGGAGGGGCTACACATATGAGATACTCTGTATTGACGACGGCTCAACTGATGGTAAGTATGGTGCCTTTTCGTGCTTACATTCAAGTCTAGCGCCTGCTTTCAGTGCCCTGACAGTCGTATACTACTTTCACATAATGCAAAGAATCCTTTTTGTTTTGAATCAAAATTGACCAGTTAACAGGCGGACAGCATTTCAGCACGACCCTCGGAGAAGGTTACAGACTCTTTGCAGGCATAAGGATTACTGGCTGCAAAGACCCCTTTATATGCTCTTCGTTCTGGTGATTCATACGAACTCATTGCTGGCGCCAGGGATTCCATACACAACTCATTGCTGGCGCCAGCGATTCAATACAACCCAGATAATACTACGGTTGACCATTCGAGTCCCATAATTGCTCATAAGTGGACCTGACTGTTATCAAGCACAATCAATCACTTGTGCATATTCTCTCCCTTTCGAACACGAACAGGCATGCCCGAGCGTCTGACATGTCCCAGATGATTGGGAACCAAAGGGACTGTCGTACTGCCCAAACAGTTTTTGTATGACCAGCCTTTGTCATATTTTCTCAGTGGAGTGAGCGGAAAGAGACTTGATCACACCCTAGACCAACCACGTCGCTTAAAACGTAGACCACGTGTTGTTCATCCAAACAACCGTCAGCTCCTGAAGGCGCTCGCTGCATGGCGTCTCCGAATCTGCGGCCTTTTGAACGGGCTACGATCACTGACCCGCCTCTCCTCACAGTCATCTAACCCTGACTGAGAAGATGCTTAACCTCGCACTAACCAGGTATCCTTACTAACCTCAACCCCTTTGCCTGTGCAGGCACCACCGGACTTCTGAGAGGTCTGGCCTCGCAACGTCGGGACCTGCGTACGATCATCCTGCGGCGCAACTTCGGACAGACGGCCGCGATGTCAGCGGGCCTCGACGCCTCCGTGGGTGATGTCATCGTGACCCTCGACGCTGATCTGCAAAACGACCCTGATGATATCCCGAGGCTTGTGGAGCATCTCCTATACGGAGGTGATATAGGGGCGGAGTTGGCGGACGGGCGGGCTGGGGGGTCCGGGACAGTGCGGGACGATGGGGGGTACGATATGGTGTGCGGGTGGCGGCGGGAGAGGCAGGATGACGTCATCAGGCGGGTGCCGTCACAGCTTGCGAATTGGCTGATTGGGCGAGTGACAGGGGTGAGTCGCCTGCTTTGAAATACAGCTGGCAAATAAGGAGACATTGAAATACGAGCAACTGTCCTTACCTGGAAAAACGACCTTCAGACCTCAACAGGGGAAAGTGTTTTAGCAGTATTGATTGACTGGATACTGATCTCATTTTCTCGAGATTTTCAGCGGCTTGGAGGTGCAAAATCTCTGCAAATCGGTCCAAAGAACTGCGGCTTTCAAGAAAAATCCACTTGTGTACCCTCACAGTTTTGCGTCCCTGTTCGAAAGAAGGATACACAACAGAAAAGCGTTCTGTGGAGGTATGAGGTTGATTGAGCGGTCCGTCTCGTTCCCGCAGGTCCGCCTCTAACTTCGGATTCAAAGGGGTCGTAGCAGACAGTCAATGAGCGCCCTCACCTTTTTTGGAAAAGAGCTCATTCCTCATCGACGCCTCCGAAGGAAGGAAACTTGGCGGAAGCAGGGATTGAGATTCTGAAGACTTCCCGCTCTCGTTCCCCTCAGGTCCGCCTACACGACTGCGGCTGCAGCCTCAAGGCCTTCCGCGCCGACCTCGCCTCCGCCCTCCGCTTATACGGCGAAACCCACCGGCTTATACCCGCAATCGCCGCGATCGAAGGGGCCGCTATTGCGGAGCTCCCCGTTCGGCACCACCCCCGTTCTTTCGGCTCGTCAAAGTACCCCCCCCTGGGGCGGACTCCCCGGGTGATACTTGACCTGATTTTGGTGGCCTTCCTTGCCCGGTTTAGAGACCGGCCGATGCAGGTGGGTCATCACGCTACTGAGGATCCGCCTTCCCGATTTTCTTCAGCCCTTCTTTCAGTTATTTCAGTCCTTCGAGTTATGCCTAGTAGTTCAGACGACCAGATTGCAGGACGGTTCGCTCTGCCTTGTCGAGAGCAGGTAAGATTCGCAAGGCCGTCGAGGCAGTCAACCGCCTTTATTTTTGCGAAGGTAGCTTATCGACTGCAGCCTCGTTGCCCGTTTGTGGAAATGGGTGCCGTTCCTAGGACGTCTGAGATTTGATAGCATCAGCATTCTGCACAACCTTGATCGGACGCGGCATGCTCGCCTTCCCCTCGCTGCGACAAGCCGGCAGCCATGGACCCAATACAGCGTTTTGCGTCAAAGCTGCCGAACATTTCATCGCAGGGATGATGACGTCACTTGACGTCAGCTGCACTCTGACACGTGGCAATGCTCCGATGCAGTTGTTCGACTTCGTGGGCGGCACTCTGTTGCTGGGCGAGGCCGGCTGCGCGGTCCACAAAGTTTCTACCTTACCGATGATGACGTCACTCAACGTCAGCTGCATCCTTACACGTGGAAATGTTTCCAATGCAGTTGTTCGGCTTCGTCGGGGGCGCTCTCTTGCTAGGCGCGGCCGGCTGCGCGGTGCACGGACTCTTCTACGTCTGGGCAGTCGCGCGGCACTGGGGACTCGCGATCGCCTGGCCCTCGGCGGTGCCCACTCTAGTTCTCGCGCTCGAGCTGGGGGTGGCAGGTATCCAGGTGCGTACAGCATTGCAAGCTCCTTCTTTTTCCCCTGGGGAAGAAGAAAGGCGTTCTGGGTTCAGAAAGCTTGCGACTGTGTAACCCTCGGCGGTGCCCATTCTAGTTCTTGCGCTCGAGTTGGGCGTTGCCGGTATGCAGGTGAAAAGTTCTGCTCTCTGCTAAAGCATGCAACTTGCTCTGTAGAGTCTTTTGCCGTCAGAAGGACTGAGGGTTTAAATACTGGGATCTAGATCCAAGTTTTTCGATGAAGAGTTTGGGGGAATCCGTGTGCTCACGCTAGTGCTTGGGCTTGAACTCCGGCGTCGCAGGTCTCCAGGTGAGAAGTTCGCTTCTTTCTTTCTTGCGTTTTCCGAAAAATGGAGGACTTGAACTCTGAGGACTGGTTCTTGAGTGCTCTTTGTGCCCAAGCTAGTTCTCACGCGCGGAGGGCTGTGGTGGTGGTGCAGGTAGAAGTTGATCAGGGTGAAAGGTTTTGAGGTTTCAAGTTCCGGGGCTTGCGATTGCGGGCTTCCTGTGATCACCGACACTAGCGCTCTGGCGTGGGGGTGTTTGACTAAGAGCATCATCTCGAACTCCTGGTCCTTGTCGCGGTATAATGGGATTTTGCGCTTTCCTGGCCTTCCAAACCGCCGACACTTCTCAAAGGCGCGGCAGATATCAGATCAAAAGCTCGCTCCCTCTCCATCTCTTACCTCTTGATTTTGAAGGATTTGTCGTGTTGGTTCTGGGCTTTGTTCTTCGCGTTGCCTTCCCCGCTGCACAGGCCGGTGCTTTCGCTTGAGTTCGGCGTGTATCCAGGTGAGTCCTCGCTCGGATATTTATTCTTCTTGTTCTTCAAGGTCAAAAAATTGGAATCGGATGTTTGGAGCTTGCGGCGCGTGGTCTTCTGCTCCGACAGCGATGCTCGTACGAGCGTTGGTCCCTGGAGGCTGGTAGCTGCGTGGCCTGACCTGCTCGGTTTTGGTGGCAAACGCCGCCGAAAAGCAGGCGAAACGATGAGTCTGCAGACAAACGAGACTCTCTTCTCTTGAGTGCGAATGTGAAAGCTGGGACCATTCGTTCCTTGACGTGCTGAACGTGCTCAACGGATCTCCGGGGCTTCAGGTACTTAAAGACATTGTGCTTGGCAAAAGAGTCAGCCAAGAGATTTCTCAAAAAACCAGGTACATAGGTTGCATAGGCGATTGCGGCTGTGCACCTCACGCATCCCTGTTCTTTAGAATCATGGCCAGGCAGGATTGGAAGGTTCCCTGACCCTTCAGATCTTCCCTGCGATGCAGATGGTGTTCCTAGGCCTGCTCGCAGATATCTGCATCCGGATATACTTCGAGTCGCAAAACAGGGCGCACTATAACGTACGGGAAGTAGTCTCGTCAACGTCAGGAGTTCGATGAAAGAAAGAACTAACTTTTAGGAAATGAACCTTGATCGAAGTTAGGCAGGCGGCTTCTCTTGCCGAACAACTATTTGTGAATCATTGAATTGCTTTGGGGGCGAACCTGATTTTGGAGGGCAGTATCGGCTGCTGCGGTTTTGCCTACTGTAGCTTCGGTTGAGCGCATAGGTCATGCTCGCTAAAAGTTGTGTAGCTGCACATGGTGCGTCCATGTCCTCAAGTTTCGAGCTTACTTGGTACATGCAGTCGTGTGACTTGCCGTACACGTGTTAGTTACTGAGTATGGCACTCACCCCATATTTTAGTAGATTCTAGCAGCATCTTGACATGCTGACATGAAGTGAAGTGTATGGATCCGAAAATAAACCCTGCGGCAAGCTGAGGATCGTGATGACTCGACATATGCTATACGCTGGCGCCTACTCATCGCCGGTACTACCTACTTTACGTTGGGCCAGCTCCATGCCACCGAGTTGAATGTAGCTTGGGCGGGCCCGCTTGTAGTCCCATGATGCGCGTGTGCATGCATGATTGCTGGCAAGCATGCCAACGTGTCAGACTCGCTTACATGGCCCGGGTCATGCATGCGATCCGGAACATGTGGTTCTCAATTTCGTAAATCCACGTACACTTGAACTTAAACTGCATAATTGATCATACTTGGCATGGTATTGCATGAGGTATTTATTGACGCTCGTTTGTAGATTCAATGCTTGACGGAACCTAGCTAGATATATGAGTCGTCTCTAACTAGATTCGTGGCCGGGCGCCTAACTGGTCCGCCTCAAGCTGGACTTCATTGCATGAATGTCCGGTATTGCAGCTCCGTGTCGACCTTCTCATTTGTAAGTCCATCGCGCAGGACTAAACCCCGATCTTCCGTGACTCCGGACTAATACTACGGGCCCGCAAGTGTACTAAAGTTTTTGGTACTATGCGCCCATTCGATCCCACATTTTTGACAAGATTACGAGATTTTGTTCACCTATAAAAGCACGTTTCTAGGGCTTTTGACGCTGATCTCGACCGTTCCGCTTACGGAATTTCCCCCTCATCCATCTCCTCGTCTTCGCTCTCATACCCCTCATCGTCCTCGCTCACTTCTTCCTTTTCTAGCACCGCCTGTTTCCGCGCGTCGAGTACAATCTTCTCCCCTTTCGATTCGGCTATATCCTTTTGAAGCTGCGCCAGGTTGGCCGCTCTCCGCTCCTCCTCTTCCGCTGCTTTCTTCTTTTTCCGCTCCTCAATTTCGACCCTGCGGAACGGGAATGGCTATGATCAGCCGAGTCAGAGAAGGGGAATACCAGAAAGACCCTTGGCGCCCACCGGGACTCCTTTTCCGCTGCTTTATGTTTGATAGATAATTCAGTGGCCTCCGGCAGTCAAAAAGAATGTGAAAAAGGAATCGGAGGGAACGGACTCCGCAGCCTTGGCCGCCTCACCGGCTTCCTTTTCCGCTCTTCAATATCGATTTGCGTAACAAGATGAAATACGCATGTGCAGACAGATCACGTGTTATAATAAAGGAATGCCTTGATTCCACAACAAGAGAATCAAAGAAGCGAAGCTACTGAACGAATCTTCTGTCCTCCTTCGTTCTCGAGCTCGACGCCACGGAAGGGAGTCAATCAACGGGACCAACGTACGGGCTAGGAACTGGAACGAGGCGCAGTACGAGCTGCGAGAAAGAACGAGGCGCTATACGAGCAGATTTACTACTAATACCAGTGGGCAAGTTCGGACTCTTGATAGGAACGAACTCGACTGAATTCTTTCGTGACATCTTCCGCTTTCTCCTCCACTGCTGTAATCATTTCTGCAGACCATCGGGTCCGGGAATGGCCGAAATCCGTCCTTCAGAACTTCGAACTCTAGTGCCCTCAACTTTTAGCGCCGGAAAACACCTCACGACATTTCTCTCATGCGGTCCTCTGCTCCCTCCTCCACTGCTTGAAAAGAATTTTGACAAGCCTTCGCCCGTGACTGCGGACAGCCGACGGTCCGCAGATTGTTGTAGAACTCATTGAAAAGTGCAGACCTTCAAAATAATCTTTCAAGGTCGCCTGAAAGGAGCCCACCTGTAACTGTTCATGTAGTCCTCCGCCTCCTCTTCCACTGGATTTGAAGAACTGCGGCATGCCTTCGCGGTTAAGTGCAATCACGCCGACAGTCCACGAATCGCTGTGAACGCGTCCCAAATCGCAAACATTGACAAACTTGATGTTAAGGTCGCCTGAAAGGAGCCCACCTGTATTCTCTCATGTAATCTTCCGCCCCCTCTTCGACGGCTTTGAAGAACTCCGGCATGCCTTCGCCCGTGATAGCGGACACGCCGACCGTCCGCAGGTTGTTGTAGAACTCGTCCAAAACCAGACACAAACTGCGGCTCAGATTGGCGGAGTACGAACTGTCCGACTCGACGGCGGCCTGGAACGCTTCGAAGTCGTGCATCCACTGCGAAGAAGATGGAAGGATATTCTCTTTCTGCAAATGAGAGCCTAATGAATACTTTCTTTGCTTCTAAGCTTCGCTTTTCTCTTCGAGAAAGGCGAGCAGGATTCGGCACATGCTGCGGCTCAGGTTGGCGGAGAAAGAACTGTCCGAGTCGACGGCGGCCTGGAAAGCTCTGAAGTCGTGCATCCACTGCGAGAGAAAATATTGCAAGTCGGAATTTTTCGTGGTCCTTTTGGGGCGAGTTTTATCCTGTAGAAACGCAATCGAATGCGGCACAGGCTGCGGCTCAGGTTGGCGGAGTGAGAACGGAAAGATCTAAAGTCGTGCATCCCCTGCGAAGGGAACGTGCTTGTAGCCTCCCATCACATTAGACCACGAGTGTAAATGGTTGGTGATGGTATTCTCTCAGGAGAAAAAATCCTTGTTTGAGAGTGTTAATTAAGACCGGGCAGAGGCTGCCGCTCAAGTTGCCGGGGGTATGAAACTGTTCGACTCAACCGAAGCTTGACACAATCCAACTTAGATGGTAGTAGTATCCCTTTCAAAGAGGAAAGCATACAAAAACCTCTCGACTGTCTTGTTGATCTCTTTCATTTCAGCTCTTAGTTCCTTGTTGAGGAAAGTGACCAGAACCCGGCACAGGCTGCGGCTCAGGTTAGCGGAGTATGAACTGTGCGACTCGACGGCGGTTTGAAGAGCTTCAACGTTGTGCATTAACAAGCCGGATTTTGCGAGTGAATCAATTAACAACAAGAAAAACGTGCACACCGTGCACAGAAAAGAGACGAAGACTGGAGGAGAGGGCAATAGGTCAACTAAACGACTCACGAAAGTGCAGAGAATGTAAACGAGAACGAGAATGAACGCTGCTGAGACTGAGGAGAACATCGTGCCGCCCGAGATTGAAACGGAATCAAACGGAATCAGAACGGAAGGCAAAGGATGAGGAACCCCATCTCCAAACGCTCACCTCGAGAGCGAAGTCGTGCCGCGCGACGTCCACTTTATTGAACGTCAGCAGCAGGGGCAGCCGCGTTTTGTACAGGATCCCGCACGCGTACAGCATGTTGCTCATGAATGTTATTGGGGAGATCGTCCGTGGTGTGTCGATGACGTAAGCCACGACTGTCGGGAAAGTCGAGGCGAACGCTTCCGTGACGATCGCGCCCGACGCGGACCACGTGAAGATCTCGATCTGGCCGGGCGTGTCTACGATGACGTAATCGAGCGTGTCGGCGCGTTTTTCTATGAGGGCGACCACCTGTGACCTCAGCAAACAAGGAAAACTTAGAACGAAAAGTTCGAAATGAACGAAGCATTTTGAGCTGAACATCGCGTGACGAATCACAAATTGACCGAGCATGTCCACGATGACGTAGTCGAGCGTGTCGGCGCGCTTTCCTATGAGGGCGGCCACCTGTGACGTCAGCAGACAAGAGAAGCTTAGAAGCGAAAAGCTCGAAAATTCTGTCGAGAAATTCGAGCTTATAGATGCGTTGACAATCACAAGCTGGGCGGGCGTGTCCACGACGACGTCGTTGAGCGCGTCGGCACGCGTTACTTTCAGTGGGACCACCTGTGACGTCACCAGAAAAAGGACACTGACGTGAACAAGGAGAAAGGAATGCCTGTAGCCGTCGTCAACTGAGAATCTCGATCTGGCCGTACGTGTCCAGGAATCGAGCGCATTGGCGCACAGTCCTATGAAAGCGACCAACTGTGACGTCAGCAGAAGAAAGACACTGACGTCAACCAAAAGTAGAAAGTTTTGGAAGTGTGGAAGGCTGATCTGGCCGGGCGTATAATGACGACAACATCCAGCATGACGGCGCGCTGTTTCATCAGGGTGACTACCTGGAAGCGGGGATGTGACGTCAGGAACAGGGGAACAATGGACTCGAACCTTTAGCCGCAGATTGCATCTTCGATTTGTCAACACCCTCTCGCAAGGAAAGCAGTATTCATTGAGCGGTATATTGTGACACACGTGGAGATCTGGATCTTTCAAAATCGACTTGGCCTTGAAAAGAAAACGATGGTAGGAGTTGGAAAATAGCTTACCTCGTCGAATTTTGTAGCGAACAGGTTGAGTGACGTCAGGATGCCTCCGTTCGGCCCCAGGTTGTACTCCTTCATCACGTTCTTGTAGTTGATCGTGTCCCGGATGTCGATGTTTGCGCTGTACGGGAGTGACGTCACTGCAGGGTCGAGATTGACCACGTAGCCCCGCGACTTTTGCATGTGGAGTTGAGCGTTGAGGCGCTGCATCAGGGTCGTCTTTCCGCTGCCTGCGGAAAAGTAGATTGTCGGGTCAAAATTCCTTCTGCTCAAGTCTCCGTTACCTTGAGGTAATTGCATGCTCGTGACGCAAGTTTCGCCTGATACCATTGAGCTTCACTCTCACTTGATGTTCTCTAGCCGCTGCATCAGGGTCGTCTTCCCGTTGCCTGCAAGAAGATTGAACGTTTTGTGCTTCATTCCCCCTTCTTCTCTTCTTCTCTTCTTGTTACTCTGCATGTTTGCTTGCTCCGTTAAAAGGTTTCATTTGTTGTACTTGTCTTCTGAGTCTATCCTAGGTGCTGCACCAGGGTCCCTCTTGCCACCTGAACGAGAACTGAAGGGTCATTTTCATTATGATTGCTTTTCATGGTTCTGGTTCGCTTGCCCGTTGTTTGATTCTGCTCTGGTCCTCTTATGTTCGACTCAAAGGGGTTTCGGGCGATCATCAAAGTCGTTCAATGGGGCTTGGAGAAATCCGTTATGGCTGTTTGTCAAGAGAAACTTGAGGTTTTTCAGTCATCAAAGTTGTTATGCTCGCAGATGACTCAACACGACGTCATGCACTACGAACAAAACCATGGCTGATGTAGCACTGCCTGCACCACTGCTCTCGGTGGAGCATCATCGTTTCAGCTGTCAATTGAACCTTCTGATGCCCAAAAACCTCATGAAGTCCACGCATCAATCTTCATCATGCACAATTGTTATCACGGCGTAGCGTCATACGAACGTACTGTGGTGCCAGCACTCACATGGCATTGTAACACGTGCCATTGAACCAATCCACCACCACAGCATTGGGCAGCATTTGAGACAACCACCTCAAGGTGAACGTCTTTCATTGACCCTACCTGCCATTCCAATCACGATGATGACCACTGGCTTCCTCCTTGTGCCAAATGCTGCTTTTTCCGGCCCGCCACTAGTTGACGCTTCTTGACTGGTGGACGCTTCTGGCGTTTCTGTGTCGCCCGCGCCACTCCTTTCCACCTCCATTAGCTCCCCTTCCTCTTCCCGTTTCGTTCGCTTCTCAGGGCTGACCTCTTCCGGAGGCGCCAGCACTTGCGCACTTTTATCACCATCTCTAGTTGACGTTGTCTCAGCATTCTCTGCTTGCAGGCTTCTAGAACTCTCCCCTTCCGGGAGGCGTTTGTGAGGGTCTTTGACCGGCAATTGTGTCGACGCTTCATTCGCCTCGCTTTGAGAAGCTGCCGGGCGAGGGGACTTGGCCTTTGGCAGCAGGAAACCCTTGGCAAAGCCGCCCTTCGCACCCGCTCCTGACATGGCGGAACTTGCAATTGAGCAGAATGCAGCAGGGGATATGATTGGGCAGAGGGGTATAGCAATGTTTCACCTCCTTATTCAGCGCCAGACCAGGGCGCTTTCTTGATGTCAACCAGCTCTAGCCTCTAGGATAGGTAGATAGGCCAGCATGCCGGGGGGAAATGCGACTTGCAGCAATATATCCGGATTTTTTATTTGTGAGTCGTGACCGAATTTCCAATACAAGGTTTCCTGTAGGTACTGGGAAAACCGAGCTTCTAAATTTGAAAGGCGCTACATATTCAATCAACCGGTTCACGTTGCAGGAACGTGATTTCGCAGCAGCACAACCTGCCACAACGGCCTTGGTAAAGCCCGATTCTAGGACTCAATTTTGATTGGTAACGGCGTAACCGACCAGTAACGACCGCGAGCAAACGGGTCACCCGGCGGTTAAAAAGCTTGTTAAAAAGCTGCGAGTTCTTTGATGAGATCAGTGTTCGAAAAGTTTAACCCTGGAAACTCAATGCCGGGAGTGGCGAACAGCGCAGCATTGAAGCAAATCCGTCCTTGAACTTTCATGGCGGCAGCTACTTAGCGCCAGGAGCTGAAAATGCTGAAACCTGATCGGCTCTCCTCGTCCCTTGTGGTCCCTGTCAGTCTTCTGGCGGTCTTCATCTCTCGGGATGCGCTTTTCGTGCGATTTCTGAGCAAGAAGAAGGAGGAGGAGAAGGGCAAACGCTAGGGCAGGTGGAACCAGAGAGGGAAGGATTTGCAACCTATGCAATGATGCTTTGGCGAAAGAGATGCCCAAGCTGAAGGCATGCAAAATCGAAGTGCATTATCAAAAGACGTCCCGGTTCATGATTGCCCTTCGGCATTCATCAGCATCAAAACATCGTTTTGATCATTTTCAAGCAACATCAAGCACTTTTCGGAGGTATAAAACACCTGCTGCTCTCCGCCAGTATCGCTCCCTTGCAAACTAGCTCAGGAACAGCTGAGTCATCAGGAGCACAGCGACTCTGAACGACAATGCCGTCGAAGCACGCAAAGAAGCTGGCGTGCGAGATCGTCGTCGACCAATTTGGAGAGCAAGTAGGCAAAGTGTGTCAAACGCTAGTGTTCAAGGGGCAGCACTCCCTGCCAGACCTGGGGCGGGTTACAGAGTTGACACCGCCCCAGCTGAGGAACTGCGTGCTCGTGCTGTCGCAGCACAACTGCGTGCAGGCGTATCGAGTCGAGCCCGATGCGGTGAGTGGCTTGCTGGGGTGTGCTTTTTGGCAGGCGCGGTTTATTTTAGCTGCGTGTTGCTGAAGTAAGGCCTTAGAGTTTTCTCCTCATGGAACTCAGATCACGGGAACGATTTGAGGTATGCTTAGTTATAGGGAGCAATAGGGAGCGGAAGGAAGTGATAGGGAATACTTCGTGACCCTTCCGCTGGTTACTGAGCTGATTGCAGTTGTCACGCATTCATCAAAATGTCTTCTCATGATCTTCTGAAGTTGATGGTGAGGTGGTGTAAGTTTCTGGGCCTTCGTAAGTTGCTCTAGAAGAGGAGCAATCTCGGCGGCAAGATCGGACACTTCTCTGTTGGCACTTGGGTGTATGGGCAAATCCAGTCTGTCTATCCTTTCCTCCCCACACCTTTGCTTGCCAATCACATCATCTGCGAATGGGGGGGTGTTTCCACACTGCAGGAGAATCCCCGGACGCGCCCCCAGGTGCTGTACGTGGCGCTCGTGAGCCGAATCCTGCAACGCCTGCGCTTCCCCCGTATGCTTCTGCATGTCAAGGAGGAGCTTGGGCCCGATGCAGAGGCGGTCCTCGAAGGTGACGTCAGCAAACACCGTTTCTGTCTAGGGATATCGTAACACATTTTGGTTTTGTGTTGTCAAAGGCATCGCGCGCATGCTGCTGCACGTCAAGTAGGAGATTGGCCCCAACGCAGAGGCAGGCCTCGATGGTGACGTCAGCAAACCTCGTTGTCATCCTGGGGTGACGTAACACGTTTTAATTTCCTGTTATCAACGGCGAAGCGCGCATTCTGCTGTGTGACAAGAAGGAGCTCGAGCTTGATGCAAAGGCAGTCCTCAAAGGTGACGTCAGCAAACTTCGTTTCTGTTCAGGATTACGTAACACCTTTCCCGATTTAGCTTGTCAACGGCGGAAGCCCGCATGCTGCTGTATGTTGAGGAGGAACTCGGACTGGACACGGAAGCTGTCCTCAAAGGTGACGTCAGCGAACTCCGTTTTCATCTCGGGATAGCGGAACACGTTTTTGTTTTCGTGTCGACTATGAAGCGCGCATGCTGCAGCATGTCAAGGAGCTGGGGCCGGACGCGGAGGCAGTCCTCGAAGGTGATGTCAGCAAAGTTTGTTTTGACTAGGACTATCGAAACATGTTCGGATTTTTGATTTTCAACTGCCAAGCGCGCATGTTGCTGCCTGTTGAGGTAGAGCTCGGACCTGGCGCGGAGGCAGTGACGTCAACAAATCCAGATCTTATTAAGAACTACGTTAGCAATTCCAGATCTTGTTAAAGAACTAAGTCAGCAAGTTTTGAGTCTCCGAGGGATCAATGTCAAAGAGGTTCTGGTTTCTGCTTACCTTGACAAGCTCGAGACTGATGCGGAGGCGCTCCTCAAAGGTGACATCAGCAAAGTCCCGGATTACTTCCGCAATCCTGGCGTCTGGCGGGGCAACTAAAGTGAGAGGGCTCTGGGTTGTGACATCAGCGGTGCCTTGATATTTGATGTCAGCGGCGTGACAATCTGGGTCGTACATAGTAAATTGATCTAGAAGTGAAGGGGGACTTCACAGAAACATTGGGCTGACAGATCCTTGCTTCTTAACGGGTTTGATGAAACATGGGCGGGTGTCAGTCGGGCAATTGGTTCCGCGACGGGCATCGGCACGCGCATACGATGTACAGGAACGGACCTTTTATTGCAAGGGAGCAGATTCAAACCCGATTCATAGAAACTTCTCGGAACTCTCAGAGAACGGCATCATCTGGTCCGTCTAACAGGCTTGAACGAACTTGGGTGTCAGTCGGAAAGTGGGTTGAACCGGCATGGCATGCACTGAAAATGAAGAAACGGGCCCTTTTCAACGTGGGAGCATAAATCAAACTAAGCTGTCGATATTTGTCAACATATTCTGCAGAACTCAATCATCTCCCCGTTCTCCTAAGAGGCCTGATCGAACGTGGGCGGCTACCAGACGAGCAGTTGGTTGAACGGGCATTGGCACGCACGGAAGATGATGACAAAAACGGTCCTTTTCTTTCGAGGAAGCAAACTCAAGCTGACCCTCAAAACCTCTTGGAATTCTCCAAAATGAAATGTTTATCTTACGAGGCCTGATCGAAGACGGGCGGCTGTCAGTCGGCCAGTTGGTCGAACGGGCATCGGCACGCTTGAAAAGATGGAGCGGAACGGTTCATCCTTTTTATCAAGGAGCTAAGTCTCGAAGATTGATCGAGATACTTACACAAACTCAAGGATCTGTTTATCTTAACAGGACTGATCGAACACGGGCGGCTGTCAGTTGGGCAGTTGGTGGAACGGGCATCGGCACGCACAGAAGATGAAGCGGAACGGTCGGCGCAATCGGAGGGCGTAAAAGAAGCCTTCAAGCAGCTGGTGCAGGCGCGCTACGTCGAAAAGGCCCCTCAAGCGGAACCGGTGCTGCCTCCGGCGTCGGAAGGGGACACGAAAAAAGGAACGCGAATAAATGCCAGGTAGGCGGGTATAGGCATCTAAACGGCAATGAGTTGTGGCTGCGATTCGGCCGCGAACTCCCTATTCTTTGCGTTCGTCCGTTCCTTGTCCAATTCAGATTCACGTTCTGATCCCAGAAGAAGGCAATAGACATCGCACCGCTTGAACTTTAGAATCGCAAGATCATCGACGTTTGCATGGGCTTCGCTTTGTCGTGTGAACCCACTTGGAATGACTTTTGCGGAGCGACACTCCACTTCGTGCCTTTTAGGGTCCCGGCTATTGCTTGAAGGGGCTGTCGCAATTCTTCAAGTTGCCAGCTTTCGCCTTTTAAAGGAGGCAAATATGTTCAAATCTGTTTCACAAAATCGGTTTTACAGAATGTCAACAACACATTCAGGGTCTGTTGATGCTGGTCGGTGCTCCCGTGTGGAGAAGCATTTGGATAGAATTCATGAATGTGATCCTTGACATTTCCTCTAATGAATCCTTTGCTATCTCCGTGTCCTGAGCTCATTGAGGCATTTCTGCGCTCGAATTGGGTTAAATAGTCTGGCAGAGTCTTCCTTAGTTTTTTCACGTCACTCATTGGAGACGCCCAGTCGTCTCGCTCTTCGAATCATCTGTGTTGTTACTCCTCCAATCGTCCCGTACAAGCCTCCTCTTGCGCTCCTCATTGCTCCCGATGCCGTTTCATTTTGAAGACAATTCTCAATTCGTCACAACTTTGATTTCCAGGGCTCGAGCTGCGGCCGCCAAGGCAAGCGTCGTAGAAAGTGAGGAGGCACGTGCCGTCCGGCTGAGCGCCGTCTCCGACTTCGACCGCTTCCGGCTGCCGTCGTCGGTTCTCGGGCTGGAAAATGGTGCGCCGACCGCGGCAGAAACGAAGGCGCTCAGCAGGACGAAGGTGAATTTTTTTATGGTGGCGAATTCTTTTTAGACGATCTTATCAGACGACCTCCAGATGTTTCGAACTATCGGTGCATTTACTCAGAAGGGTTTCGCCGGAAAAAGTTTCGGGATAGAAAACGGTGCATCGGCCACGGTACAAACAAAGGCGCTTGGCAGATTGAAGGTGAGAACATCTCGGTGGTAGCCGGTAATTTATCAGATAAGTTTCAAATGTTTCAGAAGAATCTGATTGTCAGTCAAAAATTCTCTGCCAAAGAAGGCTGGGACTGGAAAACGGCGCGCCGATCGCGGCAGAAAGTAAGGCGCTCGGCAGGTTGAAGGTGAGAAATCTCGGTGAACGTTGGTTCTTTATCAGATGAGTTTCAGATGTTTCAAAAGAAAGAGACTGATTGTGGAATCAGAAAAGCTGTGCCAAAGATGCTCGGGTTGGTAAAGGGCGCATAGACCGCGGCGGAAACCAAGGCGCTTGGCAGGTCGAAGGTGAGAGATCTTGCTGGTAGCTGTACATTTTTAGATGTGTTTCAGATGTTTCAGGAGAACTTGATTGTAAGTCAAAAAACTCTGCCAAAGAAAACTTGAATTGGAAATGGTGAAGCACCAACTCCTGCAGCAACAAAAGCGCTCTTCAGGTCAAAGGTGAGAGGTTTAGATGTAGCTCATACTTTACGGAGATGACTGAAATGTGTTGGACGAGCTGCCGCTGTCAGTCAGAGGAGTTGGCCAGAGAAGGCTCGCAAAGAAAATTGTGCACCGGTTCCAGCAGAAGCAGAGGCGTTTGGCAGGTCAAAGTTGAGAAGCCTCATAAGAGCTCGGATCAGGTCACGAGCTCATCAGATGCAAGCCATGTCAGATGCGAAGAATGTCCAATGGCGTCCCGACTTTTGTCAGAGACGAAGGCGCTTGGCAAAGGACGGTGAGGAGTCCCGGTAACTTGCGTTGTCTTTTAATTCCAGAGCGCAATGATGAAAGAGGCGACCAAGTTGGCAATGCAGAAAGCACGAGGACAGGACTCCAGTTCTTCAAGTCAACCTTCGAGCCTAAGCAGATCTTACGTCAAGATCAAAGCCACTCAACGGAAATAGTTCCATTCAAACGGGGTTGTTCCAAACTCAAAAACGCGTTCCGTTCTCACAGCGGAAACGTGAAGCGGAGCTGGCGGAACAGGCGGCCCAGGCCGCCAAGCAGAAGGCCGATGAGGAGGAACTAGTGTGGCGGGTCAACTACGACGAGTTCACGCGGCGGTTTAGGCACGAGGTCAGTGCTTTGGTGCTGCCTAACCCAATGCGCTAACCAGCTGCTTTGAGCACAAGTTCATTGTTTCCTGGCCGCTATGTATGCACTTCGCAAAAAGTGAGCACAAATTCAGTGCTAGATTGAGTCATCACTTGATCCAGATTTGAGTGTTTGGGTGAACTTGAATACAGAAGTCAGGACTTGGTTCGAGTGGTCATTGACGACGTGTGAGACTGGTCATTCCTCTCCGTCAGTCGTGGGCTTCGAGAGCGAACTGGGAGCTTCGTCACTTGCTCAAGGCATGACGGCAATTGCCTTCTCCTAACGAAGCCGTTCTCCAGCCGGTTAACTGTTGGGTTATGCTGACCAAGCGCATTTAGGTGTCATGACCTTGCAAGTTGTCGAGGCACGTGTTTATGCTCTGCTGTCTCCAAACGCAAATTTTATTGTGAGCGCTTCAATCCTGGAGTACAGGAACGTCGATTCACAGTATGACCGGCTGTGTGATGAAGAAGTTAAAGGTCGCTATGAGAGTCCATGAGAATCAATTTCATTCCGGATTTCCCAAGTTTTATTTCAAAAGCTTTTTTCTATTTAAGCTGCCTACTTCATCTAGAATATTCCACCCGTCTTGTGCTGCTTGTGTTTGTTGTCGTCTCTGCACCGTTTTCGCGGGCACCTTGCCTCGCAACTGTCCCGCGATCCTGCCCTTTCTCTGTCCATAGGCCATGCACGGAACAAAGCAGTTTGCAGCTTGCCACGGCACTTACTGATAATACTGCCGTGCGAGATCCCGACTGTCAAAAATGTTAATGCTGTCAGAGTCAGCGGCACACTTCGCGACACACTCCTAAAAGCTTATTCTAACCCCGTGGATAATCCTGTCTAACCTACAGGCAATGTCAGAGTTCGTAGAGGAGAGGATGGGTCCGACGGCAGGGGCTGCGGTTCGGACGATGCTCACAGAGACACGTGGCCAGGAACAGAGCGTCGCAGAGAAGGCCTCCGGTGAGTTAGTCCGGGGGACTTCCGGATTTCCCGTCAGTCCGAGGGCGTCCGGATCCGGTCACTCCGGGGCCGTCAGATTTCCGTTAGTCCGGGGGCGTTCGGATTCCGTCAGTCCGGAGGGATCCGGACTCCGTCCGGTTGATCTTGATTGTTCCCGTGGTCATGATTCAATTTACTCTCTGAAATAAGGAGGCGAACATAGGTGATGCGAGATCTGTTCTGCCTTTCTTTTGATCTTTTCCCAGGAAGGTGCCCGAAACAGCGCCTTTGAATTAGCTTTCAGCTAGTCGCGGCAGCTAGGAAAAGCTGTCGGATGCGGGCCTCAAATCATTCCCAAAGCTATTGGAGCCGTCCAATGACATTCGTCGCCGTGCCCTCGATGTTCCCAAAACGCTTTTGAAGTCTTGCGAGTGTCTGCGTTGCTTTCAGCCGTGGGATCCCAGGAGATGAAACAATGAGCGCAGCAGTTGGTTGTCCGCAGTAAAGAAGCCTTCATTTTCCACGAGTCTGCATTTTTTCACAAGGTTTGTCGTGCCTCACTGTTTACAATATATTCTGAGAGCGTGTCTGAGGGGGGTAACTTTTCATATCGCAGGCCCGGTCTCGGTGGAGGCCATTCACACCATCCTCCGAAGCTCCCCCGCGGGTTCCGCGCTGCCCAAGTCAAGCATCCGAACGGCCTTGGAACAATTGGCGGAAGAAGGCTCGGCGATGGTAACGAAGGAGAACGAACTCGGGGGGGGGACGTATGCTGTCGGTATCCTTTCTGGCGGCGAATCTGCATTTGTTTTCCGCCATCTGGTCGCCGTTTGCTTGAAGCCCGAACCTTACGCTGTCGTTTTGGTTCTTTCTCGCGGTGCTATCTGCTCGGTGTTTCAACAAGGTTGTGGGCTGCATACGCAATTTCTGCTTCTGACAATGCAAAAAGAAGGCCCCAGATGTACCGCCAGATTTGCATCCTCATTCTCGTTTTGTCTACGTCAGGACCTCAAGTCGTTTCATTGTTCACGTACTCTGCTCCGACTTCCAAATTCAGGCAGACGATAATAGAAGATCACGGGAATGTTCCGAGTCCTTCCGTGGTCCCATGCCTTTTCCTAAGCCTCCCAATCGAGGCAAAAGAGAGAACGCCTTGAAGTTCGCGTGTGTGCATCCTTGACTCATCCCCATCCGCCGTTAGACATGGCCCACGTGGTAGCGGAGATGCGCGAGCGCGAGCTGGAGTCGGTCGTGCGCAACCGGTTCGGGCAAGGCGCGTGCCGCATTTTCCGGCTGCTGCGCATGAAGCGAATGCTAGAGCAGAAACAGGTCGGTAAATTGCGCGGGAGCTTCCTCTTCGTTTTTTGAACTGTGGATCTATCAAACCTATCTACTTATCGCAGTTCATGTTTCTCGCCTCCTGCGCTTGAAGCGAATGCTCAAGCAAAAACAGGTCGGGAAATGGCTCGGGAGCTGCCTCTTCTCCTTTTATATTGGCGATCTATCAGACCTATTTGTTTATCGCAGTTCATGAATCTCGGCTGGTACGCATGCAGCGCACCCTGGATCCGAAATAGGTCGGTTGGGGCATCGTTTGTCGTTTTTATGCTTTCTTTTGCTTGTTAAGTCGGGGGCAGCAACGGAATGATGGATTGTTCCGAAAGTTGGTTCACATCTTCTGGGTGCTGCGTTTGACGCGCATGCGAAGGCGTAAACAAGTCCGTGGCCTGGCTGTCACCGTTCTGTATCTGTTCTGCAGTTGTCTCAAAGTTTTTCCGCAGCAGCGGGAGACACAGACACAAAGTTTGGAATCTGCCACGTGAGCCGACGGTCGATGCAGGACAGACCAAGAAGAGGACGCTGCAGATAACGAACTCTACGGAAGCGGAGTTGAAGATCATCCCGAAAAGGACTAACGAAGTGTTCCTCTTTCGGCAGATTGGCGAGATGGCGATGATTCCTATCAAGGACACGCGGCAGCTTCTGTACACTTTACTGAAAGGACACTACGTCAGCTTACAGGTAAGACTTCACATTCTGCGCTTTGAAGGATCTTGAAATTTCGTTGTTTTTGCAGAAAGGAAACGGACGGATCTGGGTATGTCGGTCTGGAATAGGCCCGAAAATTTTAACCGCTACTGGAGAGTCGTTGCGATATGGGCACCTGACGAAGTGCGTTGGACCATATACTGAGCTCTAGACAGGGTCCGCGTCCTACGCTGATAATGATGCTTAAAAGAGCAGCCGACGGTTTAAGCTCTCCAAGCGAGCTGCGGTGGCTGGCTGACGTCGGCAATTAAGTGGTCCATCTCTTGCTGACATTGGCAAATGAGTGGTTCGTTATGCTGACGTTGGCATCTGCGTGTCCATTTATCGCTGACGTCGGCAACTGAATGGTCCATCTTTCACTTTTCTAAGTGCTCCGACAACCCACATCAGGAGCCGACCGCTCGGATAGTCCGTCCTTCACCATCATTTATGGGAAGAAGCGATCGGAAAAGTGGACACGTATCAAAACGTCGTCGCACCATATGCCCGCAGGAGCTGGCGAAAACGGCGGACCACGTGGCGTCGCGGACGTTCTATTTGTGGCGGGTGAACATTCCACAGGTGTCCGAACACGCGCTCGATGAGATGTACCACGGCGCGTCGAACCTGCGGAACCGGTTGCAACACGAATTGGCGCAAGAGAAAGAGGTCAGTGCGCTGAAATGGTCAACCTCTTCTTGGCAAAACGGGGTTGAAAGGTTGAGATGTTGGTCAGACGCCTGTCGCTTCTTTCATCTTTGAAGAAGGCGGCGAGAAATGAACCAGCGGCTACCGAACCCGCGGAAACCGGTCCAGGACGAAGTGGCGCAAGAAAAGGTGTCCGCTTGTTTAAGCATCAAGGCTTTTCTTTTCGGGTTTCTGTCCCCTGCGTATTCCTTCTGTTGGCTTTTAAGAGCTCGACATTTTTTGCACCACGAGGCTTCGACGGTTTGTGCGAGGAGGCATTCACTCTAATTCCAACAGCAGCATGAGCTGGCACAGAAAGTCGCATCTTCCTGACTCCAGGTCTGCATTGAGGTGGTTTATATCCCAATGGTCTTATGCTCTGTGTTGCGGGTTCTGCTGACGTTCCGTTTCGTTCTCGCCTGGATTGCGTGCATCTAGCGGTTAGTAACACCATAAGCGAGCACGATGCCTGCGATCTTAATCAACTCCAATTTGCGCTGGAACACTTTTCGCATGCTTTTCCGTTCCTTCCGCTGTCTTGTACAGCTGCTGAGTATCTGCAATGGCTTAGCGGCCGGAAACCGCTGAATGCGAGCACAACGGTGTCATATCATCCCCCTCAATCATTGCAGCTGATCTTCCTTCCGTCCGCTGATCATCCGTTTCCTTCTCACCTATCAGCCGCCGAACTTTTTAACACACAACATCCATCACCCTAGTCTACAGCACAATGTTTCCTGCCGTTTGAAGCGATTTCGCTGATTTTGGGTCCGCTTCGTTTCAGCTGCTGAGCATCTGCGACGACATGGCGGCCGGTAACGCCGCGGGCGAGCACGGCTCGCACGTCACGCTGACGTCCGCCCAGCGGGAGCGGCTCGAGCAGTTCCGGCAGGTGGCGGCCGTGCTGGAGAGCAGCCTGCTCGCGCTCGAAAAGATGATCATGCTGTTCAGCGACTTTTGAGACTGTCGTGGAATGCATTGATTCGACTTCTAGGCATTTGATAGAAGATAGAACGAGTGTCTTTCGGTTTCCGGCTCCTGCAAGGGCTATCGAGGTCCGGTAATGGGAAGACATCAAGCCTGGCGTCCTTTAGGCCGGGGATACAGATCGCCCGATACGACTGCATAGAGAGTCACCGGTTACGTCCTTCATGCTGCTCCTTCATGCTGCAAAAGACAAGTGCGTCCGACCAAACTTCCAAGATGTCTCATCATGGCACGCAATTATGGGCGCAGAACCTACGGCAATATGCGCTCAGCGTTTGCCTAGAACTTTCTATCCAAGTGACTGCACGTGTATCTTGCGACGTATACCCAGATTTGGCAACTTCAGGCAGATGTTGCACGCCGATGACAGTATGATATGACTTCCGGACTCGGGAAGTGCTTGAAAGTTGCACCAAAGCGTACCAAGTACCGGCGCGCTTGTTGTAGTGACTGTCATGTACTCCTGATCGTTGCGATGCGCCTGCCTGCATCATTATGGGGGCCACGCAAGTGCGTGAAGCCGCTCAATCGTTTGATCGTAATTAGATCTATGCTTGCATGTTTATTTGCACTGAGCTTAATTCCGACGATGCAAGCTGCAAGCCACTGTGATTATGCACACAAACATACGCTGCATTCGCGATCGATATCAAACCAGCCGTGCCCGCACTGATGCGTGTTCTCTTTCTATACCGGGCTATACTGATTCATCAATTGCAGAACGCATTATGTGTACTCAATCTTTTGATTCAATGATGATGCCAGGCGATGCACTGGCAAACACTTTTGCAAGGTGCATGTATGCGTACAGTAGGCGTCGGCTACATGCCACTCAAGCAGGTCTATAAGTCAATCCTCGTCCGTAGACTGTTACGAGCACTTTTATATACTACCATGCCAATCTGATCAGCCAGGAGAAAGGCGTGACACGCGCCGGCCTATCTATACCTCCCCGCTGAGTAAGACATGCGCGCGGACAGATCATGTACTTTAGATAGGAGGACGATTGGAAATGGTTATGCGCCCGGTGTTTCTGCTTTTCGAAGTCCAAGTTGCTATGTATGACTGCGCGTTGAACCCAAGGTTTCAGAGCCAGGCCAGTCATTTGCACATGAATATATCTCAATATGGGTTTTCTGTCCTGGCTTCTCAGGGTGCGTTGTGAACGCCCATTGGGGCCTTACATCTTCGGGCAAGTAACTATATACATACCAGCAGATAATTACGCAACAAGGTTACGGTCCTCTGACCAACTTTCCTGTCGACTTTAAAAACGTCAGCTTGATAACAAATATATGTTGACAGTTTCCTTAGGGAGAATCCAGAGCAATACTAGTTAACCTGCGACTATTTTCTTCTATGAAAAGCACGTGACCAAAAATGCCCCGTGCGTGGGCAACGGAACGTCTTCCAGAGAATAAACGCCGGCTCATCGAAACAAAGTCCTATACAAGCGTGCATTTTGCACTTATCCGAAGCCAGTTGGCCAAGTTATCCCTGTGCCCAGTGTGCGAGCCGTCACAAAAGAGCAACAAAGCGCTAATCGCTTATGGTCGCTCAGCTAGCGCGCAGATTTTTATAGATCGACCCGCAAATGAAAAGGTGCCGTCCCCGTCTACAACCCGCAAGGCCATATGAACAAGGGAAGCGCCATCATGTACAGGCACCACCAGGAGAAGAGCTGGAACGTGACCGCATCCGCTCTCCTCGACCCGGCCGCTAGCGTGCGATACGCTATGCACCATAGGACTGTGAAAAGGGGCACCGCCAGAACGAAGCGCGCCGCGCCGGGGATCCCTCTCAGCATCGTCGCGTAGTAGAAGAACGGGGCGGCGGCATATGCCGCCGCGAGCGCGCGCCGCGCGCGGCCCTCCCCCAGAACCACCGGGACGGTCCTCCGCCCCTTGATGACGTCACCTTCGACGTCCTTCAGGTCCTGGTGCGTCACGAGGACCGCGCAGCCGCTGCAGAGGTTGGCGATCCAGGCCCACACGGGGGCGGTGAGGGGGATCCCCGAACCCAGGCGCCACCGCGGCCATGATGAGACCCGCGACGGGAGCGTTCCAGAGACTCTTGGCGATTCCGTGGTTACTTAGACCCTGGTGATGATACGCGTAATTCATGGCGATCTGCGCAGCGCCGTAATGGGCAATTCCGAAGGACCACAGAACGGCGATCATAAGCGCGTTCGTGACCAGTCTTCGGACGCGTAACCCGGGCACGGTTAGCAGCCCGGTTACCAGGGGCCGGAAGGGTTTGTTCACCCGGTCCTCCTCTAACCCGGTCAGTTGATTGCAGGCTTCGAACGTGTAGAGGTACAGCAGGGGCCACGTGGCGGCCAGCGCGAGGTCGCGCAGAAGAGATGCGCTGATCGCGCGGCGCGAAACGAATGCAGCGACCGGGCCGAGAACTAGACCGGGGAAGGCGGCGAGGACCCCGTTGGAGCGCGTCAGCTGATAGGTTATGAGGACCTCCCTCCGTATCACTGCGTACGAAGAAGCATAGCGTGTCAGGATTCTTCAACAAAGTGCGTTTGTTGCATGCAGAGGGAAAAGGAACGGTCACGAGAAGTCGAATTAGACCCCGTTGAAAGCGCCTCAGCAGATTGGTTGTGACGACCTCCCTCCGTATCACTGCGTACAAAAGAGTACGTCATCACTGATCTGAGACTGCGGTTGGTACGTGCAGAGGAAAGGGGAACGGTCATGGGAAGTCGGATCAGATTCCGTTGACAAAGCGTCAGGAGATTGGGTGCGAGGAACTCCCTTTCGTATCGCTGCATGCGGAAGAGCAAAGCTTATCGGGATCGTTTCCTAAAGGCTGTTGGTGCGTACAGAGGGAACGGTCACGAGAGGTGGCATCAGACCCCGTTGAAAGAGCGTCAGATGATTGGTTGTAATGGACTCCCACTCGACCCGTGCGTGCGAGGGAGAATAGGTAATAAGAACCTTTTCCGTGCTACGATTGGTGGGTGCGAAGAAGAGAGGAACGGTGACGAAGGGTCCGATCTTTGCATAGGAAGCCTGGTCCAGAAATGAATGGCTATGCCCGGTCGAAGGCTTCAGTTGTCTTCAGTAAAGCAGGCGTGAAGTCGAACTCGAAGAACGCAGCTAACGTAAATTCAAGAACGCGATATTGCATGAAAGAAACTGCAAATCCTGGATTGTACCTGTCTGTAGACTGACGCCCTACTAGCAAATGAGAAGAAATTCGCTTAGGAAAATCTCGCTTAGAAGAAAGGTAGCGGGGTAGAGTTGGTTCTAAACATTAACGGCTTGGTACTGGGCGTGCCCCAATGGATTCGATACTGAACGGACTTTGGTGTCGTTGGTCGTCGAGTAGCGTACGGATCATTTGTAAGGGGTTCCCATCCTTGCAACGTTTCCGATACTGAAATATGATCTGCATGCTGAGAGAGATTTGACCGATTCCTGACATACTCTGTTTTCCCTCTCCTGTTAAGGTCGTACTGCATTTTCGTTGATCAAGTTCCAAAACTTGAGACGAGGTTGAAGTCTTCTTGCATGATCGTTCCCTTCTGCCCCTCTAAGATTACTCTTATCCGCGACCATATGTAGGCGATCCAAAGGTCTCAAAAGTGGAGTAACTACTCAGCAAGTGCACGAACTTCGATTCAGAAGTAACTCGTCAATCTGCCTGCAATCCCGTGATACGTCTGCTGACAAAAGAATCAATTCAACTAGGTTCAGAAACTGCCCAAAAGATGGAATGACGGGCCGATCACTTACTCTCGCCGAAGCGGACGAGCAGACCGATCGCCTTCTCCAGAGCGGAGAGAGCCCCGTGCACGGGCGAGTACGCTGTAGGTCAAAAGAAGCGTTCTTGTTATTGCAGGCTTGACGGCTTACGAATTCATAGACACCCGTTCGGCGTTCCGGCCGGATCCACTGCTTGCAGAAGTGCCATGGGGGCGAAGTCACAAGATGAATGGCAATTGTGTTGCAGAGAGCCGTATGTCTGACGTGAATCTAAAAGCGAACAGAATGTTAGAATTCTCGGTTGGACTGGATAAAGCTTGTTTGGGAAAAGTAAGGGCTTTCTCACGCTCGAAACAGTCTTTGTTCTTTCTCTCGGAAGACTGTCTTCGTTTTTCCGCTTGATTCCCTTTCAACAAAAGGTTTGTTAACTGTCAAAAAGCGATTCGCCTCGCATACCTTTCGACGAAGAGCCAAGATAGCCTTTGCGGCTCGAGCTGTTGGGCCACTCACGGAGTCAAAATCCCATAAGAGGTTCTCGAGGAATGGGCATGCGTATGGATGTATCAGAAGTTTTCATGCTTCAACGTTCTAACTGAGATCTTTTTGTGCTCTTCTTTCACGAAATCACCCTCCAGATTTTGCTGGCCATTCAGACCCACTGCTATGGCTTTTGACAACGTCTGGCTCTTTGGTCGACCGAACATGGCCGTGCAGCCAGTACACAGGAATCTTGGGAAGATCTGCCGAAACTCCCTGAGTCTGATCTTCAAAATCCGCGAGCTTCGACCTGAAAGGAGTAGCTACAAAAGTAGAATAGCCTGGCCCTGAGTGAGATGCTTGCACTCAAATAGAAGCCTGCAAGCCTACTCACAGAAGACCACTACTTCAGAAGAAGACTACTTACCCCCTCCCATCCCGTCAGAACTTGTTTGAAGGGACTGAATCGCCCATTCGGGACGATCTCCGCGACGATCTCCGCAAAGGCTCTGCTGAGCAGAATCAAATGAACCCCGGCCTTGCGCGCACACCGTTCCGGAATAACGTGCTTTCACATCGCTGATTGTTCTGACCGGAAGGGGTATTTGGAGACCCAAGCTGTGCTTCAGGGACTGCCTCCCTAGGAGCTGGGTCACGGACGGCGTTTTTGGACCTGGTAAAAGCCCGCCAACCTGGAATACAATGAATACATGTGTTCATTTGAGGTCGGAGTACGGTTTATGCCAGCGGTAAACTTTAGACCCGAAACGTCCAGTATCGTTGAAGCTGGCATAACATCATGGGGGGGTTGGAAGCAATTGTCAAATGGACAGTACTCATTTAAAGTTCATCTCATTGCCCCTCAACGATTCATCTTTACACGGGCCCACTTGTTCGAATCACAGCTTTGTGATGCATCAAGTGATGACAACAAGGAAATCAATCAATTCTGGGAACCATTCTTCTTTCTTTACAAGGATCTTAGCCTTCCGCTCCGCTTTGTTCGACTTGGGCTTGATATTCTGGCATCCAATATTGCAGAGAGGGGCTGTCCCAAACGGCCGACGCTGTGTCCTGGGCAGCAAACTCACGCAATAAGAAACTTCAGCTGCCAACAAGATCTGTCGTGGAGTGAGCCTGATAAGGATTTCAGAGTTTATCCATCTAGTACTAAGCAAGAAAGATGCAGGATTGTCAATAAGCCCCAAGAGACGCGCCGCGAGTCAGTTCACCAATATGGTGCAGATCTCTCTTGTAATACTGAAGCTCAATCCATTGAAAGGGCCATCTTTAGCCAGTCATCTCTTAAATGACTCAAACCCCAATCCCCAAGCGCCCCCCCTATATCAATAATAAAAGCACCCTCTCTCCTATCTATTTGTGAAAGAAACCTTCTCTCAGAAAGGATAAGATAAGAGTTGTCTCCATCCCCCTCTGCTTTGGTTTGAATCAAAGAGCATGCAGCAAAGTTTGAGTTATCTTTTCTGACTGAAGTGGCTTGAATGGCTCTGAACTAGATTTGCACCTGATCGGGATGAGAGAAGTCGACCCTCACTTATCTTGAGACACAAAGACCCATCGAACCAATTCCAATTGAGTAGCGTGATGTCAGAATTGAGATTTCCCACAAGGTCGTCACTAGCAAAGGCCTGATGTGCAGGCAACTCTCATCTCACAACATGCCAGCTCCTGTAAGATCGACTTAGAAAGCGTTGAGCAAAACCAAACCAATTGGACTTGAGGTGGTCAGCAAGACAAGGGATCTCCAGGAAGATCTGGAGACACACCTGTATCTTGTAGGACGCAGCTTCCATTTTGATGACGTTCCTTGGAGCATGAGAGCAGCTCGGCAGGCGGCAATTCCCACTACCGATGCGCGTGCTCGCGAAAGAAACCATGTTGAGAAGCGTCGCGATTTTCTATCGGAGAGGGCAGATCTAGACGGTTGAGCAGGCGTTGGTGGATTGCAGCGGCTGATGTCTGCGAGACATCTATGTCAGTAGGTAGATCACGAAGAGCTTGCACTAACCAGAAGTTTCACAAGACCTGGATCACTCGCCCCTCGTTCGCCCTTTGCAGATCAAGTAGGTACATCTTTCACGAACTTAGAAGCTGCCGCAGGTCCATAAGCTATGGTGGTCGAGGTGCAGTACCTAAATTGCAGAATCCCAGGCCGAGCTACAATGAGTGGATGGTAGTACTTATTGTGTGGCGCTTGTTGACTTTGATCGACGAAGAACGTGTGATCACCAGAGTTGCACATCTCGTAAAAAACCTCGGCCTCACGTCGGCGAGGCAATCAATGACGATGATTCGTCGTACGGGACAGTCCAGTAGGTAGCAGGGACATTCTTGTTCCTAAAGTCGGAAGCAGACATTCGGACACTGCGCATGTTTGCACCTATGCAACTGGCTGTGTGGCCATATGCGGCTCTACCAGTAGGTGTGATAGATGTGCCATGCATTGTGTTGATCTCCAATGTGGCGATCTGGCGTCAATACACAATGGCGACAATACGGTGAACGGCTGAGATCACACAACAGAAGGAAGAAAGAAGAGATTACATGACAGCCAGCTGCCTGAACCAAGTCATGACGTATGACCGTCTTTTCGTCTCTGATCAGCAATAATGTCCATAATTGTCCGGCATCCTGGGCCAGCCATCTAGCCAGCTAGGACCAGGAAGTGTTGTACGTACAATGTACTAACCTTCGTCCGTACGACCAAGGTATGATTTCGAATAAACGAATACACAAATTATACTTGCCTTAATCGGAAAGCAAGAAACCCACAGGGAGGATTGGACGCGAACCGGGGCGCTCAACCGGGGCGCCCCGGATTCTGACCGGTTTGGCCCCGGTTTCCTGGCTCAAGGGCCGGCCCGGAAAACTGCAACCGGGGCGGCCCCGGTTCCTGTACTTTCCGAGGCCCGGTTTGTGCAAACCAGGCCCCGGTTTCTGTGGTCTGGGGCTGGTTGGGATGAACCGGGCCCCGGTTTACAAAAACTAGTCTCGGATTTGTGAAACCGGCGTGTGAACCTGGGAACCGGGGCCCGGTTTGTTTATCTCCCGGGTCGGTTGCAGTATACAGGGCCACGGTTGATGTCAACCTGGTCAACTTGCAACTAGAGCTGGCCGCAAACATTCGTGTACGGTTTTGAGCAGGAACGACGTACTAAGTAGTTTAACATACTGCAACTTGAACGTCGAGGAAGGGGCCAGATTCGAGAAGCGCGGCACTTCTAGAGCATAGTGCCGACTTCGAATGAGATTTAACAAGAAGCATTCCGGCACGCTCTTCCACAGGCGAATCCAAGATCGGCTCAGCTGACGACAACCACGAAGGTGAGTGAAGAGTGACACGATGGTCAAGCGATATTCTCAATGATGAGCCAGTTTGGCTGCCCGCTGCATCCAAGCCCCTGATTGCTTTTTGGAGACAGCAGAGAAGTATCGTTGCTCCATATCACTGTCAAGTAACTGAAATGGTGAGCGCCGCGCTGAATGGGAGAAGCCTGAGTACGAGAACTCCCTCCTGACCGCAGACCGGGACAGGGTGCAGCTTACAAGAATGGGTTTACAAACAGTATACTGCCATGGGACGGTGTTTCGTAATGAAACTAATCCTCACGTCTTGCTTTTCTACAGCCTTTTGAGAAGGAGAGCGGCCGCGGGCCTGTGGCACGTACGACTTTCGCAACGCCCCGCGACGCTGAAGACTTCTCTAGCACGTCTAGGAGTCCGTCCTGTAAAACAACGACTGATACGTTCATAAATCTCGCAATCGAAGTCAATTTCACAGTAGGTTATATTTTTTGGATCTAAGACGGAGAACATCAATATCGAGAGAAGAAAAGGATGCTGTCGTCCAGTGAGAGCGCGAGATTAGCAGCTTGTCAGGCGATAGGAGTAGAAGAGGACAAAGGGAGTCTATAGCATAGAATCGGGTTGAGTTGCGAGAATAATCAAGAACGGGTCCCTTCTGGAAGATTGGGTGCGGCTTCAAAGTCATGATAGAAGTGCTGAACAGCTAAAAGACGTGATAAATTGCTAAAGGAATTTGCAGTTGTACAGACCGGGCAAATGGAGCCAAAGCAATCCAAGACACCGTTTAAGTCAGAGGTTCACTTTGTATGACATTTTGTTCAGTCACACCATGCTGCTCGTGCCTGCAGATCGATCAGCTGAACCTCTATTTGAATGCGCGCTGGCGAAACCGGTTTATCCTAGATATCGAAGCATCCATGAGTTTGCAACAGCTTACATGTAAGCTCCTACTTCCGATGCAGTCCGACAACGAGCATAGCACAAAAGAAACTCCAAGTGATGTCCTTACCTACATGCGATGCTGGTTGTCGTCCTTGCCAAGCCTCCGTTCAACATTGATGATGCTCGCGCATGATATGCGATGACATAGCCGGGCCACGAGCTGCACACGAGCCGCGACGCCGGCGCGGAATGTGGAGGCGGTCCGTTGCGTCCGCGAGCAGCACCTTTGTCCCCTTGCACGACGCGTGCTGACCAGCCACGACAGGGATTTGAAAAGAGGCGCCGCCTCTTCTACTCATCCTGCGGAAAGTAGAAAAGGGGGGGTGACTATTTCAGCAATATGCTGCCTAAACACTGATGAGCATTGCTTGCTCAGAAAGCGGCTGCAATTGATGTGAGCGCAATTGAAGTCACGATCAAAGATGCTCTGGCGGAATGGGCTTCGACCGTTTCGAGTGGACATTCCAAGAGCGGCGGCTTCTCGAAGTGTCGACAAGGAATCTCCAAAACCCTGAAGAAATACGGACCAAGGAACTTGTGGTCCTGTTTTAAGAACAAGGTTTGCTTGCTCCGAAAAGAAGGGCGCAAGAGTCACAGCCTTAAAATGCACAGCCCACTCCGGATCAGAGCCTAAGGAGATACTTGAGGGGAATACTGTTTGCCATTGAAATATTGAAACCCTTAGCCTATTAGCCTGACGCCCTCGAGAACCCAATGCATCTGCGCATTGAGCTCCGGGATCAACGCTGCGTCTTGGGCCGAGCTATAAACTGCGGACTTTGAAACGATCCGCATTCCCAAGCGGCGCAAGACCTTCAGCATGAGCCCAGCTCTTCAGACCCTATACCAATTCGCTAGTCTCTGCAGTCACCTGAACGTGGGCCGACTTCTTGGCCGGGCCGGCAGCGCAAATTCCTGCTTCGGCGCGTCTCCCAAGGGCCTGCCGCGCACGTCCTCTTCCGTCTTCATGGCGCAGCAGATGATCCCCGCTGGAGGAGTTTCAGACGCCCGTCTCCGCTTACGGCCGTGAATCCCGCTCCGCCTTTTGCGCGCGCGCACCCTCTCTTTGCAGCCCGGCGCACGCGCGCCCATCTCGTTGCTGTCCAGCGCACGCGCGTCTTCGCGCGGCCGTCGCATTAAGTTTCGCCGCTCTTCGACGCTCAGTCAGCCGCAGCCGGAAGGCGCCGACACGCCCGGCGGTTGTGCATTTTCCGCCGCAGCAAAACCTGAGGGTTTCAGGAGGGAAGGATGAGGGAGGCCGCAGCAAAACCTGAGGGTTTCAGGAGGGAAGGATGGGGGAGGATAGATATGGCTAAAGGTTTTTGATTTTGTGATCTATAGTAGCAACTGGAAGAGGTTGAACACCGTTGTGATGTTCTTTCGTTTCCCCCGCGGAGAAGCTGGTCGTGATCAGGGGAAGACAACTCCGCAATCTGCTGAAGCAGTTAATGAGCATTGTTTGCCGTGAAGCCGCTGCAGCTAATGACATCGACAATGACATCAGAGACAAAGAATGCGCTGGCAGAATGGGCTTCGACCCTTTCGGGCGGAGATTGAAGGAGCGCTTCTCAAAGTGTCGACAGAGAGTTTAAAAATCCTAAGTCATACAGACCTAAAAAGTGGTCCTTTCTCAAAATCAAGGTTTGCCGAGCCCGAGAAGAAGCTTGCAAGAGTCACGTCTTGAAAAGCACAGCCAGATCTGGATCGAAGAAATGCGACAGTATCAATCCGCGACTTGAGCTCCGGAATCAACGTAGATGTGACCGTGCTCTGAACAGCAGACTTTCCCAAGCGATAGTGAGCCCAACACTTCAGACCCTACGTTTTGGCAAAGATCTGCACCTACCTGAACCTTGTAACCGTGGCATTGTTGGTTGATCTGATCATCACTTGGTCCTGACCGCCAGCTCCGTCTTCGCCAGGGGGCCCGCCGCCTCGGCCGCCGGCTAGCGCAACCTTCCTCTGCGGCGCATCTCCTACGTGCCCGCCGTGCACGTCATCGTCCGGCCAATGACGTCCGCTTGAGGCGTTCCAGACGCCCGTCTCCGCTTCCCGTCGTGCATCCACGTTCGCCCATGTCTCGCGCGCGCGCACATCCCCTCTTTGCAGCCGGGCACGCGCGTCTATCTCGCTGCTGCCGCGGCGCAAACGCAGCCTCCTCGCGGTCGTAGCACGCGCCCCCCCCATGTCTCGCGCTTCCGGTCGCGCGCGCGCGCTGCGGCAGCGTCTTCCGCGCCTCCGACCAAGCCTCAGATCCAGCAGCCGGAGCTCTTCCTTGAGCACAAGTTCCCGCCCCTTGGATGCTGCCACGTGTCCAGATTCCGCCTCCGCTGCGCCCCTTTCCTCTTTATCGAAAAGATCCCTAAGCGCGAGCGGGGCCCGCGACTTTGCTTCAGGGCGGTGGTCTCACCGGCCGACAAGTAGGCCCAAATCTTGACGTCACTCTTCGTCCGCGAGCCCGCCCGCTTGGCGACGCCCTACCGCTTCGCTTGGAGTGCCACGTGGCACGTGACTTGAAGCCGCACCTTAAACAGCCGCAGCCGGAACGGGCCTGATACGCTGGGGAAGGTGCTCCTCCATCAAGAACTGGCACGTGGCGTGTCCCCCGCTTCTTGAACCACGCATTGTGGTTCACATTCTTCACATTCTTTGCTTCTGGCCCCGTGACGAGCCAAAAGCCCCGACCTCGTTCCGCTGCTTGCCGCTTCCGCCGAGACTAAAACCGTTTCCTCGGGACCATTACGCTCGCGAACTTGGTTCCGGTTCCGCCGTTCCGCCGTTCCGCCACTAGACGAACCAGCGCCTTTCCGCCCGATTTGTTCCCCTCTTCTTCCGCCAAGACCGTTCCGTTACTTCGTTTCGTGGGGCCCCGGATGCGGCTGCAAAATGGATTCTTTGCAACAGTCAGTACAAGTGCTTCCCTTCGGTCCCTTTGGTTGAGACTCTTCGCTTCTTAGTCCCGGCGCTTCGATCTTCCGTCCTTTATTGCTTCTGAATTTCCATAATTGACTGATGCAAAGTGGCCTGCGCTTCTCTCAATGTGCTGGCCAGCGCGGGGCAGCAAACCACCAGCGCCTCCGCCAGGAGCGGAAGCTGCTCAGAGCTTGAATTCACTGGACCGGAACAATCATGCACAACGCTGTCTCCTCATAAGTCCGCCTGTTCGATTAAGAACCTTTTGATGCACACTGCTAGCCCCTCCGAGCAGACTTGTAGGAAAGACCGCTTTGGTTTATATACCAGAAAGAACCGTCAGAGATTCCTCACTCATGCAGAGATAGTCGAAGCAAACAAAGGTTCCCATGCTGAAATACTTCCTGTTACGTTAACATTAACGGCCGGCTTCGCTTAGGCAAAACGAGCACAGGCACGGGAACTCCTTATGAGGTGTCTTTCAGCATATTTATAACCATTCTTGCGGCCTTCTTGACCTCACCTATTGCAGGAGCAGCTGCGGCGGCATCTCGAACTGGAACTGCAGCCGCCCGTCGTCGTCGCTCCGCTCCACTCCCTCCACCACGTCCAGCATGTCGTCCCAGCTGACGTTATGGACCGCGAAGGAGCCCCGCCCCCTTGTCGGCCACAGCTCCCATGTCGTAGGTGTGCCCGGGAGTAGCTCCGCTGGTTGGCCGTACGGTCGGAGCCAGTGTACGGTCGCTTGCTTGGCGCGGGTGTCGACACGTGTCACCAGCCCAAAGTCGACTCGCTGCCCTTGCCGCACCGTCTTGCAAAAGGCAACCCCTTCGACCGGTCTCCGTCCGCACGGCCGCGTGCTTACTTTGTCCACGAATGAGGCGCTGTCCGCGCGCACGGGGACTCGAACGACGTCACCCTCCTGCGTAGATAAAAGCGTGTCTTTTGCAAGTTATCAAACATGACCTCGTGCCGGAATTTTGCGATTCTTCATCTTTCCTCAGGACGTGGCACAAGCCGGAGCTTAATCTCAAAAAGGACTTTGTCTCTTTTGTGAGGCTTCACGAAGGACCGTCAATCAATCTACCCACTAGCGTTCAGCAGAGCGAGAGAGCGAGAGAGACGAAACTCGGTCTTCTTATAGCCAGATTCAAAAACATTGCTTGAAAGTTGGCGAGCAACTGAAAGATTGATTTGAACGTGCGCACGCTTCTAACTTCGCTAGGCTGCTTGTAACAACGAGGACGCTCACCTGAGGGTAGACCGGAATGTACACGTCAGCGGCCCGGAACTGTTGCTCTTTCCGGTCCGTTTGGATTGCGTGGAAGCGGGGAGCAGAACCAGGAAGACCGTCCCGGACAGGGTACGGGATAAAGTGCCGCACGAGGTCTCGAGCAAACTTGATGCAAGAGCTGTTTCTAGGGCTTTGAAGGTCACCGAGCATGACCATGTTGTGGAACGGGGCACCTAGGATTCTCTGCGAGTTTTCAAACAGAATCTTGAAGTAGGCGCACTGGATGAAAGCGTGCCACTTCTGATCCATTCCTGGAACGACGACGATTTTCTCAAGTCGTCCAAACTGCTCGTCGGAACCATCTCGCAGGACAACGTAGTCTCCTAGGGCGAAGTTGACACCGTTCAACGTGATGCTCTTTTGTTGCACCGCTTGGTTTCTAAGGGAACTCTGAGAGCCCGCTCCATTTCGCGTCCCCTTCAAGAGCAACTTTCTAACTCCAAGAAACGCGAAAGAGCTCAAGGCCCGAAAAGAACGGGGCCGCCAGTTGCGGGGGTGCGGGCCTATCAGGACTCCCCCGCCTTTGATCGCAAGCAGGACCTCATTCTGCCAAGGCCCCTGGCTGGAGCTCGTAAGGAGGGGCAGGTCCTCGAAGATGCGCTTTGCCTGGACTTGCGAGTTGACGAAAACACAACCACCCTCGAAATGACCGTCGAGCGCTTTCCAAGCAAGACTTGAGTACGTCTCGCCGGTCTTTCTAAGATTGTTTTCAAAGAGCAGGACTTCAAAATGGGAGGCAACTAGACTGAGGTACTCCCGTCTCGCAAACGTGGCTTCATATTCCTTGCCATTGTTTGGGATCCGGGTAAGCCGTTTGATGTACCTTTCGTTTCGTTCAGTCCAGTAGTTCCTCACCGGGCCAAAGCGGAGAAGATCCTGCAGGACGTGGAAGGCAGCCTCGTGCTCGAGAGGCCGGCCACGCGCGCCGTACAGGTCGTCGCATCGGATCTGCTTTGCAAGACACATGCGCGCAAGCATGGACCGCTCCTCCCGACCCCATGCTTCGGTCCGGAAAACGAGCTGCTGGATGCGAGCCACCAGGGAAAGGATCGCGAACTGAGACAGTCCGACGAACCCCGCGGTCATGCTCTCGAGCGCGTGCTCCGCCAGCTTTTGCAGATCCTCCGCTTTCAAAGAACCCCAGGACTTTTCGCTTGGATCTGGGGGCTTCCGACCGGCTGACAGCTGGCGGGTGAAGCGAATCCGGTTGTACCCCTGGGCGACGTCAGCAACCGTCATGGTTGGACCCGCCGCAGGATCGCGCTGGCTGGCTGGCTTTCCCCTGTTGGGAGACTCCCCCTTTTCCGGGATCAAAAGATCTGCAAGGGTTCCTTTGACTTGGTTCAAGGGGCCTGTGTGCGTCCAATCATTGGGGGAGTCGGTAACGCTGTTGAAGCGGTAGGCGCTGTACAGAATCTGCAGCATTGGGAAACCAAGGACGCCAGTCTCTTCTCCGATCGCCTTGCGCTCGGCGGCACTCTCCGAGTCCGCCTCCAGGTGGCGCCGGCTTGCCTTTTCGTATTCAGCGGCGCTCTTGACTGCGCAACCGGCCCGTCCCCTCAGTCGAGCGCTCCCGTATACAACCATCTTCTTTTCGTTCAGCTCGCCACGCTCGCGGCACTTACGGGAAACGTGGTAGCCGCTGCGCTTGGTCTTCGCAAGATCCGATTGAGCTGGCTGGTCCGCCATGGTACAAAGGAGCTGCGTATGAATCCGAACCGGTTGGTAGGCTGCGGATTTCGGCAGACCTGGAAAGACTTTCTCCGAAGGAAGAGCGAAAGGGGCCTCGAATCCCTCCAAAAACGAATCCAAGAAGTCTAAAGTGACAGCGAGTAGAAAGAAGTCAAGACCATCGGGTCCATTCGGGATGTCCTCGGCGGGAGGAAAGCCCATAGGCCAAAGCAATTGTTTGCTTTTTGAAGCACGGTCACGCGAGGATGCTGTGAGAGGAAAGATGTCGAGAACGGCTGCGTTTCGCTCCGTTGTTCTCGAAGCCTGGAATCCATCTTCGTGCAAACCTAGAAGGACGTTGTAGACACTCCCTTGCCGCAGCAAGTCCTCTCGCGTTGCTTCAATCCTACCGCTACACTGCGGGCAAACCGTCACGAATTTCTGGCTAGTTTCGGACCACATGCTACTATCAGCCTGTGCAAAGAATGGCGGATCAAAAGCCTTGGAACAGTAGACATTTTCCCTCTCGTTGCAAGTCGGACAGCTAAGTGGCAGCATGTAGGACTTGGAAGGGTCGAGGAAGGAAGACTTCTCACGGAAGGCCTTCCCATGCCAGATCTCACTCTGAGGCTCGTGCACTTGCTCCGGGTCTTTGCCCATCCAGGACTCGTGATCCCTGACAGCGGCCAACAGTGTCTCGCACCCCTGAATCGTGCTGCACTGCGCCTTGAGAAAAGATTGCTGGCTGATGAGGAGCATCTCTTTGCAATCCCTTCGCCGCAGGTCGCAATCTTTGCACTGCTCGGTGTGGAAGTTACAGTCGCGCCAAAGCGGACGCTGAGGGGCATCGGGGCAGTATGGGCAGGGAACCCCGTCGTCTGCGGCACTAGGGCTGAAGAGGTGCCATGAGCCATTGGGGTCTGTGTGATACCGCCAGCGTTGAGGAGCACCGAGCTTACTTGTGCCAAGGCGATGGAGGAAGGAGGCAAGCTGCAGAAAAGTTGTTTGAGCACTATCAATATTCGAGAAACAGCTTCAGAGATTGCCATCTCATCAACCGAACAGAGACGGATGACGATGTGCTCAATGCAGGACTTGCCCAAAAAGCGTCCAAAGTGAAAGCCTGTTTCCTTGTCAGCATGATTCATCATCCAACCATTTGCCATCACAAGGTGCAGAGCACGTGTTGGTGAAAAGTTGTCTCAATCAGCATCTCAGTTTCTGAAGCTCGATGACTTTGCAACACTTGCATGGCAGCTCAACTCTAGAGTCCACCTACCTGATCATAGCTTGTGGGGATTCCAAAATTCTTAGAGACCTGCTTCCAATCGTTGTGCAGAAGCGCAGCTAATGAACCATTGTCCGCAAAAGCCCAGCTGAGCAGCTTGGACACTGTTGCGTTGCTTAAAGACGCCTCACTGCTCAAGTTGAACAGCTCCAGTATGAGCTTGATAAGCTGGATTTCCTCGGGCAAGAAACCAGAAACTCCACTGGTTTGCTCTGCATCTTGCTGATCAGACTGAGATCCAGTTTGCAACGGCTCTGATTGAAGATCAGGAGCCTCCTCCAGATTCTCGTCCTGAATGTTCAATCTCTCAAAAGCGGACTCATCTGGCGACTGCTCATCTTCCAGGCCTTGAAGGCCCTGCACAAGACCGTCTAGCAGCCTTTGCTTATGCTTGTGGTCCCTGTAAGTTCTGTCTGGTATCCACCTTCCATCAACTCCACCGAGCTTGCATCGCAAAGAGCACGTGCAAAACGTTTGTTTGAAGTCTAGGCTGTGCTCCCCGTCCTGCGGCATGATCCCTGCTCGTCAGCACTACCTCCTGTATAAAGCTATCAAAGATCTGCACTGCCAATAAAGGTCTCTACTGAGCGCTGCAAAAACCTCAGCGTTGCTTGCGCCAGCGTCTGAGCTGCTGGGCAGCGCACTGTCGCTTTTGTGAAGCCCATGACTGACACCAAGACCTGCATGAAACCACCGCATGCGCTAGCTCAGGCCGCCTCGCTCAGCGGCTGCCCTGTGCCTCCCATTGGGAATTGCAGCGGAAGCAATGAGCCCCATGTAGCCACAATCTCTAACAGACTACAAAGCAGTTGGCCGCCATTGCAATGGCACATCACAATCAGGTCACATCTTCTTGAGCTCTTGATCGGTATGGATGGACTGGATAAAGAAGATATGGTTCATTGGCTGTCCCAAACTCCTGCTGAATGAAATAACCTACAGGAGTCCGGACTTCCGACTATTATAAGGGCCCATTTCTGGTCCGTTCGGCAGGTTAGGCTTTTCAACCTGGAAAGCTAATATTGCCTGCGGGTTTGATCAGATTGATATTGAACATTATTATTGTTCAAGAGTTTGGGTTTCGCAGGATTTATGACGATTTATAAGCGGCAAACTACTTGGGCATAAGCGAGTATTAGATAGCAACATATTACAGTCAATTACAGCAGTACACAATTCCTATTCAGCAGCACAATACCTGAAAATTCGTCGACGCTGATGTGTCGTATTTGCATCGTCGATATAAATATTCAACGGCTACGATGAACTGTGAACAGTTGCTAGATCGGGCCCGCCGACACTGATTGATACGCGGCAAACATTGCAACCAGTATTCAAATTTTCAGATATGTATCCAGCCCTCACTGTCAGCGGTTCATCTCTGAGGCAAAGCCTTCATGAGGCGGCGCGTATGACGCATAAGATGATAAGACACCATTTTGCCAATGGGTTCCCAATCACCTTAACACATTGCAATGCTGATCCTGCTGATCAATGTCCTGACCGAGATGCGCATGCAATAGACTCAAGCGCCACAGGATTGATGAATTAGCAATAATCGATGGCCTTTCTCAAACATTGAAAGCTTTCAGCATGCTAGCCCACTTGGGCAAGCTTTAATGAAATGTTGCAGCGTTTTCCCAGCAAATAGCAGACCCAGTGCAGAAGCCTAGCTCCAACGAAATTACGAATGATCAGCAGCTGCACGCTGTGGCTGTGGCCGCATGGAGCCTGCTGACATGCTTGCCTTTGCTGCGCTCAGTTGAAGAACAGAGAGAAACAGTAGCTGCAAAGGCTGATTGCTGCAGGTCCGGTCCTGCGCCAAAGCTGCAAAGCCATCGAGTGGAAAGCCCTAGTTCGAGCAGGGTACCATCATAATAAATGGACCGTGGTGGCGATTCTACTCAAGGGTACAAAACAGCAGAAGAGGTCGCGAATGAGGTTGGGAAACTGCTTGGAAATGACAAGTATTCAGAATTCATTGTTAACCAAGGTCTGGATGGGGTGGCGTTTTCAGAGCTCGAGGAAGAGCATCTGAAGCTATTCAGGACCGCAACAGATGAAGCTCCAAACCTTGGGGAGCTGCTAAAATTGAAAGCAGCTGCAAGGAAAGTAAGGAACCAATTGCAACCTAACCAGGAAACACCAGCTGCACCGGAGGGATCAGGAGTACAAGCTGGTGGCCTCTCTGCCAATGGCACGCAAGACAGCACGAGAAAGCAAGAAGCTCAAGAGGGCAGAAAAGGTTCAGGTCGAAGCTCATTTGAGCGAAGCTCCCAAGGGCCGACTGCATCCAGTTCTCTTTTTGGAAAGCGAACCAGAGGGAGCGAAACGAAGCAAGCTGCAGCTGACGATGACGATTACACTGATTCGGATATATTCAGAAAGGCAAAGAAATCAAGATACCTGATTGATTCCTGTGGTGCTCGGTTCGTTCTAAATCTGCAGCACTGCTATGCCATCTTGAAGAAGAACGTTGATGAAGCAGCGGGAAAGATGAAGAAAGAACGGCTACAGAATCTGGATTGTCAGAAGAACCCCAAGGATTGTGAGCTGTTGGACGGGATTGAAAAGAAAACGCTGCTGGAATTCCAGGAAAAGTTCAATGGACGGCTGGTCACCAGGGGCGGTCGGGAGGTTGCATGGCCTACATGTAAGCTTGTGTGGTGCTTGAGCTGGAGATTTTTGCATGTCAGAACACTGATGCAACTTGGAGGACTCTTTGATCTTCAAAGTGTTTGCAATATGGACGTAATTGACCTATATTGCTTCTTCACAGATTATGATTCATAGACCTCTTTGAATTTGCACTAGGCTTTGCATGTTGACTCTAGTCTTTACCTCTGAAATGCTCTTTCAATAGAAGTTTACGAAAATGATCTGCTTATGCAGCTGCTCTTCGCCATGTCGCATGCACAATGTTCGAAACGCACAAGGACCGTGTCATCCCTGAACGGCAGGCCAAGAAGAAGGAGTGCAGCAAGAGAGCTGCCTCTAAGCGAAAGCAAAATATGCTGGTACGATTATAACAGTCTCTTTTGAAAGGCAATCGTTTTGTTAACATGAGCTTCAATGATGGTTTCTTTCTAGACGATCAGACGATCTGATGATTGCAATCTGCTACTTGGGGATATGTTTCTTTGACCTTTCAAAAATATCGAGAGATGAATGTCGTTGGCATGAGCAGGATCTGTGACTCCCTTCCTCATCAACTCTCATTTTGCTCAGGATGCTGCCGGGTCAACATCGTCGTCCCCCCCCCGACAAGCTCCAAAAGAGGGTCAGCGGATTCTACTCTTTGGTTTCAAGCACGAGGAAGACACGGACTTTCCCATCCCTGTGAAACTTGGAAGTGGGGTCGTAGCAGCGCCTGGTCAAGCTACTGAGGCAGGAAACTTTGCAGTGAAGATCGATGGGATCGAGGATGATCTAGACACAACCGGCGTTTTCTTGAAAGAGAATATGCCGCTCAATACAGTCGACGATGACTTCAAAGAGGTACGCAACAAGGAATGACTTTCGACTATCGTCTTTGAAGAGCTCCATTCGACTGTTATCTGTTGTTGCTCAAGTCTTGCAGCTTTTGTGTCTCGTTCGTGAAGCTGAATATACCTATCGGTTTGTCCATCGCTTTGCATAGGGTCTTCACCCGGTCTTCAACTTCCTGCATAGACGCTTCCAGGCTGTTTATTCTGCTTTGAGTACCCATTTTTGATCCTCTGCATTTATCATCTATTAGGGCTCAATCGTTGACTGGCCCAACACAGCAACTGCATGGGCTCCTGCCGACGTTTACGACCAACACGAGCTTGCAAGGCTCACAGGCGAAAGAGACCCTGACGGTGGCGGGAACGTAAGAAGCGCGCGCATGTTGACAATTGCAAGCCTTAACCTTCGAATTCTCAAGTGCTGATTGCTTCTCAGCTCTTAGAGATTCGATGACTCCGGTCGTGCTCAGTGCACTTGCTCGTTCTCATTATTTATTCCTGCGTTTCTCTATACGAAAACATTGATTGTCTACTCATTACCCACTTGTAACCTGTTGTAGGCAAAAGGTAACGAAGGAGAAGAGACAGCTCGGAGAGAGGCCAGTAACTCTGAAGAGGGACCGTCAGACAACCAGAAAGAAGCATCAGTAAGCATCACATCAGTCTTCTTGGGTCTGCAAAACAATAATGAGCTGGTGCTTGATCAATGTAACAGTTGATATCGAATCAGTCAGCCTGCCAGGGACAGAAGGACGCGGCCGATCGGTGCTCCGTAATATGGTCAATACATCTTTGCATGAAGAGAGTGTGCCACGGATGAATGTAGATAATGTGCCAGCATGAACCTTAAACCTTTCGAATTGAAGACGTGATCCCAAAGACCGCTGGTGTATCCTCCATTCAAAATGACTTCTCAAGGTGCTTGGAAGAAGTGCCATGTCAGACGACGATCCAGCGCGATTGATGGATTGTCTGCTTATTTGCCCGAGTTTAAGCAAGGCAGCCATAGCCAGCCCCTAGCAGCCGAAGGCGTATATATTTTGGATTGCAACCGCGTCTAGGGCTGCCTGAATCGAAGCCTTTCATTGACTTTCAAGTGTCTCGAACCTGGCTGCAGGCGCTCCCAACTTCAAACACTTCCAAGAGAGAACCCAACGGTCAGAACGCATCCGCACCAATCCAGGTCGGTGCTCAGACAGCAGAGCCGCTAGCTTCAACACCGGCTGAGGAACAAGCCCCCGCCGCGCTGTCCCAACGTCTCGAACCCTCAGATCCGCTGCCTTCCCCCCCTCCCCCGCCTCCGCCCCCGCCCTCTGACGAAAATTTAGCAAAGAAGAGACCGAAACGAAATATCGTCATGCCCAAAAAATACACGGAACACGCGGGAGACTGTCAAAATCCAAACATCTGCGATGGTGCTTGCATCCGGTCCAAGAAAGAGCCTCTTCCCGAATCCCCTCAACGCAGTTATGAAGGTTCAGAATCAAGTCAGGAGTCAGACGGTAAAGGGGACGGCATGGACGACGACGAATCGGAAAGCGACTGTGAGATCGAAGAGGAGTTGAAAACGGAGATTACCGCTGTCGAAAAAGGAAATTTCGGTCTCGTGGCTCGTCTCTGCTTGGGCTTGTCGTCTGCCAATTAGGTGAGATTGCTTTGTCCTTGACATGGTGCTCTGACTTTAGTTGAAATCGGAGCACCGAGTCAACTTTGGTTCCAATCAATGCGACCATTGCATCCAAGTTCTTTAGATCGGAATCCAGGTTATTCACACCAACGTGCATTGAATACAGTAAGAGCTCCCAGATGCGAAAAGGTGCTGACCCCAATCCCAAATTATGTGCACAGGGATGAAACCTTTAATGTAGATAAGCTCCCGACCGTTTTTCCCTACAACTGCCCGAAAGACCAACCGGATAATGCTCTATTGAAGGCTCAGTTCTTGCTTCTAGAAACATCGAACAGGAAGCTGACTTGAACGAACCTTGTAGTCAAATCTGCTCCGCCCTTTTAAGCTCCACGGAATGTTTATGGCCACCTTCCACCTGTCTCCGCAGGTGAAGCATAGCCATCTCGTGGAAAAATTGAGCTCCAATGGAATCTACAAGAAGTCGGAACTGGGAAAAAGAAAACGGGACGACCTCCTTCGGGTGTATGCGTTAACGTGCGTCAAGAAAAGAGAGGCGATGGTACCAGACGACTGGAGAGTCCGAGCCCTGTGCGTTGATGACGTCGAACTAAAAGCGAGTGTACTATCGAAAGCCAAGGTAAGCTGAAGCTGTTTTTGTGCAAGGGACTGGGCTTTCTCGTGAAAGCACTGGGTAAAGAAAGACCCTATATGATCATGTGCACGAAGTACTCACCGATCCAAATTTTTAGCTTATGGATCCATCTCGTAGTAAGTTGCACAGGTCTGCAGCTCCTGTCCAATCTGCCGCAGATAGTTTGAGAATCGCTCAGGAACCATGTAGTCATGGTCAACTGATATCCGACCCATTGAAGATCCAATTGATCGGGCTCTGCAGGTTGGACATCAATCATTGCATCTCTGCCATAAGCAGTACGGTGCCCCATGGACATCAAGCTTCAGAATTTTGTGAACGAAAAGTCAATGCACGAGATTAAGTAGGCTTGATGTCCTATCTCTGCAAGGTCCCCCTGACGAAGACGGACGGAAAGGCGGGCAGCAGCGGCAAGCAGGACGTGACCAGATCGGACGCCGATCAGAACGTCAAGGGCAATGTCTCGCAGCGGCAGCAAGAAGACCATGCGCGGGAGGAGTTTACGCAGTATCTTCGTGGAGTTGTTCCGTGCACATCAAAGGGTGAGTGACCGTCATAAGTTCTCATCATGAAGCTGCTGCCTCGAAGCTTTGCTCCGGTCATCAGTTTCTGCTTGTCGTTCAAGAATTGAGGCAGGCCATCAACTTCAACTGCTTGAGAACGTTTTCACGAGACCTGACACGTCAACTTCTTCACCGCAGGCATGAACCAGGATACTCTTGTTAGAAGCTTCCTCGACCAGAAGAGCATGTCCTACGAAAAAGCTCCCATTCTCTACACGAAGGAAAGAGACTACGCAAACCTACAGATCGAAGTAAGTACTCAAGTTTTGAATTAAGTCCTGCGAGTGTAGCAATCGAGGTCGAGTCCTGAACTGTTAGGTGCTCTGCTCCACTCATCCCTTCAGTGCAAACTAGGGCCCTTTGCCTGAGTGACTTGTGCGGGTCAAATTTGATGACCTTGTACGTACTGACGCATTGACCTCGATCCGCCGTAAGGCCCCTGCAAATCCTGCAATCAAATGGACGCAAGTTTGAGTCGACTGAATCGCTTGAAACGTTCGGAATTCAGGAGCTCCTGAGGAGCGGGACGCTCGAGGTCACCGATGAGAAGCAGGCGGAGTACAAGGAGGCAGTGGAGAAGCACCGGGCGTATGCTATGATGGTTCAGCACTTCCCCGCGGACCAGCTACCCCCGGCGCCCCCGCTGCCTCAAGCCCGCGGGATGCGTGTACTACGGATCAAAAAGTAAGGTTATGCCTGACCTAAGTCTTGCAATTCCGCGAAGAAATGTCCATTGCAGACGGTACAAGATTTGTTTCTTGAAGCCACATGCAATGCGTCATGCAAGAACTCATTCAAAGCTGGTCGTACGACTTGTCATAGCTGAATTATCATGGCAATCGGACATGTACTTAACAAGCGTAGTGCTCTTTTTAGTTCTGGCCGCCGTTTCTTCTGCTCGGCGTCTATTTCCGACTTCTCCTGGAACGGGCGCGGAACAAGCAGTGGCGCGGATCAGATTTACTGAATCATACACCCATTCATTCTGCAGGATTGAGACCTAGATTGACGGGGACCAGTTCGCGCGACCGCTAAGCGCTTGTGGGTGCGCTGGCTTAGGCGTTTATGCGACTAGAAGAGAGTCTGTCCGTTTGTTCTACTAAGGAAGCTAATTACAGGACTTATGTTTCTAGCCTGAGAGCAGCCATAGAAGGACCACGCCTGTTCAGCACGCACAAGGTGCGAACTGAAAGCGACCTTATATAAATATTGATTCAATCGATTAGAACAACTTGCCATGTGCCCAGTCACCCCTCAACTCTCTTCTCATTTTGGAAACCGGTCTGCTATCGGTCCGGTTGTTGGTAAATCGTGCACCCCGGTTGTCAGCAAACCCAGCTAGTATACGGTCCCGGTTGAACTGCACCGAGGAACCCGGTTCCGATGAAACCGTCACGGGTTTGCTAGAACCGCCCCGGTTTCACGGAACCACAGCGCCCCGGTTTCGCTACAACATACAACGTGTTGCATGTAAACCGGCCCCGGATTCTTACAACCGTGCCCAGGAAACCGGGCCGGAACCTGGGCGCCCCTGGGCGCCCCGGTTTCCTGCAAACCCGCCCCGGAAAAACGGCAAGAAAACCGGGGCGAGCCCTGCCCCGGTTTCGCCTCGGTTTGATCCCGGTTTGTGCAGAATCTGGGGCCGAACCGGGGCTAAACCGGGCCCCGGTTCGCGTCCCATCCTCCCTGTGTTAACCTCGGAATATATTAGCAGATCATGGAATGTGCTTTCTTGGAGATCATACTCAAGGTCAATGCCAACTAAAGTTTTTCGAATTGTGGCCCGTATGGATACCTGGTACGTGTTTGTATTCCGTTTGACTACGTAGAATCCAAGTGTGAAAAGTACCGGGGGCTCCTTCAGATGATCCGGAACTTGGATTCGAAATTCAAAAATGAATGATCGATCAGTCTCTATTTAACTAGGTAGTAGGTATAGTGTATGTTCAGGATGATGTCCTAATTTTTGGCATTCAATGTCGTCCTGTCCCTTTATTGGCTGGTTGTACGGTCGTAGGTACCTACTGACCATCTCGAGCGGCAGAAAAGCGAGTGCTGCTCAGACTATGGACTGAAGACTGATGGGCACTCCCCTAGCACGTGTCCATTCGGCGCCGTCGATAATACCCACGTGGCCCGCTTGTCCATGTGGACGCTATCGACGGGCCATAACTCGTGAGTATCTCCAGGCACGGGCCGGAATCTTGCTGTCCCCTCATGCCTAGTTGCAATTCCTCTTGGCCCAATGGGCACCTACAGTATGCCTTTCAGGTAGGTATGTCTTCACTTGCAATGAGCAACAAGATCATCACCCATTGAATCATGGTGCACTTTTAGCGCAGTAGGTAGTCCCTGTCTGTTTTGGTTTCCTCAAGGGTGCCTCAAATTAGCAAAGGGCACCACTTTTACGTGCAAGGACGGTGCGCCATCACTGTTACTGGGTAAGCATATGCCCGTAAGGCCGTTCATGCATTGCCCCAAACTTAAAGTCTTTTACTGCAAGCTATTTTAGGCTCAGGGATGCCGCATTCTCTAGAATAGCCTTTTGTAATAAGATCAACTTATCGTGAAAATGAAGCAAAGACGAAAAAACCTAACACCTGAGAATTACTTGCGCTCCGCACCCATGACCACCATAGAATCTTTCCTAACCCTACCATTGAAGCTCAATACAACTTAACAAAATCAATCTGATGCGGGCCCAATCCGCCCAGTGTCTTCAAAACTCTCGAGGTTTGAAGAAGAAGTGCATTTTCGGTAGTATACCGCACCTTGCTCTTGTGCATTGCGACCCCACTCCCGGGTGGCACAATGTCCATTCAAAAGCTTCGTTTTAAGGGTAGATTTGAACCGTTCCATGTTTCAGTTTTGCCGCAATCAACGCTGAACGGTTGAGCAAGGGATGCAAGCCTTATTCGACTGAGTAGGGACAACTACATTTTTCCAGGTACGCTGCTTCGAAGAATGATGGCGTTGTCTGCCCTAAGATTGGACCCCTGCCGCTTCGCCTGCAGCACTTTTCTCCCCTGGCCGTCCGCAGCGCAAAGACCACCAGTAGCTTGTGCCGCTCCACAGCCATCCATAGCCTGTAGTCCAGCCAGCTTCATCGGGGGAAGCACTTGCATCCCGACAGACCAGTCAAACACCCCGAGACGCTTGCGACCTCAAAGGTCCACCGCAGTACGCGCTAGGACGGGGCGACTACTAGGCTCTGATCCCCCTCCCGGAGAGAAAAAGAGCAAGAAAAAGGAAAGCGGCAGTAAGCAGAGCCATGAGGGGCAAAGTTTTAGTCAGGAAGAGATTGTGAGCAAAGCACTTCGGGTGGTCGAGGCTGACGAAAAGAAACAGGGGGGTGGCTTCTCTGCCAATGTGAACCCCCGGGAGGCGACCCAGGGGAAGGTGGACTTTGTGCAAGTCGAGGCGTGGGGTAGCGATCCGCGGAACGATCAATCTGAAATTGAGAAACTCAAGGTGTGTGCTTGTCTGGAAGTGCTTCTCTTCATTTTTATGTCGGTGCTGTTTCAAATCAGGGGCAATTGACACGGCATCGGCCTCTCTGTTTGTTGGCTTGAGAAAGGGACATTGCCGTCGGCTAGACACACCTTTTGGATGCACTGCACTCAACGCACCTTTCTTGCCGTTACAATTACGCACGAATGTGCGAAGTCAATTTGAAGCTGCAAAGCATGAGGAAGGCTTGCCATCTTGTTGTGCATTTGCTGCAAAAGTCGCCAGATAGCATGCAAGGCGCCTCGTGCAAAATATCCCAACAGCTCCTGTATAACCCAGTGTTGCAGTTCTTCAACAGCGTCAGATCTCTTTCCCTGCCAGGAAATGTTTTGTCTGCTTTCACTCAGACATGCCGGACGTACGGGTTGGAAGGCTACGTAGGCAGGCAAAACTCAGTTCACAAGCTCTCACTCTGTCAAAGTCTATGTAGAGCTCTGATGAGACCTGAATCCAAGGACGAGTATAGATCGTTCTTATTTCGAGTGAGTCCAGTACCTAAGCTTGACGACAAGTCTTAGGTCATCGTCGTTCGCATCATCCGACTTTCAAAAGGTGGCAATCAGACTGTCTTCCAAACAATCTCCTGGAAATCTGGTCAACTCCGGAAACGTCCTGGTCTTTCCTACCCACAGAAGAAGCGTCGCATACCCCTGCCGCCAAGTCAAGCCGCTTCTCACTTTGGAGCTCGATTCTCACCACATATTCCTATCATGGACGAGCCTTCAAACTTGTCCTACAAACCTGCAGGTAAAAAGCTTCAGCACTGCGTTTACCCCTGCCGACGAGTCAGGCCTGTTTTCAAATCACTAGCGTGGTGGCTGGCGCTCCTCAAGACGAACCTTTCAAAATCCGTCTCAATGCTACTAATTCGCAGGTCAAAAGTTTCAGCCCGGCGTTCACCCCTGCCGACGAGTCCGGCCTGTTCTACGAGCAACTAGCGCGGCGGCTGGCGCTCCTCGAGACGAGCGGCGAGCTCCGGGTGGCCACCGCAAAGCCCATCCCGGACTTCACGCGATGGCGCTTCGGCGTGCGGCGGTACTTACAATATTTGGTTGATCTGGTTAGTGCTCCGGACTGTTGTATTCACTCTCTCCGTCCTTTCTATGCTTCGAGATGGATTACATTTGTCTCATCCGCTTCACTTCCTGCTTTTGAGGACTCTAGTAGTAGTCACACTTACAATATATGGTTGATCTGGGTAGTGATTCAGATTGTTGTGTTACTTATTCTCACTTCAGGAAGATATTCTTTGTCTCAGCGGCGTCAATCCCGTCCTTGGAGGACTCGAGTAGGAGTGATCTGCTTCAAGCCGTCCTCAATGCTGCTCTGGACCTCACTCGCTCGTTTTTCGAATAAAAACATCGCTCGATCCCGACTGAAGGCCCTCTACTAACAGTTCCTACCTGACAGAAAGCTGCTCTTCTCGCCATCAACGAACACGTTTTCTCACTTCTCCCCATTAACGAATACGGTCTTCTCACTTCGAGCCCTCGACGGTCACGATTTGCTCTTGCAACGGTGCATCCACCGGGCAAAACAATCCACAGTTGCAGCCGTTGCGCCCGTCTGCCCGGCGGTTCTGCTCTCCTTCTCAAAAAAGGCAATTCTCAAGAACTATAACCAGAGCCTCTATCCGCCATGAATGCCAGATGATGCAAACCCTAAGCTGCACTTTCGGCAGTGAATTGACTTGGTCTCTCTGTTGACCCCGCAGCCGTGCATCCATTGTATTGTCGAATCCGCGATGGAAGCGGCGGCGTTAGGTTCTGCTCTCCGTTTCAAAAACGGCTCTATTCGCCATGAGTACCACATGAAGCGAACCCTAATCTACATTTTTCGGCAGTGAACTGACGTGATCTCTACGGACCCCGCAGCGATGCATCCACCGGATACTAGAAGCGGCGATCGAAGCGGCGGCGCCCGTCTACCCGGCGTTTCTGCTATCCGGTTGAACACTGGCTAATCTCATTTCCGAAGGCCAGAGCCTCCATTCGCCATGAGTGCCACCAGAAGCGAACCTTTAGCTGCACTTCGGCAGTGAACTGTCAAGGTTATCTCTTGCAGCGATGCGTTCATCGGGTATCAGAGTCCACATTTGCAGCCGCGGCGCCCTTCTGCCCGGAGGTCCTGCTCTCCATTTGTGAGACGGCAAATCTCAATAACGACGGCCAAAGCCTCTATCCTTATGCGAACCTTAAGCTGCACTCTCGGCAGTGAATTGACACGATATCTGCCAACCCCACAGAGATGCATCCACCAGACACTAGAAGACGCAATCGAAGCGGCCGCGCCCGTGTTTCCAGCGATTCTGCTCTTCGTTCCAGAAACGGCATATCTGTATTCGCCATGAGTGCCACATGAAGCGAACCCTAAGCTAGCATTTCCGGCGGTGAACTGACACGGTTCTCTCTTTGCAGCGATGCATCCACCGGGTACTAGAATCCGCAATCGAAGCGGCGGCGCCCGTGTGTCCGGCGATCCGGCTCTTCAGCACCGAGTTGGGATTGAATCGCGAAACGGCGCTTGCGGAGGACATAGCGGTGCTTATTTACACCATGAAGAAGAAGGGGCTGCGGGCGGGGCCGCGGGATGGGCGGCTCGTGCCGGAGCCCACCACTCAGACGCAGGCATATGCCAAGGTGACTTGCCTCTAGTGGCTCAACTTTCAGTTTCCTGTATGGTGAAAATGTGTTTGAGTCAACCTTCAATGCTTTCCGTGTGCGAAGAAAACGTGCTTTCTTCTGGTATACGGGCTCTCTTCGAGCATGTTTGAGAGCCTCGTTTTCGCGGTGGCTTGGATAGCAGGCTCGTCCGGTTGGACGCACTGCAAGCACGACTGGAGTTGCCTTTGAAACAGATTCTGATTTCGGTTTCCGAGCTTCAACTGCAAAAGCCCGAAGCGCTCCGTTGAAACCGGACGGTTACCAGAAATAGCTGAGGCTCTGGTCGTTACTTGTCCAATGCAAGGGCAGGCCATCAGCTTACGGTTATCGCAGAGCGCTAGCAACACATGGAACGGCCTCTGGTCAAAGGCGCCTTCACCGGAGGTCCGCCAGATTCGTGTCCAGACAGTTTTCAGAACCTTGGCATCGGCGTCTTCTTGTGCCAGTGCGCGTGCGCTTTGGTCATGAGGCCCTTGGCGCCTGACGTCAGGTTTTATACTTCTGGCGACTCACTATCTGTACTCCCCGTCCTTTTATCGCCCTCGATTGCAAGCGCCTGCACTGTTTGTGGCGACCGTGCAGCGTGTCGCCGTGCCTCCGAGTCGCCGCTGCCAATGTGGATTGAACGCCTTCCTTCGAGCCCCTGACATATGATTGCTGACGTCAGGTCGTCCTGTTGCCTGTGCAGTACATCCATCAGCTCGGGAGTGCAGCCACCAGTCTCGACGCTGCTGAAGCGAGCGCGGCCCAAAAGCAGTTGCTCGCGCACATCTTTGCCCTCCACGTCACGCATCTGACGTCAGGTAAGCGCTCATAAACGGTTTGTTCTTCCAGGGATCGGCATTTGCACCGGACTCGGCGTTTGGGGGGCGATCAGAACGTCAGGCAGGCTCTCAGGAAACTACAGCTACAGCTACAGTTGTAGTACTCAGCCGTTCCGTTTGTCAAACTACAAAAGAAAGGCATATGTTCATTTAGGGTTCAGAGTAGGCATTGCAAGGGCGCTTGCAAGTATTGTTCCGAGATAAAGACAACGTAGAGATAGGATCTATAAAGGATTCTTGAGATCCTAGGTCCATTTTACCAAGTTCAGTTACTTGATTGCGCATCATATCCAATGCTCTTCAATCGCTATGTGCGAGGCGGCAGTTCGCTTTTACCGGAAAAGGTCTCCACGAGACAGTTACAACACACAAGTAGACTTGCGACAGACAAAGCTCGGTATCTGCTTCCCGTGCAGGCATGCGCATTGGGTCCAAAGAACTAGAGCTTCTGCCGCTGATGCGCGAGGTGCAGGCGGTGCGCTTCTACAGGAACAGGGTCTTTGACGAGACCGCAAGAGCACGGACGATTCTAAACCCTAGAGTGCAATGGACTGATTCCGGTACCTTCTTACTGTGCAGGCATGCGCATTGGGTCCAAAGCCCTAGAACTCCTGCCGCTGATGCGGGAGGCGCAGGCGGTGCGCTTCTACCGGGACTACCCGGAGCATGCGCAGAATCCTCTCAAGCGCTTCGTGACGGCAATGAACGAAGCGGGGAACGCGCTCGAGGGGGGCGAGGCTCGAGAAGAGGTGAGTGGCAAGGGATGTTTTGAGGAGTTTTCAAAGTGTTTTGAATCAGCTTCAGATTACCTTCAGGACTCCTAATGTTCGAGTGGTATTGGCAGGACTTGGTTGATTGGCATTTGACGGAAGCACCTCCTTGACCACAACCACAGGATTAATTGGATTTGCATGAATCCCGAGCCGTCAATCGGATGGAGAGCGACGCCGAACTTCGGGGCGCAGTCCGAAATGCTTCTTGATTTATACAGCGGTTCTGAAACGATTTTGTTTTTTCGCCGGGTTTGACATCAGCGACGAGTAGTATCTTCAGGCGCTCCACATGATTCTTTCTGCCGGTGAGATGTCCGAAACGTCCTCTCTTCAGTACTTGCACCGAAGGCAGGCAATGAGCTTCTTCCACATGGGCCTGTAGTGTGGTGAATCTACTATGCAGAAAGCTCAGACAAAAGTGTACACACACTCGTTTCAGGCACGTTTATCAAGTTGTTCCTTCGGGCCATGCTACAGGTTATGGCGGAGCTTCCGAAGGCATTGCAGAAGACAAGTCTGCTTTTGACGGAACTTGCGGTGATCGAGGAAACGGAGACTCTTCAAGAAAACGCACCCTGAAAGAAGTGGATGTGTGTGCATGCGTCTGCCTTCGTACAGCGTAATTGGCAACGTTGGGCATGAATGTTTTGACCAGCAACTTATGACTGAGCTGCTGCGATAGGACACTTACAAGAGGACCGGGCCTTTTACATGATTGACTACTGTGAGTTCCCGAATCCAAGCCGCGTTGATGCTTACACCTGATTGGTTGGTCAACACCGTTCATAGTCAATGATGTACCAATGCATGTACCTATGCAAGTCGGCCTCCTTGGCGTCTGCGCAGGCTACGACTGCTAGCCGGGTTCGAGCCCTTACTGCCGCCACTGTCATAGAGTTAACATGTTCATGCTACCATCGCTCATGCCATTAGTTCTTTACAAGAACCGCGTCCCGCATATGTGCACTTTCTACAGCATCTATTGAAGGCTTTCGAATTGAACAAAGGCAAATTTGGCCGCGCGTCACTGCATGGCTTCGAGTTAAGTGAATAAGTTAATGCCGGCCATTCGTACCACCCGGGTTCGATCCATGACCAAGGTGTAAGATGTGTGTCATCACGATTGTGAGTAGGATAGGAATCGGCATGTTGAGGTCAACCGGGACTCAGCATGCATCCGATACCTGTAAAGATTCTGCAACCGTGGCGCCCAGATCCACTGCTCCCCGCTTCTGCCAATGACTGGATACCGTTCAACATAGGCCGTTCGATAACACCTCGCTTTGCCATTGATACCGTCGATAAGTTCCAGTTGGCAAAACTTGGCCAGGTCAGCAGGTGCAGAATCGCAGGTGCGGGATTGCAGACTCGAGATTCAGGGATCCCTGGGGAACTCCTCAAAGCGAGAAAAGAGGTCAGCTTACTAAAGTCTTAAAGGACACAGGCTGAGCTTATGGTCAACAGAGACTTGAGAGAGGGCGGCTTGCCTTCAAAAAGGTGGCCAAAAGTATCTTCTCTCCAGCCTTTAAGTAGAGCTTCTCAAAAGTTCTGTTGGTCTTGATCATTGTTCACGAACAAAGCTATCATAGCCAATTCCACGCCTCCCCAGCGCCTCTGCTTCTTGCCACATCAGCAACCTAAACTTGCCAAGTCATCAAGATGGCCACCGCCAGGCAGGAGCGGGAGAAGGCTGCTGCCTTGGCGATCCCGGTGTCTGTTGATCTGATTGCGGCGGCACGCAGACAGGTGGCTCTGTTGGAGGCTGTTGATAGGGCGCCTGAGCTACAGCAACAGTTCAATGCACAGCAAGCAGCCAGAAGGTGAGTGACTTTCATCTTGGCAACTTTGCGACTTCAAGTTGTGATTCATGAGTGCGATCTGTTTCAAGTAAAGGGTTTGTTTAGGCAAGTGCTCTGTCACATTTGCAGTCTGACCTTTCAAGTTGCGTCTGTGCTCAGGTTTCACCATTGTGGTAGGGAACTGGGGCAGGTGCCAAAGAGAGAGAGTCTGCATAGGATTGAGGAGATCTAAAGTCCAGCTCTTTAAGTTGGACCCTGCATTTGTTAGGATTTTTGCAAACCTGTCGAATGGTAGCAGGAAACTTCGGATCACCCTGTTTGCTTGATATTCATCCTTAATCAGTTTGATCCTGCTGCTTCAACATTCTAGCAACACATTGGTACCAAGTTTACAGCTGACTGTGCTGGCCAACTTGTTGTGTTTGTTCAACATCGTGGGGCAGTCGACTTTGACCAGACAAACGCAATCAGGACTCTCCCCTCATTCAGCACAAACTCTTCTGTTCTTGCAACAGCTTCCTTCTAACATACCATGTATCAGGCCAGCCTATCTTCAGACTCTGCCTTACCATACCATCCCTGAAGATGTACCACCCTCGCCAACTACACCTCAAGATAATGACAGGACGCCTTTCTCCAGAGAGCCAATTATTCTACAGAGAAGTTCATTCACCCAAGGAAAGAAATATATCCTCTTGACTCAGAAACAAAGCGTGCTTCCTTTCTGTAATTCAAGGGCCCGGTTGGCCCTCTTGCCAGAGCACCAAGTCAACCCACACCTGCTTGTTCATTGCCAAGATAGCAGTCTCCAGAAGATGCTGAGTGATTATTGACGTTGAATCTAGACCTGACTGAAAATGTGCTCAACACCCCTTCCGCAGGTACTCAAGAGTCTTCTAGACAAGCACGGTGCCAAATCACACCTGCTTCTGTTCTGGAGACAGAGCATGTCTAGAGCAGGATCAAGCAAGCTCGACAGTGCTTGCAGACTTGACTAACAAATCTTATCATGATTTGTAGGAACCTGGACTGCTGTCTGCCTCTCCTGGCCTTGCACGGAGCCAATTCACACCTCCTTCCTCCGGCAAAAACGCACTTCTTGGCATTCATAAGCAAGTTTGACAATTCACACCCGATTGACAAATCGTTGTCTCTGTTTTGTAGGTACCTGGACTGCTGGCTGCCTCTGTTGGCCAAGCACGGTGCCAATTCGCACCTGCTTCCCCCCCTGGACGTGCACTGGGCCTGGCACTGTCACATGCTTGATCCGGTGGGCCACACGTTTGTTCCTAATCTCGCATGAAGAGGATGCAACTAGGTATTTCTCTTTTCTTCCAAGAACCATTGGAGCAAGCTAGCACCTTCAAGCTTCAATACTTGACATTCGAACCTGCAGTCTTCCCTTGATATCGAAAAGGTGATGCCACAGACAGCAAATTGCACTGATTGGTGGCGTTAGCTCTGCCTTTTCGAACTTCGAGATTTCAGGACTGAGGTAGACGCCTTCTGACCCTCGCAAACCAGCTGTTCTGCCCCATGTCCACATCGACTCCACGTCACCCTTTTTCACCCCCCCCATATTCACACCATAGTCACACCATATCATACCACATTCACCCCATATTCAACACCATACTCGCACCATATCATACCATATTCACCCCATTTTTCACATCATATTCACATCAAAGTATTTTTCCCCCCAGGTCGCCTACGCCAAGTACTGCCAGAAGCGTTTCGGGGGGGTCCTGGACCACCCCCTCATTGCAGACGAGTCAACCGCCCTCAGCTCTACCAAGGCTCTGTGGTCTGCAGAGTTTCCCGACGAATCCTGGGACCTTCTCACATTGGGGGGGGATGCGAGGAGAGCCGTCGATCTGGAAAGCGAGGCCAGTATCGTGGCAGCAATGGACCGCCAGAAGTCGTTCTACTACCAGGTCAATCGGCCCGGGTTCCTGGTGAGATCCTAGGCGCCTCTGGTTGAATGCAAAGCTTGCTTGTTTATCCCTCCAGCTTGTTCCCACTTCCGTGTCCCTTGCTTGCCCAGTGTCTGACTGTTGGATTGCTGAATTGCGTCTTTCTTACGATAAGATCTACAGATATCAGGATGGCTGGCCTCAGTGCTGAACCCCAAGCACCGTCGGCTCTGTAACACTGGCTTCCGAGGCTCGCTTCATTGCACAGAAAGCAGTACTTCAACAGTAGCTGGAGGGGAACCGCCTCACTCTCAATTACAATGCGACTTCCTGCAGCCGGACTCATCCGCCGCGGAAAGTTTTCTCAAGGAGCCTCTCTCAGATCTGTCAAGTCCTACGACCTTGAGACTGTAAGATCTTTCTCAAAAAGGACACTCAAGATCCGCAATCAGCCCAGAGCGCTGCCGCCTGTTCATTCACCTGGTGCGCAAGTCCACGCTGGGAGCGAGCTTATTCGACAATGCGTTTCTCAACTCAATCATTACAAGACCTCCACCTTAAGACGAGGAAACTCTTCTTGTACAGGACACGCAGTACCTGCAAGGCAGCCTGGAGCGCTACCACCTGTTCCTACATCTGATGCGCGCGTCTCGCGGGAGCAAGCTCTTCTGCGTGCCCACATACGATATCGACCTCATGTGGCACGCGCACCAGCTGTGCCCGTGCGCTTATGCCGCCGACTGCCAGCAGCTTATGGGCCGTATCATCGACCACGACGACAAGTGAGTGTGAAGCGGCGATTGAATTCACTCAGTCTCTGTTCGGATGTCTGTTTGCCTTTTTGTTTGCTTGCTGACGTCCCTTTCGTTCTTCTCTATGCTTGAAGTTTTCCCAGTGGCTCTCTTCTCTAGTTGCACACTCGCGCAGCAAGTAGGAAAGTAAAGCCAACATGCTGATCCTAGCTAGTGCCAAGTCTGTTGTGGTATTTCCGAGAATGAAGGTTGAGGGCACGTGGATCAGCCAACTGTTCATCGCAGGTCCTTTCGTTGCCAGGCTCCATTTACTCAACTCAAGATATCCATCTCGGCAGATTTCTCCGCACTGCTTTTGGCGCTGTGGAGATTTGTGAAAGAAGGTTCAATGTTTGTCTAGCGTTGTGAGGGTTACTACGTGAGAGAATGTTTGCGAATGTCTCTCATCACGGTTCAAAGTACGAGGTATCCTCGCTTGAGTCTAATGTGGGATTAAGATTGATCCGCAACTTGCAAGTGATACTTGTAGACTTCTGAGCCTTACCAATCCGGACGTCCGCAGGGATCCGGACTTTAGCCCTGGCGCAGAGCTGGACGCTTTGCCCTACGCCACAGACCGTCCTTTAAAACTACCAGTGTCTACGTCTCTTATTCTCTCAAGTTCGTTGTCGAAATACTGACCGACCCAATCTGAACGTTCCAGGGATTCGTACCGCAGCCCCTGGAGAAGTTTCGGACGCTATCTACCATGCGAAAAGGCACGTGTGTCCTACAAACAGGTCGCCTTTCTGAATGATCTCAGCCTTCTCACCTCTGAAGATAACACTCTCAATTCGAACGTCCGCAGGGACTCGGACCGTAGCCCTGGCGCCAAGTTGGACGCTTCGTACCGTTCAACAGCCGACGCGTGGCAGCAACTGTACGGCCTGCCTTACGAGCGCGCCGGGACGCTCTACCTCGGCGAACCGCCCAAACCCCCGCAAACCCCCTCCAAACCCTTCCAAACCCCCGGCAAACCCTTCGCAAACCCGTCGCAAGCCCCCGCGGCGCTCGGCATTCCCGCCGCGGACCTCGCACCCGGGACAGCCAACCGGGCGCTCGCGGGTTTGCTAACCCACCGCATGGTTTTCCAGGTCTGCGTGACAGTGCTCGGGGCTAACCACCTGGGTCAACACAAGGGCCAGGTTTACGTGCGGGTTAAACCGACCGCCCGCGCGCCGCAGTACTTTATGCGGACGCCGGATGTGGATTCGGACAACGGAACCGGACGGTGTGAATGGGGGGGACACGTGGCGATGCTCCAAGCGGAGATGGACACGCAGGGGCTGGCTTTCGAAGTGCGGAAGCGGCCGGCGGGCCGTTTCGCAAAGATCAGGTACGCCTCAGTACTTCCAACGAATCCTCCTCCTCTATCCATTCTCTGCAGATTCACTCTGCCCAAAAATGCTCTTGAGAATCTATCTGCTAAAATTCAGTCTTGTCTCTGAAAATAGTCTCCGTTTCGGGTTAAGGATTTCGATTTGTTAAATTCGCATCGATCCTGTAATGCGGGCGTCGGGTTTGAGAAGCCCACCAGAGTACCCTTTCTACAGATTTTGGTCCTTTCTGAGTGGGCTGGTCGATCCGAGGATCGAGCACGCTACAGGTATGATTGCTGCTGAAAACTTCATTTTTATAGGATTCGTGTCCTTGACGTCCCTTCTTTCTCGTCTTGCCCATTTTTCAGCTAGGCAAATGATCACCGGGACCTTTCAGATTCAACCGCTTTTCTGTTGTTGACAGTATAGTTTAGCACGCTTGTTGTTCAGTGAACCCCTACACCCCCAGTTTCTTCAAACCCTGGATTCCTAAACCCCTAAAACCTCAAACTATCAAACCCCTCCAACCACCCAGGTCCGACAAGACTCTCGGCATCGTCCGCATCCCCTGGTCCGACGTCAGCGCCAAGCCCGGGTTCTCCCTGGCCGGTACGTACCCCCTCACTTCAAAACGCGGGGGTCCCGCGCCTTCCTCCCGGGGGGATTCCGAAAAGGCCCCCTCCCTGCAACTCGCCGTCTCCATCACCCCCCCATTCCAGGGACCGTACCTTTTGAGGACTCTCCCGACCGAGAAAGCGACTGTGGATGACGGAAGCGAGTTTTCCCGGTACGCGTACAGTTACTCTACGGGGGGGCAGAGCGGCCGTTGGGCGACCCGGAACGTGATGGACCATGCGGGGAAACCGGTTGCCGTTCTGAGGACGCAGTAAGTGTCACAGCAGATTTTGGCTGCTAACCAGGCTGATTATCAGACTCATTCTCGGTTTATTGGACAATTAACCGGGCTCGAACCTCTTTCCAAGGCTGGTTACAGCCCATTCCTGGTTATCGGACAATCAACCACTTTTTAGCTAGCCCATAAAGAGCTAGCCTATAAACATCCAAAGTTACGGGCCAGAATTTCCTGTGTGTTTCGTCGTGTCGACGATGTTTGTTCCCTTTGCATCTCAGCAAGCTCGGGTTGTTCGTCCGAAACAACCTTTCCGGTTCCACCCCCCGATGGGAGTGGACTCGAAGTGAATCTTCCCAAAGGGTCTCGGAGATTGTTATAGCTGCTTTCTGCGAACCAAAATGTCCAATTTTTGCAAATTAGGAAGCACACTAATCTGCGGCGAAAGAAGCCCAATCAATCGGTACGGCGTTCCTTGGCATTCAGAGTGGCTTTCTTGTCGCTTCTTCCACATTCTTGTTCAATGGCTTTGTGACACGTGTCGTATGATCGCTTCTCCCAGGGCCAAATCGGGCAAGTTTCTCCGGAGCACGGGCGAGACGCCGACGGACGTTTCCGCAGGATCCCGTCAGCACCGGTTGCACGCGTACCCACTGTTCACGGGACGAGGCAAGTTTCTCAAAACCCCAATCTGAAACTTGAGGGTCTGAGCCCGTCCCGAATTAGAGCTTTATAACGTTTACATTTCCTGACGTAAGAATGTTCCTTCGATCTGAACGAAGGGACGTGGGCTGCTGAGAAGCTTGACAGTCGACGGTCCAGATTCTCCAAAAGCGCCAGCACCTGTTGCATGCCTACCCACTGTTCAAGGGGCAAGCTTCTCAAATTCAAAATCTCAAATCTGCAAATAGTGCGTCCGAACGGGACGTTCGCGCCAGGACAGCAAAAGCACGCATACCCACTGTTACGTAGAAGGGGGAGGAAAGCTTCCGCTTTCAAAGCTCGGTCCGGTCTTCTCTGCAGGTGACGACATGAATGCAAAGGCCATTGAGACGAGCTTCACTCCCACCGCTTGGCACGCGAGCATCCGGTACGTGGAGCCAAGCACCAGTGCTCGCGTCAGCCAGCGCAAGGCTTACGTCAGCCAGGACCCATGGGGCAGGGCTTCCTACAGCCTCGAAGTGCGGCGGGAGCCGGTTAGCGGGCGGTTAACGGCCACTTTGATCGGGTACAACTGCACGCCTGTGAGTTGCTTAACGAGTAACCCTCTGTTCCGGGACCCGAAAATCTTTGAAGCTGGGATAGGTACGCAAGTCTGACGGCACGACGGCCTATCAAACGCGGGGCACCTTCTTCACTGGGCGTTTTCATCGGTGTGCCATCCTCTTAGGACGGCGATATATTTAAGGGTGCCCTGATGGGCTTACATATCAGCAACTAAGTGGCGAACGCATCCCTTCAAACAATTTTGCCAAAGAACCTAGCAAGTAGCCCGAGTCGCGGGGCATCCCTGCCTGTTCGTCTACAAGATTACGAGTTTCGGGATTGCATACCTTTTGGACTGTGTTCTGCATGATCGTCTCTGTTAGGGGCTTTTCTGGATTCTTCCATCGTTGATCAAGTCGGCCTTCAAGCATTTCGCATTATTTTTTTGAAGTCAAATGGGTCGGCTGAGGAAGCATCTCTCGATAATCTTTTCGTTGAGGAGGAACAAATCATCTGCTACAGATGAATTCCCTGAGGAAACATTGGCTCACTAACGAAGGCTAGCCAAGGAAGTGAAAGATCAATGAGCCAATTTGTAGATGACAGGCTTGATTTGAAGCCAATTGCTGGACACGGCTCCTTTCTTGCTGAACTTCGCAACCCCCGGATAGCTGAGGATACAATCTCCCAATTGTTCCATCCTCAGGTGGCCCTCTTCGCGGGGCGTCACTACCAGTACGCCGTTCCCGGCGCCCCTCTTGCCGAAGAGGACGGCTTTTTCACACTGGTGCGGTACACGGAGGACCAGCCGCACGGCAAGGCGACCGCGCTGATCAACTTCAAACGGGGCATCGCTGAGGTGAGGTTCTAAGGAGAATACTTTCTGTAGGGTCTAATCAGTGTTTGAACATCCAGAAAGTTGCGACCAGCTTGAGTGGTTCATTTAGAACATGTGTCTTCTAGTCCTGTTCGAGCGAGTATTTCTTCCCTGGCCTTTGCTGCTTGGCTTCTTCTGTGCTTTCAGGTCCACTACAAAAGTCCGGCGGTCGTTTCAGACGTGTACAGGCTCGCGGATGACCTCTCTCCCGTTTCCGCATGTAGGGAGCGAGTACGTGTCTCTGGCGCTCCTCCTGTGCCAAGCGTAGAACGACTCCTCAACTTTGCTAGTTCCTATGCCCACTCCGATCGTGTCAGTGATCGCAGCTGCTATTGCGTGTAGCCGGTTTTGCCCAGTCGCCACCACTTTGCGGTCACATCTTTCCTCATTCTCATCTTGTAGTTCGGATTATGCTCTTTCTGATTGGACGCTCTTACACATTTCCAAAGGGAATGCGGACATCTGTTGAAATTGTGTCATGTCCCTGTTGTCAGGTCCAACCGAGCTCCGGACGGTATGGTCACAGAGAAGTTTTCGTGACACTTATCAATAACCTATTGTGATTCTTCCCTCCAGGTCCAACCGAGCGAGTACGGCTCCCTGGCGCTTCTTCCTGAACGCGTGCCTGCCGCAAGCGCAGACGGACACTGAAAATCGAAACGCTTCTGGACACTTCCAATCAGAAACCGGACGCGTTCGGACGCTTTCTTACTCGCGCGTTGTTTCCTCTCCTTCCCAGTTCCAACCGAGCGAGCACGTCTTCTTGGCGCTTTCCTGAACGCCCTTGCGCAAGCGCTCGGACGTTATTTTGGACGCGGTCGGACCCTTCGAAAAGACAGCATCGGAAACTTCTGGACGCTTATGAACCCTGTACTTCTCCCTACTGCCAGGTCCAACCGAACGACCACGTCCT